GGACCTGAGGGAGGTCACAGCATGACATACTCTCATAAGTAACAATGTGTCAACCAAAAAAACGCCCCATTTATCAGTAGTGTAGTGCTGGTGTGTAACTGAGGCTGTGGTTGGAGCAAGTGAGGGGAAGTGCTACCCATTGTCAGACTGGAGAGAATTTCGCAGGTAATCCTGACACATCTGTTTTCTTTGAATCATTATGGTATTCTAAAAACAAAGAGAAATGTCACTTTAAAATTTATTTTTAATTTTATTTTTAATTTTTAAGGTAAAGATGTGGGATACAATTCAGGGTTAGGTATACAAACATTGATCATGCAGGTACCCCTGTCAAGGAGGTATGCCCCTCTCTGCCCTAGCAGTTTCCCTCAACTGCCAATCCTACCTCCCCCACCAACAGTTTCCCATTACTGCCAATCGCTTTCTTATAGCATTATAATTGTTCAAGGTCCTCTTATGAGTGAGAACATATGGAACTCTGTTCATTGTTTCTGTGATAAATCACTGAGTATGATCGACTCCAAATCCATCCAGGTTGCTGCAAAGTTCATATTTTGTCATTCTTTATGGCTGCATAATATTCCATTGTGTATATGTATCACATTTTTTTATCCAGTCCAGCTTCGATGGGCAACATGGTTGGTTCCATCTTTTTGCTATTGTTAATAGAGCTGCAATAAACATTTGTGTGCAGGTATCTAATGAATTTTATTAAAGAATGCAACTTTTTGTACTATGAAAGACCACAAATTGATTTTTTCTATGAGGCAATTATCTATATAAGAAAATAATCTCACCAGCATTCACTTATTTAACACATTAATGAGTACCTCTTATGAGAGGGACCCCCAAAACTGGAATTTATTTATTAAAAATTGTGTTTTTTCTTGCATGTTTAAATTTCACACTTCAAAGTACTCTCCATTTGATGCAATACACCTATTGAGATGCTTTTTGAACTCATCCATTTTGATGCCTTTCAGTGCTTTTGTTTCATCTCTTCCACATTGGCAAGACATTTCCCTCTGAGGGCTTTTTTTATCCAGGGAAACAAGCAAACAAAAAAAATCACTTGGGGTGAGATGGGATGAATAGGGAGGGTTGGGGCATGGGGAGCATGCCATCTTTGGTCAAAAACTGCTGAACACTCAGTGTGGTATGGGCAAGTGCACTCATAAATCACCCATCATGAAATGGGCAAATGCATTGAAAGAATCTCCCAAAAAAAAAAAAAAAAAAAAGAAAAGAAAAGAAAAAGCAATAGCAACAACAACAGAAAATTCACTGAAACTGAATGCAACCTCTCACAACAACGCTAGCTGATACACAGATGCTGTTATGTTCCTAGAATGCTTACCTAGTGGGGGAAGCCTATACTACAAGGGGTCTACCCTCCAAAAGATAATTCCAGATTTTTTTGCGTCCCTCCTTGTATGTAACAAGTATTTTGGTAGGTGAAGGAGATAGTAAGTTATGATCTCTGTCCCAGGAAGTTTCTGTGATAGATATTATTTGCAGCAAGAGAGCAATTGTTAATTCAACATGAGAGGAACTCAGGTAAAACTTCACAGGAGGACAGTTTAACCAGACAGTCTCTAGGGTGTTGGGAAAATGAGTGTATATAGGATGGTACTGATGAAACTAGCCAGAGCAGTACAAGCAGAGATGGAGGCATAAAGATTCTTGGAAATTTGTCTAATATCTTATCACCTGTTCTCCTTCTAGAACTCTGGAGTCAACTTTTATTCTTTATGGGCTAGTCAAAATCAAAAAATAATAATCCCACCTGCTCTTCACTTATGTAAAAACTGTCATTTATTTCAAAGGACCTTGGTACAACAGGGATACCATGAGTATCAAGTTAAGTTCTTAGCTGCAGCAGATCTGAGAAAGGATTATAGCTAGCTGAACTCCTAGGGTAAGGAATTTAGTATTTTTAATCTTAAGTAAATTATGGTTTGTGGAAGTTAGTGACAAATTTGGAGTGATTAAGGGAAGTAAATGTAGTTGGCTATTTTTAGTGTTTTATAGTTAGCTGACAGTCCTTCTCTGGAATTTATCTTTTTAGCAACTTTAATCCCCTTGGAAATAGTTAAGAAAAAATAAATAGAGGAGTTCCTTCTATCCAGAATTGGTATCAGAAAGTCCATGAACAAAGAGCATGCACTCTATTCATGGGGCAGTCCTTAAGCACTCATTCTAAACTTATTTTACTTTTATTTTAAATGAATTATGTGGTCGTAATAAACTTTTCCCCCTTATCTACCCTTCCTATCCATTGCAGCTAGCATTCCTAGAACTAGCATGCCAAGAATGTTTAGAAGTGACTTGGAATGCAAAGCAGGGCATAGGAAAAACTATACAATATGGGTACACAAATTAAAGAGGCTTGCCAGACTTAACAGAGTGGAAGACACCCTTCCAGTGATTGATATTTATGTCTCTAAGAGTGTAGGCAAAGGTTGAATATTAACTCTTCAGAAGTTGAAGAAATTATATATTTATTTTGTTTTGTTTTTCGGAGTCTCACTCTGTCGCTCAGGCTGGAGTGCAGTGGCAAGCTTATGGCCGCTGCAGGCTCAACCTGCTGGGCTCAGGCGATCCTTCCAAGTAGCTGAAACTACAGGCTAATTAACCATAGGCCAAGTGGCCACCACACCTGGCTAATTTTTTTATTTATTGTAGATATGAGGTCTTGCCAAGTTGCCCAGGCTGGTCTTGAACCCTGGGCTCAGGCTATCCTCTTGCTTCCACCTCCCAAAGTGCTAGGATTACAGGCATGAGCCACCACACCTGATGAAGTATATGTATTTTAGAGAATTTATTTTTATCAGAATTGTCCCCAAATTTAAATTTTATTTAAACATGAAAGATCTAATCACATGGAAAATTCACATGTGGAATATTTCTATAATGAAATATATATTACTGATTTCTAAAATGTTTCTTTAGGAATGAATCAGTTCTTTCTGGGGTCTTAACCTGGTAATATTTAGAAACTTTAAGAATGTGTGGCATACATCAGTATGATCACTAGCTCTCTGGATACCCAGAAAGATATCTCAGATATCCAGAGCCAGAACCTGGAAGTAGAGACAATGGCCAAAAAGTCAAAGTTGTGCAGATTAAATAATGTACTAAGGATGTAGATTCCTTGAGGAACACTCTTTACTTTGCTTTCTAGTTACTAGCAGAAGTTGAGACATTGAAGGAATGACAGACTAAATATTGTAGGGGTTCATGTGCTGGTGCCCTGAAGGCATTACACAACAATCACTGGTCAGGAGATCTCAGATGTCAGTCAGCTTAATGTGGAACCACTTTGGAGCATGATAGTAGATAACAGATGATTTTGGGGAAAAAGAGAAAGACTTCAGTGAGATTAAAAGCAGGCAGGGAGCGTTCATTCATTTAGCAGACAGTGTTGAGAGCACCAGACATCTGGGGGCCCTAGGGGTATCACTGTATTCTGATGTCCAAAGTCACATCCTCAGTGCTACTGCCTTTGCCCATTTCGGGAGTTTCACAGGGGATTGTTGCATTTATCCACCTGCTGTGCCATGCCCATCCCGCTGGCCTTGTGATCAGAGCACACCTAGAAGCTCTCTGTCTTCTCACATGCTGCCACCTTCGTGCTTCATGGCACTTTTTGCACCTTGGTTCTTGTGCCTCCATTGCTAGGAAGCCTTTCTCTGAAACTTCTACTCATTCTTTAGGACCTAATCTAGTGTCTCATATGCACACATATTTATAGGCATGCTTACATACACACACACACACACACACGAAGATGCAGCTTCAGTGAGGATGGAGATGAGATACGTATATAATATCTGTGTCTGTGTGCATATATTTTTTGCAAAGCATTAACTGCTGCCAATGTCAGAGTTGGTGACTTCTCCTGTGTTCTCATAGTTTTTGATATGTACTTGTATTCTATACCATTATGTGGTAATATTTAACTACATCTCCATATCCCCAGTAAAATCATCTAGTTTTGATGCTGCCACATAATGTGCATACATGATAAATGAAGATATACAGTTTTTGTACCAGCATTTAGTGAAGGAACAGAGGTTTTTATTTACTTGCTTTTTTTTTTTCTTTTACATACTCAGATTCTTATTGCTTAGCTTATTTTGTCCCTTGGAAGCTTTTATAATATGTAATCTGTTACAGATTTCTGTGTTTTTGCAGAAGTTCTGTACTACTGGGTTCATTTATATTTCAGTAAATAAATACACAATGTAGAAAAACATAGTGTGTTCAAAGTACTGCCTTAGCCATAAAGGATATGTAGATGGAAAGATCTGATGTTGCACAGAGGCACAGAAATGTGAAACACCAAGGTGGGCTCAGGGAAACGGGGTGCCTGGGCACCGCTGGAGCATGTTGTGGAGAGAGAGAGGTTGTTATGGGGTGGCCATGCAGGACCTCTGTGCTGTGCTGGTGATAAGGGATAGTTCGAGGCTTTTATAGGGTTAACTTTAGGTTATCAAGGAAACTTATCAAATACTTCTCTACCATTGTAGATAGCTGAACTCTATAGTAATTAGGAATGATTTACTGTATTACTATTCTTTCCCCCAGCAGAGTGCTTCATTTTCATAATTTTTGAAACTAGCATTTCTAGACCGTAGTTTGGTGCAGATACTGATGTACTAATGGGGCTGTCTAGAGAAAGGAAGGATTTGGTGGCAGATGCACTCAACTAATCTGGATTAGAACAAATTTCTCAGGTTAGAATTTGGCACTCTAGTCATTTTTCAACATAGTAGATGGTTGCAAAGGTTTTCTTTGTATTTAGTAATTTTCAACCAGAATAGAGAATGAAATATCTTTGCATGATATTAGAATTTGGTACTAATACCATAAATGACATTGTACTTAATGGCACTGTTAGTGAGAATGAGACATTTGATGATATTTTATAATCTGCAGATTGTTATTTTGCAATGTTAAATGCTATTCTGAAACCTTTTTCTCCCTTTTTTCTGTAGGGCTTCATTTGTCCCCAGTGTATGAAATCCCTTGGATCTGCTGATGAACTTTTCAAACACTATGAAGCAGTCCACGACACTGGCAATGATTCCAGTCAAGGAGGAGAGGCTCATCTCACTCTGAAGCGGTACAGTATACAGTGTGATGATTTTAAGTGTGGTGTTGTTGTGTTATGTGCTGTCACTGCTTAGTCATGATTCACCAGTTTATGAGAATGGCAACATTTTTATATTATTTAATTTAAATATGTCCTCCCTTTTCATTAAAACCTATTCAGTCCTTGATTGGCCACTGTCTACACCAGCCTCTACAACTTGGAACAGAGGTTATGTTTTTAATGAAGAATGTGAGTTAGCAAAAGAATGTTACCTAATGTTTGACATATTCTGCCTGATAACACTTTGCAAACTTTGATCATTTTATAGTAAGTTGTTAAAATCATGATTTAGCCTAGAAATAAAATTTAATTTTTTAATTTAAAGTTTTAAAAATTCCATTTATAATCACCAGTATAGTAATCAGCACACATATGTATTGTGCTTCTTGGTAATTTAGCCCTTTAGAGAACTAAAATTAAACTAAAACATAACTACCTATAAAAGCATTCAACAATATAGTTTTGCTTTTCTTTTGCTATTGAAGAGGACTCTTTTACCCCCACTAATGGGATAAAAGCTTGATTTCGTTTACTTGTAAAAACTTCTTTCACTCTTTCCTTAAAAAAACAAACAACTTCTTGGTTGATTAATCTGCTGTAGCATAAAGAATACCGCATACAGGGAAAGTATGATAATGATATAACTGTGGGTGATGGATAATGCAGAACTGTAAAATATGGTTGTTTTTATTAAAATATGTGGGAGAGCCAGTGCTTTTCGGAAGAATGACACTTCATTTTTAACATGACTATTAATAAGCTTTGGTATTTTTATGTCTGAGTTAATGATTTTGGCTACTATTCTTACATCTTTTGTTAGGAATTGATTCAATTAATTGATATTAAATCACATTATAAATGTTTTTATATTTAATATCCATTTAACAGAGTTGCTTTTTCAGCTTTGCTTTTTCATCTGTGGATTGGACCATGTCCTGTATTTGAACTTTCAACATAAAAACACCACAGTTGTCCTTGTCCTGTTTACTTTCTTCATGTAGTTTTTGACTCACTAAAGCCTGTCTTCTGCCCTGACCTTCTCCTGAAATTGCTCCTTCAAAGACCATCAGGAATCCGGATTATTTTCAGTTCTTATCTTACTTGATAGCTGGTTTGGAGACCTATTACTGTCTAACAATCCTCCTGAAGCATATAGTGGTTTATGACTGTTATTACTTCTTTTATTTTTTCTTTTTTGGGTTGGAGTCTTACTCTGTCTCCTAGGCTGGAGTGCTGTGGCACAATCACAGCCATCAGTCTCAACCTGTTGGGCTCAGGTGATCCTTCTGCCTCAGCCTTCCAAGCAGCTAGAACTACAGACACATGCCACCACACCCGGCTAATTTTTTGATTTATTGTAGAGAAAAGGTCTCACCAAGTTGCCCAGACTGGTCTTGAACCCCTGGGCTCAGGCAGCCCTCTCACCTCAGCCTCCCAAAGTGCTGAGATTACAGGCGTGAGCCACTGCGCCCAGCCCATATTACTTCTAATGGTTATTCACGCTATTAGACTGGGTGACCAAATGGTTCTTCTGCTTTAAGTAAGGTTGACTTCTCCTCTTCCTCTTCTTCCTTCTCTTCCTTCTTCCTCCTTTTCCTCCTTCTTCCTTCTCCTTCCCCTCTTCTTTCCCTCTCCTCCCCTCTTCTTTGTTTTTTTTTCCCCTAGGTCTCACTCTTTTCCAGACTGGAGTGCAGTGTAACAGTCATGGCTCACCAAAGCTTTGACCTCCTAGGCTCAGGTGATCCTCCAGTTTCAGCCTCCTGAATGAATAACTGGGACTATAGGCATGCACCACCACACCCAGCTACTTTTTTTGGAGAGATGATGTCTCACTTTGTTGCCCAGGCTGTTCTTGAACTCTTGGGCTCAAGTGATCCTCTCACCTTGGCAACCCAAAGTGCTGGGATTGCAGATATGAGCCACCACGTCTGGAGCTGCCAGACTTCTTTAGGCCTGATTCAAAAGTGTCAGAGCATCACTTCTGTTACATTCTGCTGGTTAAGGTAGTCACAGTGCCAGCTTAGATTCAAGAGGCCTGGAAGTAAACTTTATCTTGCAGCGGAACGGTGGGTTTGTACATAGGAAGGGAAGCACTTGATGGCAGTCATCCTGAAGACTGTCTGTAACAATCTATGCAGAACTGGACACTGCTAACTCTTTTCTGATCTTCTGAAACAACATATTGTGATCTGTTTTTCTTATTCTGTTTGGCGTGTTGCTCTTCCTCCATATAACTTACCTTGGGTCATATTTGCATCCATAACTTTCTCCTAAACTATGTCTCCAGTCTAGAATTATTTTCCAAATTGCCTACTGGGCATCTTCCCTTAGATGTTCCAAAGGTATCTCATCTCTGACATTGGGAAAGCAGAGCTCATGTAATTTCCTGCTCAGCCTACTTCTTGTCTGCTGCCACTTCTGAAGAGTAGCAGCGTTGCATGGCCATGACTCTCCTGAAGCCAGAAAGTGAGGTGTGCTCATTTGTGCATATCGGCTCCTGCACCCCGTCTGTTCCAGCGCAAGTTTTAGTCAGTTATGTTTCTTTAACAGCTGACATTCTTTTCCATTGTGCACTGCTGAAGCCTGCATTAGACCTTATCGTGTCTCACTCAGAAACGCTCTTTAGTGTCTATGGTTGGCTCTCTGTCTTCAATCTTGCCTCTTCCAGTGAGTTCTCCATATTGCTGCCAGAATAAAAGTCTTAGAATGCAAATTTGATTGCTGTTTCTCTGAATAATCAATTTTGCTGGTTTCTCATAGCTTATATTTCCACTTTTATCTTGTATTGTGTCTCTTCTTTCTATCTTCCCGTCCCCTTCCAGTTTCTTAAGATTACATTTTACACCTCTGTAACACATTGAATCACATGACTGTGGGCAGCATATGTCTCTTAGATCAAAAATTCACATGACTTGGGTGGGTCATTAACCTTTTTGCTTTAAAATTCTCTGTTCATCAGCATACGTATGAATTCCATTACATCAGTCAAGTACCAGAAACCTGATGTGTTAATGGTTTTTATATGACTAGATTTTTAAATATACAAGGAGGACTACAAAGAACCCTGAATTACCTTTTGGAGGGTGGGCCCCTTGCAGTACAGGTTCCCCTGCCAGGTAAGTGTTCTAGGAAACCATCGGCATCAGTTTACTACTAGTGTTGTTGTCAAAGACTGCATTCGACTTCAGTGAAGTTTTTTTTGAGATTCTTTTAGTGTGGTTTGTCTACTGTGTCCATGTACATATAAACAAATATAAAAATACTTGTAATAACATAAAAGGTAGCAATTCTACGTTCTACATTGGGTGATTTATGAGTATACCTGTCCATACCATGCTGAGTGTTCAGCAGTTTTTCACCAAAAATGGCATGACCCCTCTCTCCGTCTTCCCTATTTGCCTGATCTTGCTCTGAGTGGTTTTTTTTTGTTTGTTCCCTGAATGAAAAAAGTCCTCAAAGAGAAACGTTTTGCCAGCACGAAAGAGGTGAAACAAAAAACAGCAGAAACACTAAAAGGCATCAAAATTGATGAGTTCAAAAACTGTTTTGAGCAATGGCAAAAGCATCTTGATAGGTATATTGCATCAAATGGAGAGTACTTTGAAGGTGACTGAAATTTAAACATGTAAGAATAAATATACAATTTTTTAATAAATAAATTCTGGGTATTTTTTGGGTTCCCCTTATATATGTAGATGGTAGGAGGTATATACATGTACCAAATTCAAATGGCTCAAAAAGCTTTAAATTTGAGCCATTGAGTCAAAAGTGAGCCCTTGACACCCTTTTTCCTAGTTTCTTACTTTTCCCTATCAATTTCTTGTGTATTCTTCTAGAGATAGTCTATGCACCTATACACATATGCTTGTGTCCATGTACATATAAACAAATATATAAATACTTGTAATAACATAAAAGGTAGCAATTCTACATTGTTCAATACCTTTTGTTTCTCAATATCTTATAGATTCTTTTATACCATTGTAGATAAAGCTATCTCATTCTTTTTGTGCGTGTGTGTGTCAGAATCTCATTCTGTTGCCAGGCTGGAGTGCATTGGCACACTCACGGTCACCACAGCCTTGACCTGCTGGGGTCAGGCGATCTGTAACTGGAACTACAGGCACGTAACACCACGCCCGGCTAATTTTTTGATATATCGTAGAGATGAGGTCTCGTCAAGTTGCCCAGGATAGTCTTGAACACATGGGCTCAGGCGGTCCTCTCGCCTCAGTCTCCCAAAATCCTGGGTTTATAGGTGTGAGCCACCGTGCCTGGCCTTATCTCATTCTTTTTAATGATAGCATGGAAATTCATCATTCTCTTGTTGTTGACTATTATGATGTTTCCAGTGTTTTGCAATTATATATGGCATGGCATCGTATATATCCTTGTGACGATATCATTTGTACATTTTTTAGTATACATATAAGATCAATTTCAATCCAACAAGGGAAGACACATTCCTGACATCCAGAATAATAATTCTCAATGTGTTTTCTCATTAACTCTCTTCTGTGACAGGGCCTGGAGTGGTCAACTCATATTGTCATTCTGACTCTTAGTTGAGGGAAGCAGAGAGGGAGAAGGTTCTCAGATAAGGAAAGAGCAGGAGTGACTCAAGGAACAGAAAGAAATCAGTGTTGCTGGAGCTAATGAAAGGGTGAGAGGCAAGGCAGAGACTAGAGGATGCAGATTTTGTAGTCCTTGTTAACAAGTTCAGATTGTATGCTAAATGCAGTTGGAAGCCATTGATGCTTGTTAGAAAGTGAACGGGAGACATTTGGCTTCTGGCTCAGGCACTTGACAGTCAGTTATAGGATTATGTCTATGAGAAAATGGTTTTCCATTTATAGGCCATGGGCTTTAAGGAGTAAAATTGTTTTTCTAAGTGCTTTATTTATGTGCCATTATGCATAAAGTCTTCAATGGTTTATTTTTATTTTTTTTAGGAATTGAGAGAACTATAATATTAATCTATAGCTGCTAGCCATGATGTGTCAAGAGATCAGGTTGTTAATTCAAGGACATTAACAGTTGACTCCTTTTTCCTCTCATATGTGTTTAGAGATGATATAACGCTGCTCAGACAAGAGGTCCAAGACCTACAGGCTTCGCTTAAGGTAAGAATAACAATGATTATACTTATTTATTTTCATTGTTTTAGACGATATATCTTTTAAAGTTTGTTAATTAAAAATTTTTTTTTCCTTAGGAGGAAAAATGGTACTCAGAAGAATTAAAGAAAGAATTAGAGAAATACCAAGGGCTACAGCAGCAAGTAATTGCTTTTAAATACTTATATAGCACGTTTGTTATTTGTTTATTTTTATTACTGAAAATTAACCTTAATATCTTTTTGTAAGCAGTTGGTCTGATATCAATAATTTCTCACTTGTTCCCCTGTGTTTAATAACCTACAGTGTCCACTCTTTGTCATTCTAGTGAATGCATACCAAGTGTATGGGAAGTGAAGATTTACCCTTTTAAAGGTACCCCATTAGGGATCAGTTTCCTATGGACTTTTTTTTTGTACTGGGCTATATTCTAATTTTTTGTTGATAAACCTATATGGTTAAAAAATATAAGTTCAAACAGCAGTGACTCTCTTCAAAGCATTTGTATTTTGTGACCAACTGGAAATGACAGAATGTCTATTGGTAGGTAAAGAAATATTAGCTATTTGTAATTTATGTTAGTGAAGATTGTTTGAAACTGAGAAACCTGTTCTATTAACAATGTTAGGTTGTAAAAAAACTGAATAAAAATGTGTATGTGTACACATGTATGTGTGTGCATACACATATGTGCTGTACAACTTTCCATACAAATAATACCTAGAGGAAAAAAAAAAAAACCAGAAGAAAATCACTAGTATCAGCAGTGGTCATCTCTGAGTGGGATTCTTTCACGATCTTAGATTCCATTTAGTTTAATGAATTCTCCAGTTAAATGCTTTAACCAGTTATGATTTTGATGCTGAAATCATGTTGACTTTATGTTGAGATTGTAGGAAGAATCAAAGAATAAGGAATTTTACCAACTCCGTATGGAGCCATTTTTTAGATTCCCTTCAGCATAGTTCTGATATGTAATTAGGGAGCGATTCCTCTGCACATTCTCTTACTGCATTGTGACTTTCAGTCAGTCCTTTTTGCTTTTTAGTCTTTGTACCAAGAATTGTCATTTGGACTAGAAAAGACAAAAACAGATAAATGAATAGTATCAGTCTTATTACCACATAACTTCTCTAATTGGGGATTCTGTTAACATTAAATAAGTTTTCAGTAAGCTAAAATAGTGTTCATTTACTCATGTTTTCCATTCATACCAGGAATAGTTAATCAGACATGGACTGTACTCTTTTCTGTACTTGAAAGGAAAGAGGAAATTGTCTACTACATTTGAGAGGAGTATTTCACATTTAATAAGTTTAAGTAAATGCTCCACAGTGCAAGGTGTAATTACCTTGGCAGGAAATTTACCTTTGGGGAAAACTGTATTTTAAATGTTAATGATTCTTAAAAATCAATACGTGTAAGTCCAATGTATAGGGAAATAAAAAGGTACACATATGAAATGCCTTATTAAACACTTTCCCATATGCATAATTCTTTAAAATTAAAAGAAAAATCAAGGTAGTATATTATTTTGTTTCTAATGTATGTGATACATTAAGACTTATGGAATATATTCTTTATTTCTGCTTCTTTTAAAGTTGATCGATGACCCTGAATTTAAAAACTATACTTTTAAAGCCAATTTTTTTTTAGTAGTGGCAGCTTGATGGCATGTTTAAACATATGCAAACATTAAAATATTATAGGTGGCTTGCTTGATTGCAAGTATGACTTCATGAACCACATGGTCTGTTGCCATACAAAGAGAAGTACTTTTCTTAGTCTCACAGTGCTTCTGGGGGGGTGGGGCATAACATGAGCATCTCTCACAGGGGTTTCCACTATGGTAGATGAGGTGCGTTTACCACAGAGTGAGTGAGGCCTGTGGTTACTGAAGTCCAGTTGCTTGATGAGGGTGGAAGCAGGCCTTTGTGGAAAGCAGTCTCATTAAAGTTTGAGGTGTCCCTTCTTTGTGTATGTCTTCTCTGGAGTGATAGCATCTCTGTGATGAGAGCCCTAGAAGCGTTGCAGGTGCTGGTGGTGAGACTTAAAGCTCAGAGGCCAGCTGGAGTGGTCCTGCTGCAGGCTGAGCTGTCAGTCATGGAGAAGCCCCTTGGCAGTGCTGCTGCAGCTTCGGCTTTCCAGGTGTCTGTCAAGCTCTTAAGTGTCTGTGTATTTTGAAGTTCAGTAGTTGAGATTAGTAGCTCATATACAAGAGGGGACCCAAAAAACTGGAATTTATTTATAAAAAATTGTGTATTTATTCATACATGTTTACACTTCAATCACCTTCACAGTACTCTCCATTGGATGCAATACACCTATCGAGATGCTTTTTCCACTGCTCAAAACAGTTTTTGAACTTGTCCATTTTGATGGCTTTTGGTGCTTATGCCGTTTTTATTTCACTTCATCCACATGGGCAAACGTTTTCCTTTGAGAACCTTTCTCATTTGAGGAAACAAAAAATTGCTTGGGCAAGATTGGGTGAGTAGGGAGGGTAGGGCACAGGGTCATGCTGTTTTTGGTCAAAAACTGCTGAACACTAAGTGCGGTGTGGGCAGGTGCATTACAGTGGAAGAACCAGTCACCTGTTTGTCATAATTTGATATGTTTCTTCTGCAAATCGTGATATATAACCTCAAAACTTCAGATAAGAACTTTGGTTGTCCACTTGATCCAGAAGAACAAATTCCAAGTGTACTACCTGGGGCCCTCCCTCCAAAAGATAATTCTGGGTTTTTTTGGGTCCCTCTTTGTACAGGGTATGATAAGGTCTGATGTAGCATTATCGATGAGATGGGATGTTCACTCTAAGTTCTCACCTGTAGGTTTGAACATCACATGCTTGACGGGAGGGTAACACCTCAAGTTCTTCTTACAGCCAAATAGTTATTGTCTACTTAGCAAGCTATGTTAAGTGTTTAGAATCATTTCAAAGCTACGTAGCAGTAGGATTGATTCTCACCTGCTGGCTTAAGTATTTATTTTAGAACCTATATTAATCACTATAATAATTTGTCCATTTATTTAACTTATTACTGAATTCATATAATTTAAGATGTCTATTATAAGACTCATAATAATTTCATATATATTGGTGCCCCAAAAAGTCTGTTTTAGAACTGAAGTTAGATCATTATACTCTTCAGCCTATGGGTCTCTTGAAGATCTGAAAGAATGGGAACTACTGAATTCTAATTTTTGCCAAAATCATGCTACTTTCCTGACAATGTGACTTTCAGAGATTTTTCACATTGGCAGTTGTGACAGTTTTATATTTTTCTTTTAATGCATTTATTTATGTCTTTTGTTTTTATTGAGGAGGCCAAACCTGATGGCGTGATGACTGATTCATCAGCAGGTAACTTTACTTAAAGTAAAGTTTATCTTTTTTTTCTTTCTCATTCTTTTTTTTTTTTCTCCTTTTCTTTGATGCCTGTTAAATGAATTTTGTTTTGTGGTTATACTTTATGGCTCTTAAACCGTGAAGATAATGGTTGTATTCTGGGTTCAGAGAGTTCATAATTTAGTAAGTTAATTGAAATTTTAGTTTTTTTTTTAGTTCGTTATATTCTGAAATGAGAAATAAACTTCTGGAATATTGTTTTTAACCATTTCTAATTTATCTTACTTTGTGACTGATTTTTATTAGAGAAGAAGTATATGTTCCTATAATCAGTTGATGGATACAGGAAAAAATTTGCAAAATGTGAAGTAAAAATATCTTGCTTTATATGTTTGTAAGTTATCATTTGTGCCTTAAATAGATCAGACATGCTTAATTCTTGAAATGTGAAAATACGTGTAATTGGATAATAGTCATATTGATTGTCTTTCCTACTATAATGCTTATGATAAAAATAATAACAGTTTAGCATTGTAATTAGCATCATATTTGAATAGCTGCTACATTTTTTGTAGAACTGCAGTCTTTGGAACAACAATTAGAAGAAGCCCAAACAGAAAATTTTAATATTAAGCAAATGAAAGATTTATTTGAGCAGAAAGCAGCCCAACTTGCTACTGAAATTGCAGGTAAATGGAGTCAAAATTTTTTAGTCAGTAAGTCAGTCTCATTATATTTTTTCCATTAGATACCCTGGAAATAAACATAGTACTTTAGAGTGATAAAGTGTTTGTATAGACTTTGATTGATGGAATTTAATGATATTAGAGTTGCTTTGAAAATTTTGTTTGTCCTCCTGTTTCTTCCTTGAAAGGACTTGTTTTTCTCTAGATTTCTCTTGAAATTTAGAGCAAATAAATTTTCTTTTGTGGTAAGCTTAAAGATTTAAAATGTTATTTTAAAGAAATGAATGGAATAATATAGATTTAACACTTGGCCATGCTGTCAGTTGCATTTTTTTTAACCATTACAGTCTTTTAGTTAAAATATCGTATGTGATTAAGAATACATTGAAGTGTTCATTAGTAACTTAGTGTTGGATGGAATTATGGAGGCAGGAACATTTTATTATTTTTAAGCTCACTTAATGTAACTAGAGATATACATTTACTGTATATATTTATGGTTACCTAAGGAATGTGAATTAAAGCTAGGATGGTAACGCAGAGTAGTACACTGCCCTCTTGAGTGAATGTCACGAAACGAATGTTCATTTAATTGTCTTTAATTAGATATAAAGTCAAAATATGATGAAGAAAGGAGTCTTCGAGAAGCTGCTGACCAAAAAGTGACACATCTGATGGAAGAGTTAAACAGAGAGGTGGCTGTGATTCAAGATCTGAAGACTGAGCTGGTAATGTAGGAACCATGTATTGGGATGTGCTTTTATATCTTTCTAAATTAAAAATGGAGTAGTACTCTGAAGAAAATTGTAAAAAATATAGTTCAAGTAAAATGGAGCAAATAAAAAAATTTCCTTCTTCTACCACCTACATACATATATATTATATATTATTTTTAAATGAAAATGGAATGTTATGATCCATAACTTACAACCGTAATTTTTTTTTCCATATAAATATCATCTGTCATTTTAGTATTTTTCATGTCTGCATCTCTGATTCTGATCTTCCTTTGCACTTTAGTTTTTTTAGTCCATCTGCCTTTAGGATACTTGCGAATGAATTTCTAGTTTTCATTTCAAATTCAACAAGTGTAAATCAGAGCCATCATCTTTCCTCCCTGACTGTGTTTTTGTCACTTGTACTATACATCTATATTGCGCTCGGGTGGCCTCACAACCTGGAGCTGCCCTCGCCTTTCTTTCCTTTATGCACACTTGATAAGTACATGAATAAATAAGTCAACTACATCCAACTAACCCTGATCATGCTTACATCTGCTCTTAAATTTTTATTACCAGTTTGCTAGGATATAAAAAGAAGGAATGCAGCACTTACCAAGTCATTGTTAAGGCCAGTGGATGTAGTTTGTGATGGAAAGGAAAGCAAATGAGGCACTAAAGATAACTGTGAAATTGCTGAATTGCACCAGAGTGAAATACTGTTAAATATAAGATAGAACGTGTGTGTGTGGGGATTATAGGGGAAGATAGTGGGGTTCAATGTTTGGAGTCCAAAACTTAATTTAAAGACTGTTTTCATTTTGATTCCTTTGTAGTGAAACTCTCTAACAGCATATATTATTTTGGTTTTTTTGATGGTCATTTTTAATTGAAAATGTGTTGCTTCACAGCTACAGAGACCTGGTATAGAAGATGTTGCTGTGCTGAAAAAAGAACTAGTCCAAGTTCAGACATTAATGGATAACATGACCTTGGAACGTGAGAAAGAATCTGAAAAACTCAAAGATGAGTGCAAAAAGTTACAAGCAGAGTATGCTAATTCAGAGGTAATGAAGTTCAGTGTACTTAGATGTGATTGATAGTAGCTTGTACAGTGCATACTGTTGTGTGAAGTCAGAATTTGACAGTTTTCTGAGTTTCCAACAATATTTGCCTTTTATTTGATCTGAGTAATACTTGTTTATGGTCAATATGATCTGATAGTCAGTGTTTTACTTTTGCTTTTTAAAGCTAGATGTTTGGAGAGGAATGTTTGAATAAAAGATTATTCTATTCAATAAATGGTATATATTGAGGAGAGATGACTTTTAGGGTTAGGTTTATTCAAGGCCAGTTGATAAATGGTAGAAGTAAAGGAAGAATGATATCCTTTTCTACAATTATATTATCAATGTTGTTTAGAAAAAATATTTTTAAAAAACTTCTGTTGTAAAAAGCTTATTTTTGGTTGATAGATGTTGAATATCTGTATGGAAGGAGTCTCGGAAGGATCTAGTCTGTCATTCCATTCAGGACTTCCCTTTGTAGCAGCCCTGATAAGTGACCTGCAACCCCGCCCAGGGGTTGTGGGCTGTGCGTATTAATGCCTTCGTCAGTTATTCTGTTGAGTTGATATTTGTTTCCCTATATTGCACATGCATGGTTCTGTTTCTTTCCTTAGGAATTACACAGAATAAATTGTTCCTCTTTCCACATTAGATATTTGAAGATGATTCGTATTCACTCTGAGCTTTTTCTGTTCCAGGATAAACATTGTCAGTTCCTTCTACCATTTCTCATATGACTTGACTTTGGCCTCTAAATCCCTTATATAATTATGTTAGCATGTGACCAGCTCTAAGATATGCATGTGACAAGCTCTAAGATGCATGATAAATATATTTGCTTAAGAATGCTAGTTGTTTTTAATGTGGAGTAGGAGATATTTTATTATGACTACTATTATTCGCAATCTTTAAGCTTCCTTATGTGAAGTGGACTGCTGTTTTATATTTTCAGTTAAAGTTACAGTGCTCTTTCAGTGTGCAACTCTTAGAGAGTATTAGCTGGTGATTTCAAATATGCTCTATTCACAAATAGTAATGTGTCAGCAAGCTGTGGGGTGTAGATAGTCCAGCTAACCCTTGTCTAATTCCTTCTTCATTTTCCTTCTCCTGTTACCTTCCCGATGCAGGGGTGGGGGATGGTGAAAGTTTATGGCTACAGCTCAAGTGGGCATGTGAGGTCCTGAGGTGCTTAACACTTCACCCTGTGCTAATGAACTGTAGATGCAGATTTTCCCAGAGTGGCACGTTGTAGCCAAATAACACTTAATCCACAATTTTTCAGACATTTTCAGGGATTTTATGAACTTACTGAAGCCAATTAAAGGCTCCTGTTCTAGTGGCATTACTAATTAGCAAAAGGCAGTGATTATAAGAACAAATGTGTACTCAAGGAAAGGCCTAGTCAAGCAGTCTCATGAGAGAAAGTTTCATTCAGATGTTAAAGGAGAGACCCTTGAACCTGGTGGATCCCTTGTCAGCCTTCCTGAATTTGGAAAGGGGTTTCTTTTTCTTTTCTTTTTTTTATTTCAAGATATTTTATTTTTAAAACAGGTCACAACACCAAGCTTTTGGCCCATTCTGCCACTGTACAAGCTACAAATGCTTGCTCTGCAGCTGAGGGACACTCTGTAGTAGCATGTCTGAAAAGTGAATAAAAATCCATATAAAACAAATAATCAAATAGTTTCCATAGGAACACAGATAAGTGTGACCCCATCTCCTAGTCTTCCATATTGCTGCATCTGCACCAACCCTACTGTTACAAAGGTGATGGCCTTGATCGGATTGTAGAGCACTGTGACCTGCCCGAAATGCCTGTGGGCGATTGGATGATCTTTGGAAAGGGGTTTCTTTATTTCAGTAAGAACTCATTTGAGTCGATTTGTGTGCCTATTGGTTTTCTCAGGTTAAAAACAAATCATGGGTAACCCCCTGGGTCCCCTCCCGCTATGGGGGCTTTTCTGTCCTCTCAAAAAATCCTGCTTAAAAACAAACCAAACCAAACCAAATTACACTCTTTTGATTAAAAAATTTCTTTCAATACTATTTGAAATTTTAAATAAATATTTTATGGTGACTAAAAGTAATGGCAGTTTTAAGATATATATATATATTATTTTGGGGTTTTTTTTTAATTGAAGTCTCACTCTGTCACCTAGGCTGGAGTGCAGTGGCATGCTCATGGCCAAACTGCTGGGCTCAGGCAATCCTTACACCTCAGCCTTCCAAGTAGCTGGAAATATAGGCATGAGCTGTCATGCCTGGCTAATTTTTCTAGATTTATTGTAGAGATGAGGTCTCATCAAGTTGCCCAGGCTGGGCTAGAACCCTTGGACTCAGGCAGTCCTCTCACCTTAGCCTCCCAAAGTGCTGGAATTATAGACGTGAGCCACTATTCCCAGCCAGATAAATGTATTTTTAAGTGCAGGGTTTTCTGACTTTTTTGTTGAGAGTTCTGTAGTTACACATATACTATTTATTTAATATTTGTATATAAATAAATAGGATATTAACAAGGAAAATTAATTTATACACTTACTTGCATTTAAAAAATATGGGTGAGAAAATAATATAACTTGCTAATAGAAAAACATTTCTAAGTAATATTTTATGTAAGAATTACTCTAGGTTTAATTTGGAGGGTTTTTATAAATTATATTTTTATTATTGTAGATTCAAATATCTATAATGAGAAAAGGTCATTTAAGATGAAAAAACTCTGGCGAGCTATAGAAGATTGGGAGTGAAAGAATTTTGTGTTTTCCTCCATTGTCCTCCTGTGAGCAGGGCTAATGGTAGGAAACAATGTTTGTTTGCTTTTTTTCTAGGAAAGATGCTTCCAAGAAAAAAGTAAATGGCTTAGAAATCAGTTCTTCACATCTTAACCTCATTCAAGTTTTCATAAAAATTTATCTTTTCAAGTATTTTGAAATAAATTTAGGAAGGGATTTATTTTTGCTGAGCAATTGAATAGGTGATTTAATATTTAATCAATAGTTGTGTAGTGATGAGTGAAACCTCAGGCTATGTTAAAATATTTTGAATAACTTTAGGAAGTGATAGCGTAAAAATCTGACTTTTAGGGGTTTTGGATACTGTGTGAGGCACTTAAAATATGTGACCTCATTTGTTTCTTACTACCCTGTAAGTTATATACTAAGTATGTTTTACATATGAGGAATCTGAGGCTCCATGAGGTTAGGTAGCTTGTTCAAGGTCACATACCCAATGTAAGAGCTGGGGCTTGAACCCAGGTCTTACACAAAGCCTGTGTTTCTCCTTCTGTATCATGCTGTCTCCTGTCTTAGGTCATCTGATGATTGCCTTTTAAGTCAATTTGTGTTATAAATTTTTCCTTAGTACTTCTTGTAATTACTTTTTTAATGCTGCCATATTTATTACATGTAATATTTGCATTGGGTAATAGCTTAAAATATTTTTGAGTTGTGTCATACCATTTTCATATGAAAAAATACTGTCTAATTACTTCATCTCATTTGTTTATAACTCCATTTGTTTTTTAACTTCTGCTTGCTCTGAATATATGGCATGTATTTGTTAATTTATTAAAATTCAGTTCTATTTATTCTCAGTTAAGCATGTTAGTGAATATTACACTTAAATAATTTGCTAGAGAATTTTTATTAGAGGTGTTGCTTTTACCAAAGCTAAATACTGGCATCAGAAACAAAACACATAAAAAGGAATTAAAGGAGCTAAAAACATATTTTAAAATTTCAGATAAACAATTATTTCAAATAGATGATTTACTTGACTGGTCTTTCTAGTTGGTGCTAAAGGTATATAATCTGGTGTACATTACTAAATATGTGCTTATGGTTATTATTTTCATTACTATTCATTGATTTTTTTTTGGCCTAGATATTTTTGAAGGCCTGTAGAAAATATCTTATTCTAAAGCATTTGAAAGTACTCTGTAAATGATTGGCTTTTTTATAGATTGGAGATTAAGGATTTAAATAAGGTTAAACAGTAATATTTATAAAAATCGACATTATTGAAATTATCAAAGCTGTAATCAACTTATGTTTGGTGTAGTCTTTTCTGGAAATGATTTTTAAAGAGTTGAATTTGTATTCCAAATAAACTCATTTAAATCCCAGTTCTAAAAATGTTTCCATAGGTATGGAATAAGTATAATTGCATCCATGCATAGTGATTAAAGAAGGCACCTAAATATCTTTTGAAGTATGCTAACTTATGTGACTGGATTTGTTGGTGTGTTTGGACATGTTTATTATGTGCTCAATGTGTGTTTTTGTCAGTCTTTCCTTCCACCTTTCATCCATCATTTTGTTATTTTTTTCTGCTTTCTAATGGAGATGCTTAAACTTGAGGTAATGTGTTTTTGGAAGGCTTTTTAATATTAATCATACCCTTAATATAATACCTTCAGTTGTCATATGGCAATTTTGTGTTTCAAGGCAAGCTTAGAGCTTCAAAGAAATGTTCATTTTTGTTTTCTTAATCATGCATATTTTCAGCTGTCTTTAAATGATTATTTACTAATAGTCACAGAATTTTGAAACAATAATTCTGATTCTAATATCAAATGTTTACTTGGAATATTGTTCCTTAATTATTTTGTAATTTAAAGTTTTTTAGTAAAAATTTAATATCAAATTGAATAACATTTCAAAAAATTAAGGCAATACAAACTATTTTAATAGGCTAATATATTATTTCCTTGGAAATAAATACCTAGGAACTCCTTGGCAGTATAATTACTTATTCCTTTACAAGATGTTTTTTGCCTACTAAGTGTGAGACTATTTTAGGTGTGGAGATTACAACACTGAGTAACAGAGTGCCTGCTCTCGTAAGGCTTAGATTCCTTTGAGGACTTTGAAAGATAAGCTGTGTAGGTCCACCAAATCGTGATAGAAAGTCAGGTGAGAATAAGTGCCATGAAGGAGAAGAATAAAGCAGGGCATGGGCAGCTGTGGACCTGAGAGTAGCATAGAACAGCTTTAGGTAGGATAGGCGAGTGGATCTCAGGAGGCGTGTGAGGAGGATGGAGTGAGCAGGGGTTAGAGCACAGCCAGGAACCAGGATTCTCAGGTCATGAGAGTGCTGAGGCCCATGACACGAGGGAGTGTGACTGGTAAAGGAGAGGCAGCGTGGGCAAGCAGGAATCTTACCTGTAGTGATATCCAAGGAGGAAATGTAGTTTTTTTTCCCTTTGAAATTGTTGTCTTTCTTTAGTCTTGTAAATGTGCTTCCCAAATTTAAGCATAATATGCAATCACTGTAAAAGATTGAAATGATCCATGACTTGCAGCGAAGAGAGCGATCTTTCTGAAGCTCATGTTCCTCCCCTGCCTTATAACCAAAGTCTATCCTTTGGTGGGTCCTTACGTAAATGTTACATCCTTGTGTTTATCTTTATAAGAATTTTAGTTTTCAAAATATCCAAATTTAGTGTACAAAATATAAATGATGCATATGACGTTCAGTTTTTTAGGTGTTAGTTTTATAAAATCATTTATAAAAATGCATCTAAAAGTTATAAAATAAGACAAGGCATTTTTGGAGTCTATTTTTTTTACATGTTCCCTGTTTCATTTTTTCCTACATGTTGGAATTTATCAACAAGGTAGACACTGGCTGGGTATTGCATTTGGCCTACTACATGTTCTGTATGAAAGCATAATATTTTGATGAAATATGCACATAATTTACATTTTACTATATACTCTTATTGATATTTATTATGTTCCAGAAACCTGTGTAAAATCCTTTGGTAAGATATTTACAAGTAGGGATTTAAAGGTGACAGTTTGTTTTCTTTTGTGGCAAGTTGGCCTTTGTGCTGTATGGTTAAAACAGAGTAACTTAAAATAGTCAAATTGTTTCTAGCGTTTCTATTACATCCATAATCCTACTAACAAAATGATCCTAAGATTCACAGTTGTTAGAAATAGTAATTTGAAATACAAACTCCCAAAACTTGTATCCATTTCAAGGTTATGTGATCCATTTAAGACAGATGGTATCATACCCAGGTGAATTAAAAAATGATGGTATTATACCCAGGTCCAAGGATTATGATTAAGGGTATGCCTTGAGTTGAATCTCCTTGAAAAATGCATGAATATTGAAATGTTTTCTTCTTTGAAGTATATTAAGATTAAATATGCCTCAATATACCAATTGTTACATAAGATATTGAAACACCCTGAATAAAGTGTAGCTATAAAGTGATGTTACATATTGCCTTTCATGTAGCAGAATTAGTGCATTTAAAATGAATGTTTTCTTTAAATGATCAGGTAATGTATGTATCTCAGACATGCTCCATTCCTAAGAACATTTTTGAAACTTATTTTAATTGACTTTAGACAGTTTGGAACACATGAGTTTTAATTTGTGGTTATTAAAATAAAACATGCGTAAGTGCTTGATCATTCAATTTAATCACTTACCTTGTGATTATTAAAATATAATAGGCCCAAGTTATTAAAATAAACTAAGCCTAAGTGTTTGATCTTTCAGTTCAGTCACACCTTGTTTACAAACTTTATACTTCCAAAACTTAAAGCTAATTTTTTGATTTTTTATTGTACAGACGAGGTCTCGCCAAGTTGCCCAGGCTGGTCGCGAACCCATGGGCTCAGGCAGTCCTCTTAACTTTCATCTCCTGAAGTCCTGGGATTACAGGTGTGGGCCACTGTGCCTGGCTACTTGTCTTTTTCTTATATTGTTTTTTAAATTATCAGACTATTGTTTTAATAATACAAATTAATATTCATTTTTAAAAAATGTTAAAATGTACTAAAACCAATTCATGTTCAGCTATTATATCTGATCATGTTAATGAAGCTGTGTACAACTTCAGTTTGGCAACTTATTTGAACAAATATATTTTCATTATATCAAAAAGGTGATTGACGACTGCCAAGCTCTGTATTGCTTGTTTGCACACACATGTCTTAAAGTAAAAGGGCAATTTTATGCTGTAGAAATTGGGAGATGATGTAGACATAACCTGCATATTATTTTTAAATTCAGGAGGATTAAAATCTAGAGTTTCAAAACCAATAAATTGTGACTTGCAGTTTGATGCTTACTTCAAACACATAAAGCAGGATGTCGACTTTTCATTTATGTTATTACTAAATAAGTGAAATTGTGCATCTTGGGTTAATTTTAAAAATTAGTTTTAAGCCCCCAAAAGAATGTAGTGGCAGTGAGGGTGGTGGGACACAGAACCCAGCTGGAAGTTCCAAGGATTATTTCAATTTAACAGCAGCAACAATGAAAAAAAATCTACATTTTCTTAAAACCTTTGTATACTTTCATTTTCTTTTTTATTTTAGTTTTCTCTAATTTTTAAAATTTTTTAAATTTAGGTCACAATAAACCAGCTAAGGAGTGAACTTGCCAAAGGCCCCCAGGAAGTTGCTGTATATGTCCAGGAACTACAAAAACTAAAATGTTCTATTAATGAATTAACACAAAAAAATCAGGTGAGCATTTTTAAGCGATATATAGTGGTGTGTCTTAAATTTTATGTGTCTTAAATTTTAATATTATGAATTTTTAAAAAATATATTGGCATAGTGCAGTGTGACTTGTTCTGTATTTTGTTTTGTTTTTGTTTTTTGAGTCAAAGTCTCACTTTGTCACTCAGTCTGGAGTGAGTGGCACAATCACGGCTCACCACAGCCTAGACCTTCTGGGCTTAGGCGATCCTTCTGCCTCACCCTCCCAAGTAGCTGGAACTACAGGCACACACCATCACGCCCAGCTAGTTTTTTTGATTTATTGTAGAGATGAGGTCCCACCAAGTTGCCCAGGCTAGTCTTGAACCCATGGGTTCAGGCAGTCCTCTTGCCTCGGCCTCCCAAAGTGCTGGGATTATAGGCATGAGCCACTGTGCCTGGCCTTATTCTGTGTTTTTTAAATTGTTGAGTACACTCACATTATTGTGCACATCAATCTCCAGAACTCTCTTCATCCTGAAGACCTGAAACTCTGCAACCACTGACTCCCCATTTCTCCTCCCCTGGCTCCTTGTGGCCATCTTTCTGCTTTCTGTCTCTGTGAATTTCACTATCATAGGTACCTCATGTTATAACTGGACCCAGGTCCAAATGTTCGCAGCTCAAAGCCAGATTCTAGAGGTGAGAGGTGGTGGAGGGAAAGACAGGTTTATTCAAGAAGCCGGCTTCCTAAGGAGATGGCAGACTAATGTCTCAAGTGCCATCTCAGACTTTGGGCAGGTCAGATAGGGTTTCAAGGGGAAAAGTGGTATGGAAAATATGTGGGAGTGGGGTGGCTGTGGAGTCCATGTGTCTTTGTTGGATGGCTAGCTTGAGGAGTTGTCCCTCTGGGCATGTGAGTGGTGTTGCCTAGGCATTGGCACTGGATCGGTTGTAGCCCTTCTGAGGAGAGGATGCTGCAATTGAGGCTCAGGCCTAGCTTGTTCTAAGATAAGCCTCCGTAATCTTGGGGGCCTGGTTTGCTATGCCCTTACTGTGGCTACTTGTCAGTGACCTGCTTCGTGGCTTCCCTAAGTGGGAAGAGGTCCACTGCTGGGCCTTCATGTCTGGCTTGCTTTAAAAGTAGCCCTCGGAATTCCTAGAAAGCATAGAGTTAGCTAAGCCTCACTGTGTAAGGGAGTGTCTGAGGGGAGGCAGGGGGAAAACAAATTTTTAAAGAACAGTTTTAAAGCTGAAGCTAAAAAGGCATGTTTAGAGTATGTTTTAAGGCTGCAGTTCTGGGTTACAGTGTAAGTGGAATCATGCAGTCAGGTAGTATTTGTCTTCTTTTGACTTACTTATGTCACTTAATGCCCACAAGGATCACCCGTGTTATGCCTTGTTTCAGAATTTTCTTTTAAGGCTGAATGATACCTCATTGCTTGTATATATTACACTTTCCATTCATCAGCCGATGGATGCTTGTGTCCTCTCTTTTGACTGTTTTGAGCAATGCTGCCCTGAGTGTGACTGTACAGATATCTCTATGAGACCTTGCTGTCAGTTCTTCACTCATAAGTGGAATTAGCAGATTGTATGGTAATGCTCTTTTAAATTAATTCTTGAGGAGTGACCTTGATGATAATTTTCATAGCAGCTATACCCTTATGGATTCCCATTGTAGTACACAGGTGTTCCAGGTTCTAACGGGATATAAGGTGATATCTCACTGTGGTTTGGATTTGCATGTCCCTAATGAGTAGGATGTTGAGTTTCTTGTATTTTTTGGCCATATATTTTTCCTTGTTGTTGTTATTGAGTTGCAGGAGCTCTTTATATATTCTGGATATTAGCCCCTTATCAGATATATGACAAAGACTTGATCCCATTTTGTAGGTTGCCTTTTCACTCTGTTGTGTCCTTTGATGTAGAGAAGTTTTGAATTTTGAGGTTATCTAGTTGATCTGCTTGTACCTTTGATGCCTGTGATTTTAGTGTTACATCTAAAAATTCATTGCTAAAATTAGTGTCCTAAAGCTTTTCCTTTGTTTTCTTCTAAGAGTTTTCTAGTTTTAGGCCTTATGTTTAGGTCTTTGATCCATTTTTATTTAATTTTTGTGTATGGCATAAGGTGACGGTGCAGTTTCATTCTTTTGCACATGGATATCCATTTTTCCCCAGCACCATTTGTTAAAAAGACTTTCTTTTCCCCATTGCATCCTTGTCACAAACTCTTTTGATCATTGTCTTAGTCTGCTTGGGCTTCTGTGACAGTATGTTCATAATCTGGGTAGCTCAGACACAATAGACATATACTTTTCACTGTTCTGGGACTGGGAAGTTCAGGATCAAGCCATCGGCAGATTCCATGTCTGGTGAGGATCTGCTTCCTGGTTCACAGATGGTGCCTTCTTGCTGTATCCTCATGTGTGATGCGACAACTCTGAGACCTCTGTTTATTTATTTGTTTGTTATTTTAGTCAGGGTTTCGCTTTGTTGCCCAACCTGGAGTTCAGTGGCACAGTCGTGGCTTGCCATAGCCTCCAGCTCCTGGGCTCAAGTGATCCTCCTGCGTCAGTCTCCCAAGTAGCTGGGACTATAGGTATGTGCCACCACACCCGGCTAATTTTTAAATTTTTTATAGAGATAAGGTCTCACTATGTTGCCCAGGCTGGTCTCGAAGTCCTGGACTCAAGCCATCCTCCTGTGTGTGTCTCCCAAGTAGCTGGAACTATAGACATGAACTGCTGTATCCAGGTGGGGTCTCTTTTATAAGAGAACTAATTCCATTCATGTGGGCTCAGCCCTTAGGACCTAATTGCCTCTGAAATTCTCCTTGGGGATTAGGATTTCAATATATTAGGTCTTGGGAGACACAGATATTCAGACCATAGCAACCATATATGCAAAAGTTTATTTCTGGGCTCTCTCTTCTGTTCTTTTGGTCACTGTGTTTGCCTTTATGCCAGTACCATGCTGTTTTGATTACTGTAACTTTGTAATTTTAATTTGTGAATTTACTCTGGAAGTGTGGACCTCCAACTTTTTTTTTTGTTTTGTATTTCCAAATGTTAATATCTTCTGTCTTGTTGCTTCATAAATGAGCAACAGCTAGTATTTAGTTTTGACAGAGGGTAGGTGCTAGTACTCATATTTTTGTTTCTTGTCTTTACTTTTTCAGTGGTGGGGGAGTTGAGTTATTAAACCCTTTCCTCCAAAGATGCAGTGAATGTGTTGGGTTCACTTTAATAACTTGAACCTTATATTTTGGTGAAATACAACAAGAGAAAAGGCAAGAAAGAAAAGAGTATGGTGGCCAGGAGCAGAGAGGGTTCTGTAATGAGCTGTAAGTAGTGAGGCTCCTACCAGCAACCTGTGCAGGGCTTGGGCAAGGACCTGCCAACCCTTGCGTGTCTTCAGAGAGACGCTGTGGGGGAACCACCCTGGAGAGCCACCTGGCGCCCCTGACCCTCAGAAACCAGAGCTGGTCAGTGCTGTTTCAGGTTGCTGCTGCTTAGTCTTAGGGTAATTTGCTGCCCTTGGCCTACAGTTCTTTTTACATTTTTAATGCATTTAAGGACTCCAAAGAGTTATTTTTGAGGGTGGAGGATGAGGGCTGTATTTATGTATCCTTACCATATTAGAAATTTTTAAAAAGAAATTTTAAAATTATTAATTAATATTTTTTTGAGTTGGAGTCTCACTCTGTCACCCAGGCTGGAGTGCAGTGTCACACTCATGGCCACCTCAGCGTTGATGTGCTGGGCTCCAGTGATCCTTCCGCTTCAGTCTTCCAAGTAGCTGGAACTGCAGGCTTGTGCTACCATACCTGGCTCATTTTTTGATTTATTGTAGAGACGAGGTCTCGCCAAATTGCCCAGGTTGGTCTCGAACCCATGGGCTCAGGCAATCCACTTGCCTCAGCCTCCCAAAGTGCTGGGATTACAGTCCGAGCCACTGAGCCTGGCCTATTTTTTAAACAATTACTCTTTAAGTATTAATATAAATAATGCTTCTTATGAGATATGTCTGTTTTCCAAAAGAAAATAATTCAACAAGAATAGTGGCGATGTTTTACATTTTTGCAAACCTCTTTAGTGTTTGGCTCAATATGGGACAGATGGATTCTCCTATCTGCTTTTACGTGCAGTCTGTTGTGCTATGGTAGAAGTGTGTGAAGGAAATTCAGTCTCACACAGATATGTAGTTGGAAAAGAAAGGAATAGTGTAATAGCCTTTTAAGAAAATAGTAGCCATTTTAATTGGATACTATATTAAAACCTGAGAAGTGATAGTCTCTCAAAAGTTAGTTACTATGTAGAATCTGCCCCTGCAGTTGGTGAGCTTCCTCTGCCCTAGACATGAACACTTGGTGGCCTTGCCTTTTGAGTGGCTCTGCTCCTCTGCATGATTTTGCAACATTGTGCATGAGTCATGTGGAAAATAGTGGCTCACTGAGTTACTCAGGTCTTCCCAATGTTGACACATTTTGTTACACAGTATAAAAACAATCATATTCCTCAGTTTCACCATCCATCTCAGAACATGCTGTAAGTTTGAGGAAGCTGTCAAACTCATGATGGCCCATCCACATTTTGCAAAATTCTAAGCATCATTTGAAAGCTTGAATTTTATCATTGGCAACAGATACCACCAATTCTGTTCTTTGAAATGATAGGTTCTCTTCCTACTCAAATCTGAATGGTCATACTTACTTTGTCAATCTTTCTAGTAAAAATGGTGTTTTATTTTAAAAAGTGGCTGGTTCAGTTTATGATTCAAACAATCACATGAGTACTTTTCCTCAAGACACTAATGTTATACAGCAGGAGTGGTGCATGCATGCTTCCTGTTTTTTCTTTTTCCTTGCTTCTCCACAGATTTTATAGCTGTGAACATTCATATTACAAATCTTATGCATTTGTACAAGAACTTGTCTTGCTCAAATGTATCTTGTTACACACCTCCAAGGAAAATTGCTAGGTTGTAGGGTACACATACATTTACATTTCTAGATGACCTCAAACTATCTTCCAGACTAATATAAGTTTACCATTGCCCATTTCATTCTCTCCATCAACTCTTGGTGCTGACTGGTTTTTAAAAATACTTATTTATTTATTTTAGAGGCAAAGTTACCCTCTGTTGCCCATGCTGGAGTACATTGGCATGATTACAGCTTATTGCAACCTCGGACTTCTGGGCTCAAGCAATCCTCCTGTCTCAGATTCCCCAGTAGCTGGGACTACAGTAGTGTCCCACCATGCTCAGCTAATTTTTTATGTTTTGTAGAAATGGGCTCTTGCTATGTTGTCCAGGCTCTGACTGATGTTTAAAATTTAATCTTCTTTTACAGCTAAACCTTTCCCTTGTAAATCTCTGCACTGCCCCTTTTTTTCTCCTGTCAAACTATGCATGGAAAACTTCTGCATAACAAGTTCGTTGTGTCAGTCATTGCCCCCAGTTTGGTTTTTAATTTCTTGGAACCCAGAATGTATCTTCTACTTCTTGGAAATTGATCAGGATATGTAGAGTAGCAATTTGCATGCAATGGATGCTTATGATCAGTGTAATTTATTATATATTTTTAAAACATTAAACTAATAATAAAGTACATGATTTGACATTGATATCTGAAATGTACTATCAAATCATCCAGTACAGGTTGCATATATACATTCACACACACTATTGAGAGAAATACTATGACTATTTTATAGATAATACATAGAATCAAGATGATTTTAATGTAAATTGGAGCATTTTTGATGAGGAAATAATAGGATCTTTTACTAAGTTTAATAATGCCTTACTGGCTGGGCACTGTGACTCACTCACACCTATAATCCCAACGCTTTGGGAGGCCAAGGCAGGAGAATCTCTTGGGGTCAGTTTAAAACCAGCCTGGGCAACATAGTGAGACCATGTCTCTTCAGGAAAAAAAAAAAAAGCTTTACATAAGTATAACCCTCCACATTTTTATTTTCCTAAGTGTTTCTCTGTTTAGGAATTGATTAGCAGTCAGAGCAAGCACAGAGCTGCCTCTGCCTTTTTTTTGAGTTGGAGACTCACTCAGTCACCCAGGCTGGAGTGCAATGGCACACTCATGGCCACTCCAACTTCGACCCGCTGGGCCCTGGTGAACCTTCCACGTCAGCTTCCAAATAGCTGGAACTACAGGCGCTATCATGCCTGGCTAATTTTTTATTTATTGCAAACACGAGGTCTTGCCAAGTTGCCTAGGCTGGTCTCAAATCCGTGGGCTCAGGCAATCCACTTGCCTCAGCCTCCAAAAGTGCTGGGATTTCAAACTGAGCCACCGAGCCCAGCCTTACCTTTTCTTATTATCCTTGCTCTGCGACCCCTTCTCCCCTCCTCGCTCCATATTGGGTAAACCATGATTGTTGATGATGGTGATATTCAGGTATTTGAAATTTGGAAACCTCTGTGTATGGTCTTTTGGAGACTATTATGATGTAAATGCCTTGGGCAGCTTTTGAGGGTCACAGGTGAGTGATATCTTTAGATCATTACTTTTATACAACTAGAAAAAAATTGAATTCATATTAGCTTACCACTCTAAAAAAGGGCCTTTATCAAAAGAGAAGGAAAAACAAAAACCTGCAATCAGTTGGTTAGGGCATACTAGAACAGTGGATGATTTTGTTAAGCTAAAGTTCTTATCAACTATGAGATTGCAAGGCTAAAAGTAAGTATTGGTACAGTCTATTGTTATTCAAAAGAATTTCTGTCAGTAGAAAGGTAGGTTCAGTTTTTGACCTAAAAGGAAGACTATAAATATATTGTGTACCCCCAGAGAATCCAGTGGATTTTAGTGTTTTTATTTTATGTCAATGTTTTCTTGGCAGTTCTTAAGTTGTATTAGTAGAATTTAGTCAGTTGGACCAATAATAAAATCAAGAGTTAGACTGTAATAATTTAACTTCTTGACTAGAATATTTTCACTGTCTTGTATTTTAATATTTGCTAAAACACTTAGTAGGAGATAGTCCTGCTCCAAAAGTTGTTTGAATAATTGGAATAATTACAAATGTTAGAAAAGGAAATACTTGGTTACATTGACATTTCAGACCTTGACAGAAAAGTTGCTGAAGAAAGAACTGGACTATAGCAAGTTAGAGGAAAAACACAGTGAGGAATCTGTGAGCAGGAAGAACATCCAGGCAGCCCTTCACCAGAAAGACCTGGACTGCCAGCAACTCCAGTCAAGACTGTCAGCATCAGAGGCCTCCCTGCAGAGAGCACAGGCAGAGCTGAGTGAGAAGGGAGAAGTCACCCAGAAACTCAAGGAGGAGCTGTCTGAGGTGGAGACCAAGCACCAGCATCTGAAGGCAGAGCTTAAACAGCTGCAACAGCAGAGGGAAGAGAAGGAGCAACTGGGGCTGCAACTGCAAAGCGAAATCAATCAGGTGAGAGCCGGGAGCTGGCTTTGTTGTAACTCCCCATGGCTGCTTCTTGGTGTGCTTGAGTGTATGATGTTTATTTGATCAAAATATAGTTCAAGATGAAAAATATTGACATTAAAAAAATAGCTCTATACCCCTCAAAAATAAAAAGCTACCTCCCAATTTTTATATCCTATGGTGTTGTTAGATCTCATTTTTAAAAATTTTAATCTCACTTAAGAAAAAATGATACCATTTGTCTTACAGCATTGCTGTGACATGCTTACGAGTGAGTGCCTAAGGTTGCTCAGGAGGGTCCTGGACCATGGTGGGTGCTGAATTCACTGGGTCTCAGTGATTGTCATTAATTCAAATGGGTGGCCATTCTTTAATTTAGAAATTCTTATTACATTTAAAAAATATAATTATTATAAAACCTATAGTATAAGAATAGATGTTTTAAAAGTACCCTCAATTGTGCCCCACTTTTTAAAAATAAAAATTAAAAGCAAACAAAAACAGAATAGCAAAAATGTCCATCCATTGGGGAGTGATAGACTAAATGATGCATCAACATGATAGGCTATTATACAGATATCAGAATTATCATTTATGAAAAAAAGTAGAAAACAAGTTGGTCCTAACACTATTTTTTATAAGTCACTGATGTCTGTTGAGTAAAGTTTGATGCAAGTTTTTACTTTGCCATTAACTTAATTTTTTAATGTCTTTATTCTAATTATTGCTTATAGGTAACTTTAAAAACTGGTTGGAAAATGGAAATTTGGGGGAGATGAAAGTCTTCAGCCACTTTTTGATCATGTTCAACTATTTTTACTTAAGTGACAGTGATGCTTTATTTTCTTGTAACTATTGTCATGGCTTTCTATCTTTTAGTATAATATGAATAATAATGATGATGTGAGTACTTTATTGGGCCTCAATCATGTTGCAGGTATTAGAGCAGGCACTTCCCATGTGCTGTCACTGATTGCTGAGATCAGACTCAATCCCTCAGTCTAGTGGGCCAGAGAGTTAGGAATGTTCTGAAACTTGGTTTCTTCTCCTGTTTCCACTGCTGTGTTGACACCTGCTGATGGATCTGCTTTTTTGGTCTTTGTCAACTGCATCTTATGTGTAGCCGCCAGAGTCATCTGTCTTTGAAACAAGTCTTACCATGTTTCAGCTGCTGTGACTCTTATTTTTTTTTTTTTTGAGTTGTAGTCTCACTCTGTTGTCCAGACTGGAGTGCAGTGGCCGCTCCCGGCTACCGCAGCCTCGACTGCTGGGCTCCGGCCATCCTTCCGCCTCAGCCTTCCGAGTAGCCGGAATTACAGGTGTGCACTACCACGCCCAGCTGATTTTTGATTTATTGTAGAGATGAGGTCTCACCAAGTTGCCCAGGCGGGTCTCGAACCCGCGGGCTCAGGCAATTCACTCACCTCACCCTCCCAAAGCGCAGGATTACAGGCTGAGCCACTGAGCCCGGCCTGCTGTGACTCTTGACTGACACTCTGTGGCTCAATGGGTTTAGCTCAGGTGCCATTGTTGGCTTGCATCCTCAGCTCTGGACCTTCCTTCATGGGGTTCTCCCCTGCAAGGATACAGAGACATGTGCTTGAGCTTTCCCTGCGTGTTGTGCTGTCTTGCTTTGTGGCATCCTTCATTCTGTCTTCTTGACCTTCAGTGAGTGGAGCACATTAGGGATTTGTGAGAGCCCGTTTAAACACATGCTTAGTAGAAAAAGCAGACCCAGTTTCTCCCACTGTGTGCTCACACTACAACTTCTGGGACAATCCCAGAGAAAACTTTTAAGTACACCAGTACCCAAGCCAATGCCAGAAATTCTGTTGTAATTTCACTGAGAATGAGGCCTTAACATTGATAAGTTTTAGCATTTCCAGTGCAAGTTCATATGGGATTTCTCCCCACCAGCAAACCAGCAGTCACTTCTGCAGCAGACACCGGCTGAGCATCATCTAATTCAGTTTATTTCTGACACTGCCTACCTGGAGATGGCATCAGACCCCACAGGCTGGGGGCTCAGTCCCACAGTTCTGTCTTCGACTTCCCAACACCAATCGCAGGCCCCAGGTCATTTCACTTGTGCTTCTAACCAGGTGGCTGTAAATTGGAATTTCCATGACTCCTCCTTGGGTTCAGGTAATATGCTAGAGCAGCACACAGAACTCAGGAAACACTCATGTTTACTGGCTTATTACCAAGGAAGTCACAAAGGATGCAAATGGCATGAGTGGGGCACAGAGCTTCTCCCGCGCCATCTCAGGCTGGCTGCCCCCAGGACCTTTTGGGCTCTGTCTGGAAGCTCCCCAGCCCTCTCCTTTTGTGTTTTTATAGAGGCCTTGTTACATAGACAGGACTGATTAACTCCTTGGCCATAGGTGATCAGCTTAACATTTAGCCCCTGGAGGTTGAAAGTCCCAGCCCTCTAATCCCACCTCTCATCCTGAAGCCACTCGCTAGCCAAGTCATTAGCATACAAAAAGAAAGAATCTTATCACTTTGAGGATTCCAGCGATTTTAGGAGTTTTATGCCAGGAATGAAGACCAAATATTTCACAACATCATACATGCTGAGACTTGTATATATGATTATTTGGTTTAGTCACAATTCTGTACAAAACAGCGAGGTCATGCTGAAGACCTGGAAGGGATACCATTTTTCTTCTTTCAGCATGTTGTCTGCATTCTACCTTTAAAATATGTCTCCAATTCATTCACTTCATACCATCTACACTGCCACCACCTTCAATTGAAGTCACCATCGTACTTGCTTGGGCTGCTGCAGTAGCCTTCTTTCAAGTTTCCCTTCTTTCAGGGACATTCTTAATCCATTTTCCACACAGAATTCAGGGCATCTTTTTTAAAACAAAGGATGTCACTGTATTCCTTGGCTTCACATGTTCTAGTGGCTTTGCATTACACTTGGCATTGGGTCTGCATCTCTTGTTTCCACACAGAAACCTCTACACACGTAGCATGGACTCCACTGTCCTCACTCTCATCTCATGCCACCGTGAAGCCTGGCAACCTTCCTGCAGTTCCTTAGACACACCAACACTTTAGGCTGTTTTCTGCCTCAGGTGTTTGGCCCATGTTTTTTCTTCTTAGAGTGCTCTTGACCTTGGCTCTTCATAAGACTGACTCAGGTGACCTTTTCTCAATAAAGCCTTCCAGGACTGCTCTATTGAAATTGCTGGTTTTCCATGTCTTTGGGGCCCCTTCCACCTCGGCACACTGCTTTTCTTCTTGGTCATACTTTACATTGTGTAGTTAGTTTTTTGCATATTGTCCACCCTCCCATTAGACTGTCCATCAAGTGAGACATCATCTTATTCTGCACTCCCCAGCCTCTGTACTCAGGCTTTTGGTTAGTATGTGATGGAAGCATGGATGCAAGCCTCACCACAGTGATTTTCTCGCTGTCCCTAAAGTGCATGAGCAGGTGCTGAGTCTGCTTACTCCCCACTGCCTCCTCAGTGCCCAGTAGAAACCTCTACACACGTAGCATGGACTCAGTAGAGTGCTGCCGGAAGCTGGCAGCTAGCAATTATCAGTAAAGGCCTTGGAGACAGAGCAGCCCGCGTTCTTCGTGTTTGTGTTCCTAAATGCTTTGAAGGCAGCACAAAGGTGCAGTTCATGATTTGTTACATAATTAAAAGATTTGATGTCATCCATTTAATTTTTAGAGATTATCCAAACATGCTATCTTGAGTAGCATAGTGGTTTGTAAGTGTGGACTTTGGAACCAGCTGCCTGTGTTCCAATTCTGTGGTCTATAAACTGTGATCTTGGGTAAGTTACTTAATCTGTGCCTCAGTTTACTCGCCTGCAAAATGAGAATAATATTCAAGCCTTCTTCATAGGATTGTTTAAGGGTTAAATTAATGTTCCCAAAGCATTTAGGACAGGGCCTGGCACTTATTAAGCACATTTAGGAGTATATTGAATAAAGAAATATGTAAGTTTACAGAACTGTATTAGAGAATGCATGATGTGTATCTCAAAATGTGACATAGCATCGACCATTCTGTTAGTAATTCCAGTGTGTGTTAGTTCTACCCTTAACCTTTTCTTCTTTAACATATATACTCTAAAGTGATATTGACGTAAGTGTTTAGGTGACTTTGACCCCTGTTTCCACCTTGAGCAGCCTTAATTTGAGATTCACTTCTTTATTATTACCAAGTCTTTATCCAGAGCCATACAGTAATGAATGGAAAAGTGATTTCTAATACAAGCTGTTTCTCACCCCTTTAGTAAGTCTTCATTGAACAACAATACTTAACCTTTAATTTAGGGGTTCTCAACTCTTACTGCACATGAGAATTGCCTAGAGAGATTTTAAAAATTATCCATGTTAAGACCTCACACTGAATCTAGTTGAAGCAGAATTATGGCATAAGCCTGGGCAGTGGTATATTTAAAAGTTTCCTCTGCGATTTTATTGTGCAGCCCAGATTTAAAACTGCTGCTTCTTTAAATGTTGCCTTTTGCCAAGTGGTTTCTAAACTTTCCTGAAACTAAATGTCATCTGGTTGTTAAAAACAAAACAAAACATGTATTCTTGGGCTCTAGGTCAGATATATTACATCTAAACTTCTAGGGAAGAAGGCTGATGATCTGTATAGTATCAGTGACATCAGGAGATTCTCACCCAGCAAGTAGGGAATGAGACATGTGTGGTGCCTTTTGTAAAAGATCACGCTTGTCGATGGTGACACGGGGCTTTGCTTTGAAGGCCTTCTTGGTTTTCGCCTAGCAGGGTTGGGCCTAGTTCTTCCAGTGAGCTTAGGAGAAGGGTAGTTACTGCTACCAGTTCACTGTGTTTTCCATTTCCTGGTTTCAAAGTTGATTGTGGAACCTGAATTTGTGCCCCCAATTCAGAAGAAGATGGAGAAAGATGCCAGGGAGCTGGCGAAGATCAAGGATAAAATAAGTGTATGCTCTCTGTTACTGATCTTTTAGTTAGGTGGAAGCACTGTTTTATTTTAGAAATATACTGTCGATTTTCTTTATGAAGAATATAGGGCAGGGGTACCCAACCTCTGGACCTTGGACCAGTACCAGTCCATGGCCAGTTAGAAACTGGGCTGCACAGCAAGCAGTAGATGAGTGGCCAGCGAGGAGAGCTCTGCCTTCTGTCAGATCAGCAATAGGATTAGATTCTCATAGGAGCATGAACCCTGCTGTGAACTGCACATTTGAGAGATCTAGGTTGTGGCCCCTTATGAGAATCTGATACCTGATGATCCCGTCCCTGTCCCCTGGGTCCATGGAAAAACTCTTCCACAGAACTGGTCCCTAATGTTAAAAAGGTTGGAGACCACTGACGTAGGGTGTATTCTGATGGCCACAGATTGTTTCGTTGCATAAGAAAAAGTGAGTATCTAGTTTTCTTGTAGAACTTTATTTTTCCTTACCAGTTATGAGTTTTTATGGAGAAGTATGTGACTATAGAAATATAAGTGTATATTTGAATGTATAAAATTTATGGAGTATATAAAATATGACACACAGGCTATATATTTTTAGTTTTTTCAGACTTCATATGAACAGTTTGAAGCAGTTGTGTTGAATGCTTGCTGTTGGGTGTAAGTGTGGGCTTGTGTCTTTTGTGTTATGTGGGGGGGGTGTGTACAAGAGTGCTCTAAGTGCATCCTCCCTGCCAGAAGCCTCGCATCCTTCACGCAATGCCTTTGTCTACACTCCCCAACAACACAGAGCCATTCTTCCGAAATTAACACAGGTGTCTTTCCTTTTTTTAATGGAAAAGAAAAACACTCCTCTTTGCCCTATTTCCTCCAAGCAAGTCCTGGTGGTATTAGAGAAAATAGTTGAAGAAAGTGATGGTTTTTAGCTCCAGGCAGGTTTCTCCTTTAGTTTTAACTGGGTGGCGTTTTTAAAGTTAATGAATGAGGATCACTTAACATTAAATAAAATTATATGTAATATATAGCACATAATAAAAAGCATATATATGTATATAATTGTTTCCTCTATTTTATTTAGAAATTATGTGTCAATTTGAGGACTTGGTGGGAGAACTTTGGGCTCTGTCCGCTACTCAAATGTAAGAATTCGACCTTGGTGGTTCTTGACTGTGGGAAACCAAAAAGAACCACTGTGGGGCTTTTAAAAGTGAGGACCATTAATGACAGGTGGCTGGTACATAGAAACTTTGAGTTTACATTTAACAATTTTTTTTCACTTAAAAATTAAGTCTATGGCTGAGTGTGGTGGGTCATGCCTGTAACCTCAGCACTATAGGAGACTGATTTAGGAGGATTTCTTACTGTAGGATAGGCCTAATGTTCTCTGAGTGTCTTAATTTTTAAGTTTCATTTTGTTATTTAAATTTCATCAAGTGATTCCAACACTTATATCCAAGCCAGAGCTTGTATTTTTTTTAGAAAGGGCAGGAAAACAAAAGCAAAAACTATAAGTTTACCCACAATTTTATGGGATTCATTAAAATTTATGTGATTAAAATTCAGTTGCAGTTAAAATTATATATATGATCTTAGGTTTTTCCAAAGTATTATGAAAATTAAGATATTATATTTATGTTGGTGAAAAATAAAAAACACTGTGTAGAGCAGGTGGTGGTAGTGTGTGTGTGTGTGTGTGTTTATACACATGTCTATATTTTGTTTATTTAAAGTTACACAGCAAACTTCTGGAGACAGAGCGCCAACTCGGGGAAGCTCATGGGAGGCTGAAGGAGCAGAGGCAGCTTTCCAGCGAGAAGTTGATGGAGAAGGAACAGCAAGTGGCCGATTTGCAGCTTAAACTCTCCCGTCTGGAAGAACAGGTAAGCGAGCTTCTCAGGTGAGTGTCTACTGGCAAATTGATAGACAGACTTGGGATATCTTAAGTATTGTCATGGTTCATCAATCTGGTAATTGTCTAGATCATGAATTGGACTTTTTTTTTTAACTTGAAAGAGCAACATTTATTACTCCCCAGTAACAACATCCTACTTACTGACTACATTAAGTCATTTTGCTGTGATCATATTTCCTAAAGTTCTCAGCAAAAATACACCAAGAAGACTACTCAGCTTTAGCAAGGAAAATTTTGGGGGTGAACCTCTGTCAGGCTGCTGGAGTCTTCCTCCCCAGGAAGAACCACTTCCTAATGAAACAGTGAAATATGAGTTGATGAGGACCGTTAATGACAGGTAGCTGGTACATAGACACTTTTGAGTTTACATTTAACAATGTTTTTCACTTAAACATTAAGCCTATGGCTGGGTATGGTGGCTCATGCCTGTAACCTCAGCACTTTGAGAGACTGATTTAGGAGGATTCTTGAACCTGGGAGTTTAAGACCAGCCTGGGTAACTGTTTCTTAAATAAATAAATAAGCAAACATACAAGTGTAAGCATTCAGGCAATATATAAGATCATCTTTAAAAGCAATGTCTCACTACTTAATAGACTCTTACTTTCATGATAAAGACACTATTCTCTATGAATAGACTCTTAACCTAAAAAGAAAACAAATCTTTCTCCAGGTTGGCATTTAATTTATTATTGTTTCTTGTAAGCTAATATGATCAAGGAATTAATTACATAAAAATAAATAAGTAAAATTAAGCATATGCTTGATTGTTATCTTAACTAAAGTTGCAGTTGCTAAAAATGGTACCCACTAGACAGGTAAAATAAAAGTTATCTTTGAATTATATCTTTTATTGGAATTGAACAGCTATTCTGGGTTAAAATCTGTAGCTTCAGCAGTAGATTTTTTTTTCTAGACCTAAAATCTTGGCTATACTAGATGATGTTATTTTTTTCCCAATTAGTGATAACTATGACTGCAATGGGGGGAAAAAAGAGGTACTGATACTGTGGTTTAGATATTTTGCAAATAATTTTTATGTAGTTAATTCCTTTATCATATTAGTTTACAACAAGCAACAATAAATTAAATGCCAACCTGAAGAAAGACTTGTTTTCTTTTTAGGGTGAGAGTCTATTCATAGAGATTAGTGTCTTCATCATGAAAGTAAGATTCTATAAGAATTGAGAAACTGCTTTTAAAGATGATCTTGTATTGTCTGAATTTATTTTTCTGTTCAGACTTAGAATTGAAGCGTGCCAGATATGCATGAATGATACAGTGTGCCTTTACATTGTCAGCTGACAGTCTACATTTTTTTAAGTTGAAGGAAAAAGTAACACACTCTACAGAATTGCAGCATCAACTGGATAAAACAAAGCAACAGCATCAAGAACAACTAGCTCTTCAGCAAAGCACGACAGCAAAGCTTCGAGAAGCTCAGGTATGCGTTATGTGAATTACAAGTCTTCTAACCAAAAATGAATTCCCATTTTTGGGAACAGAAGATATGGGCACAGAAGATATGGGGAAAAAATAAAACAAGTCACTGTTCTCTTGTTATGGCAAAACTAGATAATGCATAATACTTGCTTATGAGGGGTTTTGATAATATTCAGGATCTAGATGATCAGCAAATCCTTTTTTTTTTATTCCTATGTTGAAAATTCTTCTAAAATAGTTTGCAATTATTGTAAACACATTTTAAAATTTATAATAAATAGATTTATTTAACATTTATTTAAATGTACTAGATACATGTATTAAGTGTATTTAGTTGAATACATTATTTAAATTTTTATGTGTAAATAATCTGTTTCTTTATTGTTTATTATTTATTAAAATATCTTTGTTGAAAAAAATCACAAATGTTCAAATAAAATTTCCTGGTATAGTTAGCCCAGTGAAAAAAGAACATTTTGTAGTTTCAACGGTAGATCTTGCTATTTGTTTGTCATGTGTTTTCCTGCTTCATAACCATCATCTGAACATTGGAATTGTAGGTATAGAAAATACAGTTGATTAGGTTCAACTTATACAAAGTCTGCAGCATAGCTGAGAATATTGAAGGAGTTATGTTTTTGTTTTGTTGTGGTGAGAGAGGTTTCCCAAATGTTTGAAGTGAGTTTGACACTGATTCTCACTTATGTGTTCATTCTTGTGCTAGTTCTTTGGATATTGCTGAGCACTGTGTGCTGGGCAATGTGCTCACACTGAGAATAAGAGACATGGTACCTGCCATCTAGGAAACGCCATGTAAGATGCGCACATGCACAGTGTTGGAGTTGCAGGGAAGCTGTGGGAACACATACAGTGCTCTCCTTTCTGAGTTGGGAAAGTGGCGAGTTAGTCAGATGGATGGAGATCAAAATACTGTGTACATTTCTTCCTTTATTTGATCAGTCAACAAATATTTTTGCCAAGGAACTGATTTTGTGAACATGGCAGTGAACAAAACAGACAAAAATGTCTGCTCTCATGGAGCTTAGCGAGGGAGACAGCAGTAACCGAGGTTAGTTGGCAGAGATCATGGCATGTGAAATGGTGACAATTGCTGTGGAGAGGAGGTAGGTCGGGGGAGGTAGAAATGTCTGGGGGGCAGAAGGTGAGACTGCAGTGTTAGGCCTTGCTCTCCAAGGAGAAGACCTAGAAGAAGAATGTCAGAGAGAATCGTATCTGACAATGTGTGAGACTGGAGCCCATCTCAGGACTAACAGGAAGTGAGGGCTGGAGATGGTGCGTGATACAGGAGTTAAAAGGACACAGTTACAGAGATCACGAGGCCAGAACATGCTGCCTCGCAGGTAATTTTAAAGACTTTATTTTGCTCTGAGTGAGATGAATTACTGGATGGTTCTGAGCAAAGGAGTGGTAAGATGTGACTTTCAATTTTGCAGGATCCTCTGGCTGCTGCTGTGGGAGTAGACTGTAGTGGCATGTGAGCAGGAGCAGAGACTCAGCCAAGAGGCCACTAGGCCGCAGTAATCCAGACAGAAAATGACATGGCATAGACTGTAGGTTGGTGGAGAGTCCTGAGAGAGGAGTTGAGGTTGACTCCATGAACTTTGGCCTGGTCATTCAGGATAGAGACCAAACAAGAGGAAGACTGAGAATCCTGGCTGGGTGCAGTGGCTCACACCTGTAAAATTTCAGCACTTTGGGAGGCCAAGGTGGGAGGATCACTTGAGGCCAGGAATTCGAGACCAGCCAGGGCAACATGGTGAGACCTCATCCCTATAAAAAAAAAAAATAGCCAGGCATGGTGGTATGCACCTGTAGTCCCAGCTTCTCAGGAGACTGAGACAGGAGGATCACTTGAGTCCAGGAGGTGGAGGCTGCAGTGAGTTGTGATTGTGCCACTGTACTCCAGTCTGGGTGACCTGAGACACGGACTCCAAAAACGATTGAGAATCCCATTGGATTTGGCAATGTGGAAATCATTGAGGACTTTGATAAGAGCACGCTGGATACAGAAGAGTGACAAAAGCCTGATGGAGACAGCTTGTGGTGGCTGTGGTGGGGGTACAGGGAGAGGCAAGACACCTTAGACAGTGTGGATACAGGCAACTGTACGAGTTTCACCAAAAAGGGCAGGATGGACATGGGGGCAAAACTGGCATGGGGAGTGTGGGGTCGGCGGCAGCTGGTATACTTTTCTGTGCTGAACTGGTATGAGATTTATCCATCTAGACGCAAAGCTGTAGCTGATGGCCTTTCCCCACTTCCCAGCCAGGCTGTCTCTCAGAATGTGCAGAGGGCAGGGGCTCAACTGAACATGCTTCGTTCCTTATTCCACACCTTCCCAAGAGGTCATGGTCTGGTTCCCTGGGGAAGAAACAGAAGGGATGAGAAAGGGACCAGAGTCCCTCATTGTGGAAACAGACAGTTCGAGAGACAGATTAGTATAGGTGCAGGTGTGGATGTGATGTGCAATTATTGTGCAGCCGAGAGGACATTTACCAACCCATGCATGGTCTGGGGAAAAACAGCTGTGGAAAACTTTTTTAAAGTGACAATCTGAGTGACAAAGGGTGAGTAGATATTTCTGGTGATAGTGAGAAGTATACTTCAGGTGGAAGTTACAGGATCAAGGATGTGGAGGCTAGTATAACAGGACTGATAGGCTTTGCTGGAGTTTAAAGTGTAGATTAGAGGGTAGTTAGAGAAGTGCTCGGAGCATTCGACACAGGCAAGTTTATGGAAGACCATGCATGGCATTTGGATTTGAAGATAGAAAGGTGCTGAAGGTCTTAAGAAGGAAAGTCCTGGTCAGATCTGCTTTTTTAAAAAAAATATTTTATTTTAAAGATGTAGGGTATAATTTAGGATTAGGTATGTAGATCTTCTTTTTAAATAGCTTATTCTTGTGGTTGGTGAAAGGTGGATTTAGGAGGGAGTTTTCTGAAACAAGACTTCAGATAAAAGACTGATCACTGTGGCAGTTGAGAACATATGTAATAATGGTCTTAGTTCAAGCAACTGTTAAAGTCCTAGGGACAACTAGGAGCAATACTTGGGAGGGCAAGTAAATAAGTAGGACTTGCTGACTTGATAGATACAGGAGGTGAAGGAGAAAGAGTGACTTCTAGCTGATTACATCAGGTGCAGGGTGTCCCCAACTGTACTTGTGAATGTGAGACAAATAGCCATTTTTTAGGGGAATATGATAAGTTTAGTTTTGGATGTATTTCAAGGCACCCTTGGGATATAATAATTTAAAGCTTGGAGGAGGGAACGTGCTATATATTAGCAGAGGGAGACATCAGTATATGGGGGGGTGGTGATGGAGACGGAAATCTGAATGTTGATTGAAGATTTAATGAGAGAGGAGGGAGTTGGGAAAGTAAACATAACTTATTTTGGGGATTTAAATGTGAGTTGCACAAGACTAGGAAGAAATTGGATGGAGGTTTGGTCTGGGGAATATTTTGTGAAATGAGAGAGACCTGAACATGACTATGGTCTAGGACAAAGGGGCTTGGCAGGGAGGGAGTTATTAAGGATATTGAAAGAGAGTGACTGAAGGAATGAGGAATTGTTAAGAAGCTATGATGTCACCAACACGATAGGAGAGGATGAACTTGAACTTGTTCACGGAAACTTGAGGAAAGGAGGTAAGTAGGTAGGTAGGTAGGTAGAGAGAGAGAGAGAGAGAGAGAGAATTTCATATAAAATTATACACTTTTGGAAAATCCAGGTAGATCATTCCTGAAAATCCCATACGTCTAGATAAAATTGAAGACAGTAATTGCTGTAGATGAAGTGAGCAAGGATGGAGACACTGGAGAGAATATTGATGTGTTTAAGTAGTTCTGGAGGGGAATGTTTGAGGGTGAGGACATCACTCAGATGAAAGATGGCCAAGTAATTCTGAGTATGAACTGTTATGAAGGGTGGGATCCACCAGTCTGTGGAGATTTGTGATTTTACTCAGAGGTGCTTAGAAGTTCAGATTTCCATCTCCATTACTTTCCTGAAATAATGTTTACAAGATTACCAACTTACTTCCTTATCTCATGGGCATCTTTCTCTGTCCCACTGAGTGAGCATGCCCACCACATGCCCACACTGGAAGAGGGACTCCTTCCATCTGCTGCCTGTCATTTATTGACTTCCTCCCCAAGGTTCCCTGAATTTCTCTGATCACGTGCTTTTTCCCTGGGCTGCCCTTCTTTCCCCAGTCCCTTCAGTGCTGGTGATCCTCATATGTCTCACATTCCCAACTGTCTGTTTTTCTCCCTAGACTCTCTTCCTGGCTGATCACATGTATACTAATAACTCTACCCCCGACCCCCACCCCCGCCCATATACTGCAGTTCTTGAAGAGAAGCTAGGCATACACTGAATAAGCAGAAGGGACTTGAGGATTGTGACACTGAAGAGCAGAAATGAGGTCATCAAATCGGAAGACTGTCAGTCAGTTGTAATCATAGAGTAGGGTAGTTGGAAATTTTTAGCTGGAACATTTTCAGGTGATTGCAAGATCCTGTATGAATGACTGAAATGAAGAATGAGATAAGGTCCAGAAATGAAGACGGCATGAACACAGAGGCTATGCTCTTAATTCTCTATGTATTTTGTATTTCCCAGGAAATTGGCAGAAATTGGGATTGAGAGAAAGACTAAATCAGGTCTCAAGTCTTCAGTGAATGAGGTAGGGATTTCTAGATGGTAGCAACAAAGACTAGAGAGTAGAAAAATCCATGGCCTAGGCTCCCCAGCAGCATGAAGCTTTCACACGAGGGAGTGAAGAATGGCAGCAAAAACCAGAAGGCCAACCTCCTGCCTGCCTAGGGGACTAGGTCTTACTGACCAGAATTGGCATCTGTTAAGGGAAAGCCATGTTTAATTAAGACTTGGAAACAGAATGACCTTTAGGAAAAAAGCTGAGGTCTGGCACTCTGATTCTATGTTAGTGGAATGTGGAGAGAGGGGCTCTTGGTGGCAGGAACAGAGGCTGGAACAGAGGTTACCTACCTCTCATCATTTGACCAAAACTTAGAAGGATGAGAAGTAGGCTTGAAAGTGACTGTTCTCAAATATGTTCATACTGGCACAAGTCACTGAGGGCACTATGTGGTTGTGGCTCTGTGTCAGCAAGGTAGTAGGTGCTGGTCATGACTTTGTTCTGCGTAGAGGCTCTCTGACCCTCCTAAGACGACTGAGTCAGAGGCAAAGGCCAGTGGATCAGATAGCTCGAGAGAGGTAGTGGCTGGTGTTCTGTATGTGGGCTAGTACATTGTGCTATGTGTAACACGAGGGTCAGGGCACAATAGAAGCAGAGGGATTCCTTGGCATATCTGTAGGAGAGTGCTGCTGGGGAGTTGAAGTGAGCCTGTGTTAATGGGTGCAAGTTGGAGTGTAGTCGTTTAATTTTCTATTCATTGAGTGAGTGTTTCATATGAGGGGAGACTCAAAAAAACCCGGAATTTATTTGTTAAAAATTGTGTATTTATTCTTACATGCTTTAAACTTCAGTCACATTCACAGTCCTCTCTGTTGGATGCAATACACCCATTAAGACACTCTTTGCACTGCTCAAAACAGTTTTTGAACTTGTTCATTTGGATGCCTTTGAGTGCTTCTGCTTTAGTGCTTTTGTTTCACCTCTTCCTCATCAGCAAAACGTTTCCCTTTGAGGACTTTTTTCATTTGGGGAAACAAAAAAAGTAATTCGGGGTGAGATTGAGTGGATAGGGAGGGGGGCACGGGGTCACACCATTTTTGGTTAAAAACTGCTGAACACTCAGTGCAGTGTGGGTAGGCGTGTTGTCACGATGGAAGAACCAGCCACCTGTTTGCCACAATTTGGGACATTTCTTCCACAAATCATGATGCAACCTTTTCAAAACTTCCAAATAAAAATTTTGGTTGACTGTTTAATCCAGAGGAACAAATTCTGAGTGTACTACAAGGGGCCCACCCTCCAAAAAGATAATTCCTGGTTTTTTTTGAGTCCCCTCTTATATGTGTCAGATATTTTGGATGCATCAATGAATAAGACGAAAATTCCCACTATGTAAAGCATATGTTCCAATGCGGGAGAGGGAGGGAGACAGATAAGCATGAAAAATAAGTACATTATTGAGTGTGTTGGAAGGTAAGCACTCAGGGAGAGAACACACAACCGAGAGAGTGAGTATTGGGAAGGGCTGCAGTATTAAGGTGATGGTCAGGGAAGCCTCATAGAGAAGGTGACTGACTAAACACCAGAAGGAGAGGAGTGAACCACATGATTCTTGGGGACAGAGCTCCAGGTAGAGGGAACTAGGCGTGCAAAGGCTCCGAGGCGGGCATGTGCCTGTGTGACAGGAGCGGAGAGTCCATGTGTCTGAAATAGGTCAGAAGGGTAGCAGGAGGGGAGGTGGGAGTGCTGGAAAAAGAATGTGGTTAACTGAAGGACTTTTGTCAAATTCTAGCTTATTATCAATACAATACAGGTGTATTGTTTCCTCTACTTTATGCTATTAAATACATAGTTCTAATTATGCAATTAAATTTGCTATGTTAAAATGTGGTAATTAGTTATTAAAACTATAAGACTAAGGGCTTGAGGGAGGATAAAATTTACTGTCAGTCAGTCATTTGATATTGAGGGATAACTTTTTACATTTCCCGTCCTTAAAGTGACAGTGTTCAATTCCTTACAGAATGATTTGGAACAAGTACTGCGTCAAATTGGTGACAAGGATCAAAAGATCCAGAACCTTGAAGCCTTATTACAAAAGAGTCAAGAAAGTATTTCATTACTAGAAAAGGAAAGAGAAGATCTCTATGCCAAAATTCAGGCTGGTGAAGGAGAGACTGCTGTTCTTAACCAGCTACAAGAAAAAAACCACACCTTACAGGAGCAGGTAAGCTTGTAGCATGCATTTTATTTTTAACATTTACTTTTATCTCTCTAAACCTTACTAAATGTTCTTATTTAATGACTCTTCATTCTGGCTCTTTTTAGCACATTTTAAATATTATGTATTCTTGGCAAATAGCATCTTATTCACCTTAAGAGCAAGTCCCTCTTGTTGTGAAAGATAGTTGACACAATTTGACAAAGGAAATCTTCAGTTCATGTCCTGGATGTAACTTATTCCCTGTGTAACTTTGAGCAACTCATTTCACTTGTTAGCTCACTGAAAAAGTAGAGGTGTTATTTATTTATTTATTTATTTATTTATTTATTTATTTTTGAGTTGGAGTCTCACTGTCGCCCAGACTGGGGTGCAGTGACTGCTCCGGCCACCGCAGCCTCGACCTACTGGGCTCCGGCGATCCTTCCGCCTCAGCCTTCCAGGTAGCTGGAACTACAGGCGCACGCTACCACGCCCGGCTAATTTTTTTGATTTATTGTAGAGATGAGGTCTCGCCTGCCCAGGTGGGTCACGAACCTGCCGGCTCAGGCAGTCCACTCACCTCAGCCTCCCAAAGGCGCGGGATTACAGGCTGAGCCACCGAGCCCGGCAGAGGTGTTATTAATGTATACTTGCCTCATGGCATTTTGTTATGCTTCAAAAAAAAAAAATGAATAACAAAATGTATTTATAAATTAAAGGTACTAATTGAGTGCTATTTGCTGCTGTGTATTGGTTAATATACAGACTTAGCAGTTTAGTTATATTTTGATAATATGTATGTCTTTGGACAATACATAGCTAATAATAATTTTGATAAATTGCCTTATTATTTCAGCATTTATGTGAAGAATAAGAAACATTTATAAAATTTAGGTTAATATATTATCAAACAGGAAATAATTTATAGTTGCTTTTTGGAAGAATTATTTAATAAGAGAATTATTATCTAAATGAGAAAGTATTTTAAACAAACTATCAGAAGGTCATGTTACTTTTCTAATTTGGGAATTAGTATATAACATATAATTTCCCCCCAATTTAAAAGTTTGTTTTGAAGAATTCTTTGGGCTAGTTTTTAGTTGTACACAACTGGACATTGCTTATCATACACATATGATGAAGAAATCATGGATTCTTTTAAATAAAAATTAACATAAATTTATGTACTTCTGTTTCTGGCCATATTGGAGCAACTGATACCTGTTTAGTTCTTTTACCATAAATCGCTAGAAAAGTGGGAAACAGGCGTAAGATCACCGTTTTCAGACATTGGACAATAGGCAGTGCAGGACTGTGATCCCTGAGAGAAGAGAAACAAGTGAGTTGAACTCTCTGACCACTCTAACATTTGACTTGGAGACATCTTCCATACTGTGGTATAGGTTGGGGGAATCCTGGTAGAGCATGGTGGTCTTATTGAACTGAGGAGTGAGAGGTTGAATTAAATTGAGAGATGGAAGATCAGGAGGTTAAGACAGCTCAGATTTGCAGGGTAGAATTACCAGAGGGGAAGAAGCAACGCAGAAAAGCTCCAGAATTCTGCTCAGGAATCCACTTGAGGCTTTGGTTGAATGCTAAGCTTTGCACTTGTGATGGAGGCATCTATGAGGCCAGGCAGTGAACCATATCAGGAACTAAAGGCTGAAAACTTACTAGTGTTTACACTGGGCTGGGCAATTTTCAGGTTCCAGCCATTCAGAAAAAAGATTTTGTGGCACTCTTGGGCATTCGGTAGAAACAACAGAAATGCCACACTGTTGGTGAGAAGTAAAGCTAAACTAACCCTGCTGTACGTAACCTGACCTTACAAGGTGCAAGGCTTAAGAGGGTCCAGCTTAACACAGATCTATTAACTCTGCTGGGACAAAACTTAACATTCATTGAAAGAAGATAATAGTCTAGACTGGTCACAACAAATACCAAGAAATTACTAGACATATGAAGAAAGAAAAAAATGAGAGCCATCACCAGGAGAAAAATTATTTAATGGAATCATTGAATGAGAGATAATGGAATCATCAGACAAGTACTTTAACCCTTTGCACTCGAATGTCACCTCTGAGGGGACATTGAAAATCTAGCAAACCACTCAGATTTCCCCTCTCGAGATATGAAGAGATTGCTGGTGATTATATAGGATAAACTTATGCAAATGCACATTTTTCAAAAATGTAAGTTTCCTTGAAGTTTTCTATTCAAAAACAATGAAAAACATATGTCCCATTTGAAATTTGTCAAGTTTTCAGGAATCACAAGTGAGTCCTTTCACATTGTCTTCAAACAATAGACTGAACAGTAAATTACATATATTAATGTGGGAGGAAGAAAACGAGATTGCATCATCTGCTCAAATAGAAAATCACCAGGTAGAAGTTGTCAAATTACTGTTGCATAGCATATATCAATGAACCTTCATGCATGTTGGGGACTGTTTCACACATTATCACATGTTAGAAAAATGTAAGATATAAAATTTTGATTTTTGTAATAAGCTAGTTCCTCAGTGTCCACAATTCCATTATAAGCTACATTTCGTTGCAATAAAATAATTGATTCCAATGCTGTACTGTTTAATATGAAGTGATTCATTTTGTATAAAAGTATTTTATAAAAATTACTATTTTGTAAAAAAGTGCGCTCAAATTGTAGTAGGTGATCCGTGGGATGTCTCCAAGAGCAAGGGGTTAAAACAGCTCTTAAAATGTGCTCATAGATATAAAGGAAAAACTATAACAATGGACATAGAAGTGGAAACAGTGGGCATGGTGGCATGTGCCTGTAGTCTTGGCTATACAGGAGGCTGAGGCAGGAGTATCATTTGAGCCCAGGAGTTTGAGGCTGTGGTGAGGTATGATCGCACCACTGCACTCTAGCCTGGTCAACAGAGCGAGATTCCAGCTCTAAAAAAAAAAAAAAAAAAAAAAAGAACCAAGTAGACCTTTTAGAGGTTAAAAAAAAAAAATACATCAAGTGAAAATTCTGTTGGATAGACTTAATAGATTAAGAAAGTAGAAAACAAGCCGGGCTCGGTGGCTCAGCCTATATTCCCGTGCCTTTGGGAGGCTGAAGTGAGTGGATTGCCTGAGCCCATGGGTTTGAGACCCGCCTGGGCAACTTGACGACCTCATCTCTACAATAAATCAAAAAATCAGCCGGGCGTGGTAGCGCATGCCTGTAATTCCGGCTACTCGGAAGGTTGAGACGGCAGGATCGCCGGAGCCCAGCAGGTCGAGGTTGTGGTGGGTGGCCGGGAGCAGACACTGCACTCCAGTCTGGGCGACAGAGTGAGACTCCAACTCAAAAAAAAAAAAAAAAAAAAAAAGAAAGTAGAAAACAGTATCGGTGAATATGACATAAGGCAATTGAAACTGTTTTAAATGAACTACAGAGAGAAAAAAGGCTAGGGCAAAAACAGGGCTTTAGTGACTCTTTGGGCAGTATTATATAGGCTGGCATCAGTATAATGATTGTCACAGAAGGGTGGAAAGGAGGCAAATATTTGTAGAAATAATGACTGTAAAAATTAAGATTTGATTAAAAATATAAATTCATAGATTCAGAAAGCTCAGTGAACTCACAGTAAGGAACATCAAAGAAATGTCAGATGAATTGGATTTCATCTAAATTTTAGAAAATGCATGCTCTTCAAAGGATGCCACTGTGAAAATAAAAGCCAAGATGCAGACTGGGAGAAAATATTTGCAATACATATATCTGACAACTTAGAAATGTCCAGAATATATAAGGAGTTCTTGTTACTGAATCAGATCAGTGTTGGCTGGGGCTGGAGCTGGGGTGGGAATGAGCAGAAAGAGGCCTCAGGAAACGTTTTGGAATAATGGGAAAGCTCTATATCTTGACTGTGGTGAGGGCTAGTTGCAGGAGGGTGTATGTTTATCAGACCTCAGAGTCTACATGGGAACTGGATGAGTTTTATTTTACATAACCCATAGCTTGATACAGATTATTTTTTAAATGATATATCTTTGAGTTTGATGTTATTTCTTATGACTTGAGATATTTTGTTTACTTATTTTTAGAAAGATATGAATGATTTTATTTGAAAAATTAGAGCCGACCTATCCCAGAGCATGGTACTCTTTGGGCTTCTTTGCTTTTGTTCTGTCACTCTGAGTTTCATACTTAGGGTCTTACTTGTATAATAGGTCACTCAACTGACAGAGAAGTTGAAGAACCAGTCAGAAAGCCATAAACAAGCCCAGGAGAACTTGCACGACCAGGTCCAGGAGCAGAAGGCACATCTCCGAGCTGCCCAGGACCGTGTCCTTTCACTAGAAACCAGTATCAGCGAGTTGACCAGTCAGTTAAACGAAAGCAAGGAGAAGGTTGTCCAACTTGACATCCAGGTAACATCAAATGATGCTGTGTAATACGTTTGTATGTATAAAGCACTGATTCTTAGGCCATTGAATGTTTTAAGTTTGGTTTCTCTCTTTTTGGCTTGCAATTTACTAGAAAAAAATTAGGAATAGGACCCAGATAAAGGTTGTATCTAGAAAATGTATTGACTGTTCCTATTTGCATTCCTCCCCCAAGTTACACCTCCTGAAAATGCTGCATCAGCTTTTCATTGTTTTAATCAAATCTTTGTTATTGTTTTTGAAGTTCAGATTATTTTGCTGTTATACGGTTAGATTTCTATGTAAATATTTTTTGACTTTGTTTTTTAATCTTCCTTTAAAAGTTTGATGTTTAAAAATGGTACCCTTATATGATACCATTATGTATTTTAATGGATATTCTTTCAGAATTCTGTTGAACAGTCTTGCTCAGTGAGTCAGTCATGGGCTGGGAAGTTAGACGTTTCTTTCTCCTTTCTTGCCATTGGCTCTTATTTTGTGTTGTAGAAGAGGAATTTATAGAATATTTCTAAGCCTTGATTTTATTTTAGGAGAATGATTGCACTGAATATAGGAGCCATAATAAAATAATATAACTGGTACACTTATTAGAACTTGGAGAAAATATGCATTTTGTTCCTTTTTTTAAAAAATTTTAATTTTAAAGATGGGTATAATTCAGGATTAGGTATACTAGTGGTCATTGTACAGATAAAGTTGGTCCCCACTTCACCTAGTTTGAGATCAGGTACACTTATTGATGGAGTGTACCCCCTGACTCCCTCCCTTTGCAGTTTTCCACTACTGCCAATCCATTTCTTATGGTATTATGATAATTGTTCAGGGTCCGCTTATGAGTGAGAACATGTGGTACTCACTTCTTTGTTTCTGTGATAGATCACTGAATATTATAGACTCTAAGTCCATCCAAGTGGCTGTGAAGTTCATAACTTTGTCCTTCTTTATGGCTGCATAATATTTCATCATGTATATGTACCACATTTTTCTTATCCAGTTCACTTTTGATGGGTAGCACGGTTGGTTTCATGTTTTTGCTATTGTGAATAGCACTGCAATAATCATGCATGTGCAGGTATCTTTTTTATAGAGTGATTTGAGTTCCTCTGGGTAGATTCCCAGAAGGGGAATTGCTGGGTCATATAGAAGGTCAATTTTTAGATCTTTTAGGAATCGCCACACTGTTATCCACATAGGTTGTACTAGTTTATACTCCCACCAACAGTGTAGAAGTTTTCCCCTTTCCCTGCATCCTCTCCAGCATCTGTTGTTTTTTGAGTTAATTGATAATGACCATCCTGGCTGGAGTTAGGTGGTATCTTAGTGTGGTTTTAATTTGCATTTCTTTGATGATTAGTGAGGCTGCACATTTTTTTATGTATCTGTTTGCTGCTCATATGTCTTCTTTTGAGAAGTGTCTATTCATATCTTTTGTCCACTTTGTAATGGGTCTGTTTGTTTTTTGCTTTTGGCATGTTTGAGTTCCTTGTGGATCCTGAATGTTAGACCTTTGTCAGATATACAACTGACAAATAATTTTTTCCCATTCTATGGGCTGTCTCCCCCACTCTCTTGATGTTTTCTTTTGCATTGCAAAAGCTTTTCAATTTGTTTGGTAAGGTTCTACTTGTCTATCTTATCTCTTATGGTATGGAAGAAACTTGAGATTTTGATCAGAAAGTGGTTGCCAGTTCCAATTTCCATAAGGGTGTCTCCTGCATTTTCTAAGGTTCTTATAGTTTGAGGTTTTCCATTTAGGTCTTTGATCCATTTAGAGTTGACTTTTGTGTGTGGTGATAGGTAGGTGTCTTATTTTAGTCTTCTTCATGTGAAGCTGGGCTCGGTGGCTTAGTCTGTAATCCCCACGTTTTGGGAGGCTGAGGTGAGTAGATTGCCTGAGCCCGTGGGTTCGAGACCCACCTGGGCAACTTGGCAAGACCTCATCTCTATAATAAATCAAAAATTAGCCGGGCGTGGTAGCGCATGCCTATAGTTCCAGCTACTTGGAAGGCTGAGGCGGAAGGATCACTGGAGCCCAGCAAGTCGAGGCTGCAGTGGCCGGGAGCGGCCACTGAACTCCAGTCTGAGTGACAGAGGGAGACTCCAACTCAAAAAAAACCCCCCAAAAAACAAAAAAACTCTTCTTCATGTGGTCAGCCAGTTTTCCCAGCACTATTTACTGAATAGGTTCTCCTCTCTCCAGTGTAGAGGCTTTGTTGAAGATGAGTTGGTTGAGAAATTGAGGTTTAGCGTCCGGAATGTCTATCCTGTTCCATTGTTCTATATGCCTGTTCTTGTACCAATACCAGGCTGTTTTGATTATTGTAGCTTTATAATAAAGTTTAAAGTCTGGAAGTGTGATACCTTCCACTTTGTTTCTTATGCTGATGATTGTTTTGCCTATTCCTGGTCATTTATGTTTTCATATGAGTTTCTGTATTGTCATTTCCAGGTCCGAGGAGAAAGATGCTGATAATTTAATGGGTATTGTGTTAAATCTGTAGATTGCCTTGGGTAGAATGGACATCTTAACAATGTTTGTTCTTCTAATCCATTAGCATGGATTGGATTTTTCCATTTGTTTGTAATCATCTTTGATTTCTTTGAGCAGTGTTTTATAGTTTTTGTTGTTAAAGGTCTTTGTTTCTCTGGTTAGGAAGATGCCGAGGTATTTCATCTTTTCTGTTGCTATTGTGAATGGGATTGTGCTTTTTATTTGGTTCTCTATCTATTTTTGTTGGTGTATAAGAATATGACTATCTTTTGCATGATGATTTTGTATCCTGAGACTTTGCTAAATTCCTATATCAGTGCAAGGTTTTTAACAGATTCTCTTGCATTTTTGTGGTATAGAATCATATCGTCATCAAAGAGGGATAACCTGACTTTCTCTCTTCCTATTTGGATACCCCTATTTCATTGTATTGTCTGATTGCTCTAACTAGGACTTCCAACATTATGTTAAACAGAAGGGGTGAAAGTGGGCAACCTTGTCTTGTTTCAGTTTTGGGGGGAAATGCTTCCAATTTTTGTCCTTTTGCAATATGTTAGCTATGGGTTTATCATAGATGGCACTTACTTTTTAGAGGTATGTTTCCTCTATACCTAGGTGTTCAAGGGTTTTTATCAAGAAGAGATACTGGATTTTATTGAAAGTTTTTTTCTGTGTCTAATGATATAATCATGTGACCTAGTTTTACATCTGTTGATGTATTTAATTGCATTTATGGTCTAGTGGATGTTGAACCAGCCCTGCTAGAATTTGCTATAATCTTGTTGAGTATTATTGCATCTATGTTCATCAGGGATATTGTCCTATAGTTCTCTTTTTTTGTTGGATCTTTACCTAGTTTGGGTATCAGTGTGATGTTAGCTTCATAAAATGATTTGGTGAGAGTTTCATCTTTCTTGATTGCTTGGAATGCTTTCAGTAGTATTGGTATCAGCTCCTCCTTGTATGTTTTGTAGAACTCTGCTGGAAAGCTGTCTGATCCAGGACTTTTTTTTGTGGGTAGTTTTCTTATGATGAAGTCTATTTTTGGGGTTGTTATTGGTCTATTTAATTTCTCATTTTCTTCTTGTTTTAACCTTGGGAAGTTGTGTGATATCAGAAAGCCCTCCATTTCATTTAGGTTTTCACGTTTCCATGCAGGTATGAATGCATAGTAATCTCTGGTAATTTTTATATTTCTTCAGGGTCCATTGTAATTTGATCTTTTGCATTTCTGATTGTGTTTATTTGGGCTTTTTCTCTCTTTTTTTGGTCAATCTGGCTAGGGGTCAATCATGTTTATTCTTTCAAAGAACCAGCTCTTTTTTTGTTGTTGATTTCTTTTTTCTATGATATTTTTTGTCTTCTGTGTCCTGTATTTGGGCTTTTACTTTGGTGATCTGGATTCTTCTGTTGAAGTTAGGGTTTTGGTGGTCTTGTCTTTCCAGCTCCCTAGGGTGATTTGTTAGGTTGTTAACTTGTGAGCTTTCCATCTTCTTGATGTGCTTTCATAATGAAATGAATTCCCCTGTCAGTATTGCTTTCATGGCATCCCAGAGATTTTGGTAAGATGTGTCTTTATTTTCATTTGTTTCCAGAAATCTTTTAATTTCTGCTTTGATTTCCATGTTGACCCAGGAGTTGTTCATCATCATGCTGTTTAGTGTCCATGTCTTTGTGGGTTTTTGGGTGGTTTTGTTAGTGTTGCTATTTATTTTTATCCCACTGTGGTCTGAGAAGGTGCATGGAAGTATTTCAGTCTTATAAACTTTGCTTATGCTTGATTTATGGTTGAGGAATTGGTCAATCATAGAGTAAGTTCCATGTGATGATGAGTAGAATGTATATTCCGTGGTTGTTGGATGGAGTGTTCTGTAGGTATCGGTAAATCAGTTTGGTTAAGTGTCAAGTTGAGGTTCTAGATGTCTTTTTGTCTTGATGCTTTGTCTAGGGATACTAGTGGAGTATGTAAGTCCCCAGTTATGTTAGTGTTAGAGTCAATATCTTTTTTATTTTACCTAGAAGCTGCTTTATAAAGGTTGGTGCTCCTATGTTGGGTACATATATGTTTAGAATGGATATTTCTTGTTGATGAATTGAACCTTTTATCATTATGTAGTGACCTTCCATATCTTTTTAAATTTTTGATAGCTTAAAGGATATTTTGTCCGATATTAAGACCGCAACTCCTGCTTTCTTTTGTGTTCCGATGCCTGGAAATTTGTTTTCCATCCTCTTACTTTGAACCTGTGAGTGTCCATTCTGGTGAGATGAGTTTCCTGGAGACAGCATATTGTTACATCATATTTTATTAACCAGGTTGCCATTCTGTGTCCTTTCATTGATGCATTTAGTCCATTCCTGTTCAGGCTAATTATTGAGATGTGGGTGTTTATCCTTGTCATGAGGTTTTTATTTGATTTGTTGGGGTTTTTTGTTTGTTGGTTTTCTTTTGGTTTTTGTGTTGACATATGTGTGTGTTTTCAATCTGTTTCCTGCATTCTTGGGGAAAGCATGATTGTCCTTTTTTTTAATTTCTTCTATGTTTAATACTTTTTAAGGGTTTCTTGTAGAACTGGTCTGAGGCAGCATAAACTCTTAGGGATTGAATGTTAGGGAAGGATTTTAATTCCCCATTGCTGATTTTAATTCTCCATTAGCTAGGTAGGAGAGTTTTGGCTGAAATTGTTTATCTTTGAGAACTGTGAAGATTGGACTCCAGTCTCTTCTAGCCTGTGGTGTTTCTGTAGCTATGTCTGCTGTTGTTCTAATTGGTCTACCCTAGTAAGTATTCTACCCTAGTAAGTATTCTACCCTAGTAAGTGACTTTTCTCTCTTGTTGCCCTTAGGATTTTTTCTTTTATACCTACCTTCTCTAAGCGAATTACTATATGTCTAGGAGTTGGTCCTCTCATTTAGTGTCTTGCAAGAGTTCTCTGAATCTCTTGTGTTTGAATGATAATGTCTCTGATGAGATGAGGGAAGTTTTCTTGGATAATTTCATGCAGCGTTGTTCCAGGGTGGTCTCTGTTTCTCTCTCTGCCTCAGGAATGCCAATTAATTATAGATTTTGTCTCTTGATATAGTCGCACATCTCTTAGAGACTTTGTTTTGTCTTTTTAAGTTTCTTTTCTATATTTTTAACACTTTGAGTTAGAGCCATATTTGATCCTCAGACCCTGAAATTCTTTCTTCTGCTTGGTTAATTCTGTTTTCCATACTTATCAGTTTGTTACTGATTTCATTTACTGTATTCTTTATTGCCGTCATCTCAGTAACTCCTTCATTCTTTTTCTTGTCTCTCCTCATTTCTGTTCATTCTCTCTATTAATATCTTAATGTCTGGGTTTGTGGTTTGAGATCAGTTGTTCTGGAGGCTCTTCATTGTTTGTGTTCCAAAGTCTGTGTTCTCAGGTGCTGTCTTCCCAGGAATCTGTATGGGACCTATGTTCTTCCTTTGATTCTTCTTCATTTGGGATGGTTTTCCTCCTCCTCTTCCCCCCTTCTTTAATTCCGTTGCTTAGTGATGGGGGGATAGCTTTCACTTCTGTTTACTCAATCCCCTATTCCTCCCCATGAGATCCTCTGGGATTTGTTCAATTTTGAAGCTGGACTGGGGAAGTTTGGGCTTTGTTTTTGCAGTTTTGAGGTTTGATTAAGGTGTGATGGGGAGAGCTGTGGTTCAGAAGCTATCTGCAGATCACAGTATCCGCTGACAGGTGTGTGTCCTGGAACCCACTTCCCACCACCTTACAATCTGTACATGCAGCAGAGGCATATATATGCCCCCTGAAAGCAAAATGAGATAAGAAAAAGGACAAGAATGGAAAAAGGAAGAAGGGAGACAAAAGGAAGATGAAGAGTGAGGAGAGGGAGATGGAACACAGACAGGCACACCAACTAACAAATAAACAAAGAAAGAAACAAACAAAAACCCCAAAGACATACAAATGAACATATAAAAAACACCCTGATAATGCACTCACCCTCAAAAATACTTAGTTCAAACAGAGTGACTAAAAAACAAAATATCAAAAACAAAACAAGTACTCAAACATAAACAAAAACAGAGGGGGAAAAAAATTCACTCCTGCTGTGGTCCATTTCTGGAGCTTCAGGTTCCTTTCCCAAGCACCACTGCTGCTACTGGCTGCAGCTGTGGTAGGGAACTGGCTCTGTTCTCCAGCCCCTCCTCTCCTCTCTCAGAGCAGGCCAGTGGGGTTGCTTTTAGTGTGGTCAGATGCCCCACAGACTGTTGTGGGAGGAGGGTGAATCAGATCCAGACTCACCTAACTCATCCATGCTGCCACTGCTGCTGGTTCCCCACTCTGATCAGATATGTCTGTGCCTGGTCCAATAAGGAGGTGGGGAATCCGTCTCTCCATGTTCATTCCTGAAGTTACCTCTCTGGATCAGTGATGGTGGCTCCCAGAGGTGTGCAGAGATCACCTCTGGGACCCGGGTTGGAGGCTGAACAGAGCTGGGAAGACCAGCGCAGGTCTCTGCCCAGTCCCTGGACAGAGAAATGGTGGTGGTCTGTGTCTCCTCTCTGGCAACAGGGCTTAGCTCCAGATTTCCTTGCTGCACCCTCTCCACAGTTCCTTCTGCCAGCACCTGGCCCACTGCCGTGCATGGTGCCATGGGCCAGGTGCCAGACTCTGAGGAGCAGCTGACCTCCGCTACCTCCTCTTCAGAGATCCCAGAGAATGGCTGATGATCCTGCATGCAGGGGGCTCTGATCTCAGAGTAGTCGTGGGTTGCAGACACCTCCAGAGGGGACTTCCGGGTGCTTGATCCCAATTTTTCCCATAGATGGACTTTCACTCAGTCAGCTGCACCCACCCACTCCTACACACTGTCTTTGTTGACACTCACCCTTGCAGAGACTTTCATGCTCCTACTGGTTTCGTTGCCATCTTGCCTCCTAGTCATTTCATTCCTTCTTAAAAACATAATTGTTACATGAGTTCTTTGTTAACTCTGCGTGGATGTCCAATGTAAGAGGGAAGCTCGAGGTTGGGCATGGGAGGAGGAATAGGAATAGAGGGATGTATTTGATGGTCACGATTCCTCTTGCATTGTGGGATCCTGCCCTGCCACTGCTGTTCTCTTTTGATCTTGCTCTTAAAATGAAATCAGCCCATTTTTCTTTATCTCTGCTCTCTTTATTGCCTTTACAATAATCTCTTCTTTGCCATTACTTGCTTTTTTGGTGGGAGAGTGTTGGGTTCCAGGCTTGAGTGCAGTGGCATAATCACTATTCACTGCAGCCTCAACTTCTGGACTCTGCCTCAGCCTCCTGAGTAGCTGGGGCTGCAGGTGTATACCACCATGTCCAGCTAACGTTCTGAGTTTTTTAGAGACAAAGTCTTACTTTGTTGTCCAGGTTGACTGTTACTCTTTGAAAAATGTTACCTGCAGATGTTTCTTCATTTTTGAGGCTTTTAGAAAAAAATACTTTAACTTTTTTATGAACTAGTTCATAAAGTAGGCTATATGACTATACTTTTCTTTCAGGAATTAGGGCTCTGAGTAAAACCTAGTGCTTTAAGTAATATTAATAAAGACTGTCAGCCAGAATTACTTAGCCAAAAGGTGTTGGCTGTGGCTTTTCTTCAGATATGCTAAATAAAGGCAGTTAAGGTAATTTTTGTTGTTGTTGTTGTTGTTTCTGAAGTGTTCCCTTTACTATGCAAATATGATATTTCAGCTGCTTCCCAGTTTTAAGTTCTGTAGCAGGCATTTTGATATTACTTCCAAGGTGCTTCCTCCTATGCGTGGTCTGGACAGCAGCAAGGGAGATTATTATGCTCTTATGAGGCTCTTGGCTGCTCTTACTGCTCTAAGGGCTTTAACGCAGAAGTTGCAGTGATTGGAGTGTTGTGCAGTTGGTATGTAATATGAACTGACAGCATGTAAACAGGGCCGGCCCAGGGATTGGTATGTGAACAGTCACATCTTTCCCCCATCAGAAATGTTTCTAAAATAAGAGAAACCAGTAACTGCTACCTAATTCCTGAATTTTCTTTGGTGTTACAAGACTTAGGAAGATATATCACATTAGTTGAAGCATATTGTATTAAAAATGAGCAATTATCACATATTAAAATGTTTCATGAATTTTGATTCCTCAGCTAGATGAAATACCACATGTAAATGGAGCTGAGTTCTGCAGATATATATTCCTCAAAGACTGTGCCACACATTCATTAGTTAGTATAGATTTACTGTGTAGATTTAAATTGCAGATTTCCTTAGTTTTCATTTTTAATTCAGTGTAGATGTTTGTACCTTGATGTAACCATTGTTTCTGTAAAATATTAAATATTTTGGTATTGAGAAATAATTCTTTGAGTTTTTCCTCCTGCTTTAGATTACCCATGCATCATAGATCTTAGATTTCTTGTGTTCATTGATCCTCTGTTCAACCAGCATAAAGAATGCCCCTCTTTTCGCCCTTTTTTCAAAATATGTTAATTTTTAATGTTTATATATATCTACTTTTTATTTTTCTTGTTAGAGATGAGTTTTACTAAAGTCAAACACTTAAAAGTGTGTCTTTGGATAAGAAGACATGTTTTTCATGTCTGATTTCATTGAAAGCCTATTTGTTGTTGAAAGCCTTGAATGTTTAATGTTTATTTCCCTGACTTTGGGCATCAGAAGTAAAATTACTTTAACTGAGATGTTATCAAGGAATGCTGATTTTATAAAGTAGTTCCGGTTGTCTGGAGGTTTTTGGTCTTTGGATTCTAGAATTCTTGGTTATCTTTGGAATCACCATGTTTTGTGGGGGGCATGATAATTTACTTTATCACAGTAGTATAGACCTCACATATTCACTTCTGAAAAACACAGGGGCCTTTTTCAGTAAAATAGTGTACCTTTTCTTTCTTAGCAGAGAGGTACTAAAGTGTCACAGAGAAACATCTTTTTATTGTTTATTCAACATTTTCAGGAGTCTTTTCCCTGCCATTTTTATTTTGGGGATTTTCACATTCATATTTTTCAATATCTAAATCTTTATTTTTGCCAAAGGACTTAATTTTTAAGTAGTTTATTGACAAAAGCAGTGTACATTCAAGCAAGAGGAAATTAACAGCTAAATATAAATTAAATAATTTTTAAATGTTGTTATAGATTAAAGCCAAAACTGAATTATTGCTGTCAGCAGAAGCAGCAAAAACTGCCCAAAGAGCTGATCTTCAGAATCATTTGGACACAGCTCAAAATGCATTACAAGATAAGCAGCAGGTAAGGAGGCAGATGCCATTTCATACTGTAACGTAGTGCGTTGGCAGATAAATACATTGCAGACGTGTAAAAATGATGCCTAGTTTGCTTTTAGTAGGTAGGCTGGGCCATGACCCAGATGCACTTACTACTTGGAAGCAGTGAATGACTTTCTTCTCAGTTATAAGGGCTGAGGGACTGGAAGGAAGTCTTAAGTTTCTTTTCTCAATATTCTGATACAATAGAAGCTTCCTATTATAGGGTCAAGGTCAAAGTGCTGGTAGTTTTTTTGTTTGTTTTTTACCTTTTATGGTAGAAATTTTTAAAATTGTTATTCAAAGAGTAGTATTGGTTATTGGTCCATTTTTAAAAAACGGTAAAGAAGTATATCGAGTTAAAAAAAAATAAATCAGTTTTCTGTATTTACCCTTTATCCCAATCCTATTTTTCTCCTTGAATGTTAGCTCCTAAATATGGTATTATCCTTCCAGGCCTCTATAAATGTTGAACAGTGAACATTTATTTATGTTTTCGCACACACAAATATTTTCCTTTTATGTACATGGAATCAATCTATAGCTGTGGTTCTGCCACTTGCCTTTTACTTACGGTTTTGGTAAACACATCTGGAAAGTATTTTCTAAGCATAAGATCAGAGTCAGAAACTGTAATGAAAAAAGTATTTATAAGAATAGCCACATAAAAATTTAAAATTTATCCATCAAAAATATTAACACAATTCTAAAGCAAATAGAAAATGAATAAAACATTTTCTGGAATGTGTCTGATGAAGGGTTAATATCCTCATTAATTAAAATACTTTTACATTAGAAATAAGTAAAATAATAAGAAAATATAAATGATCAAAACTATATTAGGAAATGTTCAAGTTCATTAAAAATTCATTGCAAATTAAGACAATAATGGGATAGGATATATTTGCCTGTATAGAAGAAAATTGTGTGTGTGTGTGTGTGTGTGTGTGTGTGTGTGTGTGTGTGTGTGTGTTTAATTACCAGTAAGAGGTCAGAGAGAATGTGATCTTACAAGTCACTTGTCTACATTGTTAGTGGTGATGGTATACATCAGTTCATCCTTCTGGGTGGGGAAGGGAGAGAGCTGTTTGGCAGTATTTATTAAGAACTTTATACTTTTTTAACATTTAAAAAAATCTAACTTGTTATCTTTTATCCTAAAGGGAATAATCATAACTTTAAAGATTCTGTTTGAAACTCTGTTGTTAATAAGTGCAGGAAATTTAGTGGTAGTGTTAGAATTTAAAGCATGAAAAAGATAGAAACTAATGTGCAGCAAAGACTGGAAGAAAGTTAGCAAGATATTGAATGTGATTATCTCTGGGTAGTGGATTTACTAGTAATTTCTATTTTGTTTCTTCTATGCAACTGGATTTTCCAAATGAGTTGAACAAGTATCATATGTGTAATTACTGTTCCATTTAAAAAAAATATATAGTTTTGACCACTTATATTTAAAAAATAGTATTTTTTAAAAATTGGTGTATTGAACACTGAAAACATTGAATTCCAATATAAAAGTGTTATTTTAATGTTAGTCTAGTTAATATTCTGTTGTATTTTTTGGCTCCTAAAATAATTCTGCCTAGAAAAACATTGAAAATTTATTAAACTGTTATGCATGAAAATGTGGTATCTAGACTATACAGGAATTCTGTTCCTGTCCTTTAAATTGGTGGGACATTTGGGCCCTACAATGTAGTAAGCCTTACCAAAGTGTTCTTCGATTGTGCTTTTCTCTAGGAGTTAAATAAGGTCACTACTCAGTTGGATCAGGTCACTACAAAGTTACAAGACAAGCAAGAGCATTGCAGTCAACTGGAGAGTCATCTTAAAGAATATAAAGAAAAAAATCTCTCTTTAGAACAGAAAACTGAAGAGCTGGAAGGGCAAATTAAGGTTTGTATAAGAGAAGTTGAATTTAGCCATATTATCTACTGAAATAGCAATGGAATAGGGTGACCTACACAGAACCAAAGGCTTTTAATTCACAAAGAAAGGTGATGTGGTGGTGTAACATTTTTAGAAAATTACTTGGAATTCTTTATGTCTTAATTTTGAATTCCATCCTTATTTTTATTTCTTCATTAATAGGTGGCTTTTATACATGACAACTAATATGTACACTGATTCTGTTGTCACGTGGAACTGTAGCCAAGAGGCAACCGGGCAGAGATCTACTTTTGCAATTACACGGAACTTAGCAACATTTTGTTGTTGTCAAGTCTCTTCTCTTCCTTCATTTTTCCATCTCTTTACCTCCCTATTCCAGTATCGTATTTCAGATATGGTAGCCTTTTTCCTTTTTAAAACTTTACATTTATACTCTTTGAGTTTTGCTTATAATTTAAAAACATGTTGAGTAAACTGCATCTTACTTTAGCACAACTCTAAGTGGATATTTTGATTTACTAAAGAGGTGAAATGATTACACATTATCAGAGAAGGATGTGACCTGGGATTTTGTCCTTTAAATTGGAACAGTTAAATTATTATTATCAGTTAAATAAAAATTTCTCAAATATTTATGATGTATATATATATATATATGCGAGATATACATGAAACTTATACTTCCACAATCAGGTGAAGCAGGTGTATACAATTGTAGAGTCATGAGATGTGTGTGTGTGGGCATGTGTGTATATATGTACATTCATACCAACACAACATGGGAGGAGAATTGCATTTGCAATTCTGTTTGTGGGTTCTTTTCTTTTCCTTATGACCAATGATAATAGTGAAGGCAAATTACTTTAGGTATGGTTTAAAAGAGCAAAAGTACTACTTTACTAAAAAATGTCTAATGAGAATTCTATTTGGGTACCTTTTAAAAATAGTTGTTATTTAGAACCAAGAATATTCACTGTGATTGTCAGCTCTTTCACATTTTATAATTATTATTTTAGGAAGGATTTTATGTGTTTTCTGTAGACATTATTATAGAATTCATTTGGTTACATCAAATATCCTTTCTTTAATGAATATTTTCAATGTAGTTATTGGATAAGAGCCATAGGCACTCACCAGTTTATAAAATACGTAGTGCAAAATCTCTACAGCTGTGCAAGAAAGTGCATTTCAGCAAGCTTTTTTTTTTGAGTTGGAGTCTCACTCTGTCGCCCAGACTGGAGTGCAGTGGCTGCTCCTGGCCACCGCAGCCTTGACCTGCTAGGCTCTGGTGATCCTTCCGCCTCAGCCTTCCGAGTAGCCGGAATTACAGGCATGCGCCGGCTGATTTTTTGATTTATTGTAGAGATGAGGTCTCACTGCCCAGGCGGGTCTCGAACCCATGGGCTCAGGCAATCCACTCACCTCAGCCTACCAAAGGTGCGGGATTACAGGCTGAGCCACCGAGCCCGGCTTCAGCAAGCTTTTTAAGCACATATTTAACAGTTTCACTTTGTAAATTTGTAAGCATACATAATTACGTGTATATGTATGAGATAGAAATTGTACTCTGAACAACAATGTCATTTAGAGTAACAGGTGAAAGAAACAAATCAGGAGTTTAATTGGCTTTATAGTTAGGATCAGTAGTTGCTAATGAGGAATACGTGGCAACTTCATGTTAGTTTTAAATATTTTATGATTACATCAATGCTTTTAACTGTAAATAAAAGGATACTATATTTTAAGTGTTTACAAGAGTGAATCTATTACTTTTTTTAATACCTGAGAATATAAATTTTACTCTAGTAATAAATATTTATATTTAAGTTAATTTTTTTATTCAGAATTAATTTTAAAAGTAAACATTTACTGACTGCCTATCATGTATAAAGCCTTATGCTAGGTCTCCTGAAAGATTTTAAGATAAATAACCCCTTACTCAGTAATGGTTTCAAAATGTGTTTTTTATAATACACCAATTTGAATATAAACAAAAATGTTATAGTATTTAATAATAATCAACAATTACTGACGTTCAGTTGGCTTCTATACTGTATTTCTCCCATAGAAACTAGAAGCTGATACTGTTGAAGTTAAGGCCAGCAAGGAGCAAGCTTTCCAGGAGCTACAGAAGCAGAAACAGCTGAACTCAGATTTAGAGCTCAGGGCTGCAGAATTGAGCAAACAGCTTGACATGGAGAAAGAAACGTAAGCTAAATCACTCATCTATAGATTAAGGGAGAAGACTGTAACTAAATATTAACATTTCCTTAAAGGTTCTACTTCCTATCACCGTGCTTAAAGACTTAGTACATGTTTATTTTGGGTTGATTTTATAAACTGCTGATGTTAATGTGAAGGAAAAATTTAAATATGGCAAAAGTACACTTCACTAGAAAGGACTGAAAACTTAGTTTTATAAAATTTCGGTCATCTAGTCTGTTTTCAACAATAATATGGTGCTCATTTCTTTGGAGTAAAGTAATTGTTTTGAGTTGTTCACAAATTTGAATAGGTTAATGTAAAATTTTAAAATGTAGGTGTGTTTATATGTATTACCCAAGAGCCATCAGGCTTCCAGCTCTGAGGCACTATGCCAATTAGGGAATGGACTTTCTTAAAAGAAACACTCTTTTTCAGCCTGAAATGGAATACATTTGGCAAATTATCTATGTTTGTGAGCATAAAGGAAGCCAAAAACAGTGTGTCATCTCTTTTTTATTATTGAGGTAAAATGCATGCATAGTTGAATGCACAAATTTTACATTATACAATTTGAGTTTTTAAAAGTATATATTTTGTGTAACTGTGCCTCTCAACAGCCCCATACAGGACCTTGTCATCCCTCCTAGAGCGTCCTCACATGCCTTTCTGGCCAATACCTTACCTTTTCCCTGTAGATAGTCACAGTCTGTGTGACTGTATGGTATCGTGATACCAGTGCCACACCACGTTGAATAATGTAACTTGATGATACCAGGTATCAGTCCTCCACCTTCCCTTTTTTTCAAGATTGTTTTAACTGTTGTAAATTCATTGTTTTTCCATATACATTTTAGTATTAACTCGTTCATTTCTACAAATAAAACTTTGAGTTTTGATGGGAATTGAATTGAAACTATAAATCAGTTTGGATAGAAGTAACATCTTAACAATATTGAACCTTCTAATCCACAAATGTGGTATATTTCTTCATCTACTAGAGTCTTTAATTTCTGTGAATAGCATTTTGTTGTTTTTAACTAGAGATTTTGTAAGTCTATTATTAAACTTATTCCTGACTATTTTATGTTTTTAATACTATTGTAACTATAATTTTTTAATAAATTTTATTTTTCACTTGCTTGTGGCTCTTATAAAAAATAATTTTTATATGTATTGAATTTCTGTACTTTAACCTTGCTAAATTTGCTTTTGTTTTATAGAGTTCTAGAGATGTTCGAAATAGACAATTATACTGTATGTGAATAGAGACTTCTTTTCCAATCTGTCGGCCTTTTATGTCTTTTTCTTGACTTACTGCTGGCTGGGACTTCCAGTAAAATTTTGAATGTAAATAGTAATAGCAGACATTTTTGCACTGTTTCTAATCCTAGACAGGAAATATCAAGTGTTTCATCATTAAGTTTGAGGTTAGCTGTAGGTTTGTCCTGGATTCTCTTTATCAGATTGAGGATATTCTCTTCTTTTTTTTTTTTTTGAGTTGGAGTCTCACTCTGTCACCCAGACTGGAGTGCAGTGGCCGCTCCCGGCCACCGCAGCCTAGACCTGCTGGGCTCCGGCGATCCTTCCACCTCAGCCTTCCGAGTAGCCGGAATTACAGGCATGCGCTACCACGCCCGGCTGATTTTTTGATTTATTGTAGAGATGAGGTCTTACTGCCCAGGCGGGTCTCGAACCCGCGGGCTCAGGCAATCCACTCACCTCAGCCTCCCAAAGGCACGGGATTACAAGCTGAGCCACGGAGCCCGGCAGGATATTCTCTTCTATACCTAGTTTAAAAATATATATATATCATTACTGGATTGAATTTTGTCAACTTTGTTTTTCTGCCTCCATTGATACAATCATATAGTTTTTCTCTTTTATTCTGTTAATATGGTCAATTACTTTGATTGATTTTTCTAATATTAAACCAACCTTGCTTTCCCAGAACAAATCCCACTAGACCATACCATACTGTACTATCTTTTTATATATTGCTGCTTTTGATTTGGTAGTACTTCATTAAGGATTTTTCATTTATTCGTGAGGTTTATTGACCTGTAATGTTCTTTTAATATCATTATCGAGTTTTGATATCAGAGTTATGCTGGTCTTAGAAAAGAATTGAGAAGCATTTCCTCCTCCTTTGTGGAAGAGTTTGTATGAGATGGATATTATGTATTTCTTGAGTGTTTGATGAAATTCACTACTGAACCAGCTGGGCTTGGAGTTCTCTCTTTGAATTGCTTCATTTCGGGTTCAATTTATTTAATAGATATAGAGCTATTCTGATTTCCTGATTTTATTTTTAGTCAGTTTTACTAGTTTGTGTCTTTCAAGGAATTTGCTGATTTCATTGAAACTTCAAATTTATTGACATAATATTGGTCTTAATATGATACTTGTAAGGTCTGTAGGATCTATAGTAAAAGTTTCCTTTTACTCTTAATAGCAGTAATTTGTCCTCTTTTTTTCTTGATCAGTCTAATTAGAGGTTTATCAATTTTATCAAACTTTCATAAAAAGCTTTTGATTTAATTTTATTTGTCAATTTTCTATTTTATTTAATTCTCCTCTTATGTTTATAGTGTCCTTCTTTAGACTGTGTATGTAGTTTGCTCTGTCATTAATATATTTTTAATGTGAAAGCATCCCTATGTCTGTCTACATTTTGTAATATTTATTTTTTTCTTAGTTTTTCACCCCCTCTTTGTTAATGCTAGATGTCAGATTTTTGCAGATGGTAGTTATTTGTCTTTTTCTAATAAAATCAGTATAGTATGACAGTTTTTTCAACAAATGGAATAAATTAACTCAAAGGAGGGTGCTTATTTTCTAGTTCACACTGAAGTGCTCCGTAGTCTCATGACAACCCTGAGTCTAAGGGTGGATTTGCTTAAAAGGCATTAGGACTGTTAAGATTTATTGGCATATGAAATTTCAAATATCTCTTGTGGCAGAAGGGATATGTTTCTGGACACATCTCAAGTAGCCATAAAAGCGGAGCTGTGGCATAATATCTTCTTTACTCCAAAGCTAGATTCATCTCTTGCCCAGCTTATCCTTGATGTTGAAGCCATAATGAGATCTTCAAAGAATACATCACTCACCAGAATTTTGATAGATACAAATTAATTCCATCCCATTCAGTTGAATGTCTTCATAGGAGGGCTGTGACTGACTATATCTGAGTACGCTTAGTCTTTAAACAACAAATAGGCCACTCTGGCTGAGTTGATGGACTTGACTTGTGTCAAGGTGATGAGGACTCTTGATATTTCCAGCAGTAAAGGTGGAGACTAAGGGCCTGAGAAAAGTGCCCTTCAAGTTGATGAAGTAAAACCCATCAGAGTTGATGGTGAAGATGGTTCACACCTCCATGGGTTTCATCCTTGTTTTGGGATGTGATGGTGACAGTGTTCTCATTCTTATATCTACTAAACTGGATCCTGATACTTGGGATTGGAGGATGCATTTTGTACCTCAAATGGCGTTCTTCTTGCTGGTTTTTAGTGCCTAGGTATTTCAGGAGTATATTTGTTCCTTTATATCACCCCCTGAGTGGTGGTATGCATCGTCTCTGGAATCCAGTTCTCTGACCATGACGATCACCTCTGAAATGGTCCTTGTTCTCTTCTACAAAACCCCTGCAGGCTAATGGTTCCTTCCATTTTCAGTGGGCTCAATTAAAATAGGCCCATTTCCATTCTGTGTTCTAATCTTGTGGTTCAGAAATCACTCAGAAGCTCCTACATTGTATTGGGGTAGGAAAACTTTAAGACTGAGCTCTCTTTTGCCCATATACTTTATGCAAACAGTCCTCCTCTAGGTCTTCTTGCATTTCCAGAGCACTCCTCAGAAAGGAGGCCTGGGTCCTGTCTGCTCATTCGTAAACATATTGAGGCTTTGGTTAAACCCCACCATGAGCCCAGGGCTCAGCCCAGATGCTAGGGTACTGGGTCCCCTTTCTAGAGCCCACCTGCATCTATGTACCCAGCTTTTCCCTCCCTTCTTACAATGTATTTTCATGACTGCAGTTTAAGTTTTCTGATTTCCTTTGTGGTTTGTTCTTTGGTGCATGGGTTATTTACAAGCATGTTTGCTTTACAAACATTTGATTTCTAATTTGATTTCATTATGGTCAGAGAACATTTGAAACTAAGTTGTATTGAAGGTCTAGTGTATAGCTTAGTGAATTTTCTATGTGCATATATATGTACTCTGTTGTTGGATGGAGTCTTCTTTAAACAGCAGTTACAGTGCTGTTCTTATTGTCTATTTCCTTGCCAATTTTTTCTTCTGACAGTTCTATCAATTTCTAAGAAAGATATGTTCCAACTATGATTGTGGATTGGTTTCTTTCTTTCTTTCATTACTTAAAAAAATAAAATAAACAGGAAGTTTTACTGTACGTAAGTCTATATTTCTGTTTTGCCTTCTTTCATTCATATAATCTTATGATTTTGCTATTAATTTAAGGAAAGTTAAGTAGTATAGTAAAAAATATATCAGGTTTTAATTTTAGGGTTGTTTGAACAGGAATTTTAACTGTATTAAAATGGTTACATGATATTAATATAATGACTTTTCTATTTAGATCTTTAGAAACCAGGGAGGTACAGTATTCTGTGAACCTACTAAACTTTAGCATCTTATCTAGTTTTTTCGAAAATAAAAGTATATTTCTGGGACTAAAAAGTTGGAAATTTTCAAAGTATAAATGTAGTTTGGGTATTATATTAATGCTCAATTTAAAATATGCAATTTGCTCATCTTTTTTTTTTTAAGTGAGAAAGCAGGATTTATTGAGAGGACAGAGAAGCTCCCACAGTGGGAGGGGACTTGAAGGGGTTGCCCCGCAATTAGCACATCTTTTTTCTTTTCTTTTTTTTTTTTTTGAGTCAGAGTCTTACTCTGTCACCGAGACCAGTATGCAGTGGCATGCTTACGGTCACTGCAGCCTCAACCTGCTGGGCCCAGGTGGTCCTTCTGCCTCAGCCTTCCAATTAGCTGGAACTACAGGGGCATGTGCTATCATGACTGGCAATTTTAAAAATTTTTTATAGAGACGAGGTCTCACCAAGTTGCCCAGCCTGGTCTTGAACCTGGGCTCAGGCAATTCTCTCTCCTTGGCCTCCTAGATTGCTGAGATTACAGGCTTGATCCACCATGCCTGGCTTTTTTTTCTTTTTCTTTTTTTTTTTTTTAGTCAAGCTCTTACTCTGTCACCTAGGCCGGACTACAGTGGCACAATTATGGCTCACCGCAGCCTCAGCCTCCTGAGTAATTGGGACTACAGGCACCACCACACTGACTAATTTTCTGATTTTTAAAGATATGAGGACTTGCTATGTTACCCAGGCTTGTCTCAAACTCCTAGGTTCAAGTGATTCTCTTGCCTTGGCCTCTCAAAGGCTAGATTATAGGTGTGAGCTGCCGCATCCAGCCCTGTTTTTATTTATTTGTTTTTTTGATATTACATTTTTTATAACAACCTTCCTTTAACATATTGTTGCATTATTATGCTAGTCATAAATTTATACTGATTATATTAGAGTGAGTGTACATCCAGAAATATTATTACCTTGACTTTAAAAAATGGCTGATATTTAATGTGTGGGAGGGAGATTTTTTTTGCTGTGTAATATGCATGATTTCATTTATTTAAAGAAAATAATAAAAGTTTGAGGTTTAACTTTCCTAAAGCTATATTTCTGTTTTCTCATCCTTGCAGCTTATATATTTATCTGTAAAAAACTTAAGGACAAATGATAACAAATCTCCTGTATAATCTGCTAGGTTCTAGGGTTAAAGTAAAGAATTTGTCTTTCCTCTATATTTGAAATAAAATATTCCTTTATTTTATTTTATTTTTTTCTGGGTTAACCATAAGTGTTTTAACGCTTAAGACCTGTCAAGATGCATAATGTGCTTTATGTTTTCAAAGAAAGAGGCAAAGTTCTCTATGTGTTTGAGAAATGACAGAATAAGTAGGTTCTTTAGGGAACCTAGGAAAAGTCTGGCTGCTGTAGACAGTGGGGCTTGTGGCATGGAGTTTTCTTTGGGGATTGACTGTCAAGACTGGATTGAGTCAGGAGGCTTATATTAGATCATTACTCTGCCCTCACTCTAACTTACTTGACTTGAGAAAAACCATTTATTTCTGCTAATGATCAGATCAGATGTCCAGCTGTGTAATTTTCTGAAATTATGATTGTTACTCCTGAACTATACAACAAAGTTTCAGAACTCTGTAATTGGTTATGGTTAATTTTGAATGGTAAATTATGTATTATTTTAAAAAATTGTTTCTCAAATATTTAGAACATCCAATACAAAACTGGATCTACAGAAAAAATCTGAAGCCCTTGAAAATATCAAGCAAATGCTCACCAAGCATGAGAAAGAAAAGTTAATACTGAAACAAGAATTTGAAAATTTAAGTCAAGATGCAAAGTTGCAGCACAAGGAATTGAATAACAGAATCCAAACAACAGTAGCAGAACTACAAAACGTGAAAATGGAGAAAGAAGCTTTAATGACGGAACTCTCTACAGTAAAAGAAAAATTATCAAAAGTTTCTGATTCTTTGAAAAATTGTAAAAGTGAATTTGAAAAGGAGACTCAGAAAGGAAAAGCTGCTGTGTTAGACTTGGTTAGTCTTTACATTTACATTTTTAGGTGAAAGTGATTACTGTATTTAAAATATACTGATTTTTCTCCTTAATTGACTAATGACTTTTCATTCCACATTTAAATAATTTTAAGTAGTTCTTATGAGGAAAGGAATGGATTGTTTACACCAAGGAAAATCTCAAAATAATGGTGAGCATGCACGTGTGTGTGTGTGTGTGTGTGTGTGTGTGTGTGTGTGTGTGTGTGTGCAGTTTTCTAAGGCCAAGCATCTTTTCAGTTGAATATAACAGTCTTTCTGCATTGCAGGTTTGATGCTAGTTTTGGGAGAGCCTATAGCACGTTTGTTCTAGGGATGCTTCTACAAAGAATATGGCAACTACTTGAAATGTTACTTAGTTGCCTGAAAAAAAGATCAGAAAGATCTCAGTGACGCTTTTACTTCTGGTGACAGTAAAATTTCTAATTCTTTATTAAAAATTCTGAATCTCAGTTGGGCACAGTGGCTCATGCCTGTCATCCCAGCACTTTGGAAGGTGGAGGCGAGAGGATTGCCCGAGCCCACGGGTTGAGACCAACCTGGGCAACATGGCGAGACCTCGTCTCTACAATAAATAAAAAAATTAGCCAGTGTGATGGCACACACCTATGGTTCCGGCTACTTGGAAGACTGAGGCGGAAGGATCATCTGAGCCCAACAGGTCAAGGCTGCGGTAGCCATGAGTGTGCCACTGCACTCCAGCCTGGGCAACAGAGTGAGACTCTGACTCAAAAAAAAAAAGGAAAAAAGAAAATTCTGAAACTCCAGATAATAGCATGTTTAGAGTTATTGTAAAACGTATTTAAACTATAGAGAAAAAAAGCCACAGAGTCTCAGGAAATGCTTAAAGGGAATACTTTTCTCAGAAATATTTTAACCTAGAATAATACAAAGTAACAGCAAAAATACAATTCTTCTCTTCTCTCTGCAAAGGTCGATGAAGTGTTCAGTGATATAAAACATATGGGAGATTAGTATGTTACCTGTGTGTCCCTCTTTGTTTGAAGAAAACGTTTTTTATTGGTTCACCTTTCCTCTTAAATCATATATGATTATTTTAAAATTTATTGTTTTATAATTTTTTTTAAAAGTTGTCTTGCTTCCATTTTCTTGAAGCCCATTGTTCTACTTTTAAATATATTTTAAAATATAAAAATGATTAAAAACATTTCTTATGAGGAAAGGAATGGTACAAGTTAATGACATGTTAATTATATTGAATTCAGAGACACAAAAATGTGGTTTTCAAAGTGTTGTAAAACACTGTCTAAATGTTTAAAATATTTTATCGTAACAGTGGATTTGATCAAAACCTTTAGTGTTTCATTGTCTGTTTTTATTATTGAAAAGGATAATCCTATCCCACATTGACCCATCAATAATATTAATTTCCTGTGTATATTTTACTAAGCTTATAAATCAAACTCCTGAAGTTTATTATAAATATTTTCTGTGTAATATAGTTCTGTCTTTTTTTAGGAGAAAACATGCAAAGAATTAAAGCATCAACTTCAAGCACAGACGAAAAGCACACTTAAGGAGCAGAATGAACTGAAAAAGTCACTAGAAAAAGAAAGGGAGGTAAGATTCCTTTTTTTCTGTAACATAAATTATGTAAAGTATAATAAGGCCTTTATATTTAACAGCATTATTGCATAAAGCATGTTTGTCCTTGAGGACATTTCCACCGGAATTTTTTTATATTTTCAAGAACAAAAAGCATTTTCACACTGATATGTAGGTCAGAGGGCTATTTCTCTGAAATGTGATTGATTATAAACAGTTTAAAATTGTTATTTGTGTTCTATCTACTGTTTAAAGATTTAAGCTAATTTGTAATAAAAGGCCCAAATAAAGAAATATAGTTAACAAGGGTAGAAAATGGAGTCAGCTAACTATAGTTATAATTAGATAATCTAGGTTAACAAACATTATTATGCTTGGGGAAAAATATCTTAATAGGTTTCCTATAGAAATGTCCTTATGCATGCTATTTTATAGACATTTATAGGCAAATTAATACTGTGGTTAATACTTCTATTCCTGTCTAGCAAAAACAAACAAGAAAACAAGTAAATAAATGGGTATAATACGGTTGTTACTCTCTGAAGTCATACTTGTTAGCAGCTAGAGTCCAGGCATGCAGCTTTCTAGAAAATCAGATTTGATAAAGCAGCAAAGCAGAGTTCTGACAAATGTTTGATGTGATGGTATTCTGGTTGTTGATTGGAATAAGACTCTTGTGTTGTAGATGCCAGCCATGTAAGTGACAAAATTATAGTGGCTTAGTCCCAAGTTCTGAATCAAGATTGTCCAAATTTTTATCCTGCTTTGGCTACTTATTAGTTCTGCCATTTTGTCATATTTTAGAAAGGTTACTTAATCTCTGTGCTCTAGTCTCCTTAGTGGTAACATGGGGCTAATAATGGAAACTGTGTGATAGAGTTTTGTGAGAAATAAATGGGTTAATACATTTAAAGTGATCAGAGCACTGACTATACCTCATAAATGTACATATGCTAGATATTATTTTACCATTGGTTATCGTAACATAATCATCCTTATTGTCACTCTATCTGGCTTCTGTTTTACGTAAAAATATTTTGCTGTGTATTGGAGATAAGCTGAGACATCTGTGTGTAGCATTAAACTTTTCTTGAAAGTAACTTTGAATATGGTTAAATGCTCAAATGTGATGCTAGGTTCTTAATGAAATATGCATAAAACATGAAAGCATAACTTTGACTGGAGAAGGTGGGAGGTAACAGTGTTTCACCATGGTCACAGAGGCGCATCAGTGTGACTTCTATATGCCATCTAATTTTGACAGAAACATAGCCTCATGTAAAAACAAGGCATAGTAAAATATGCCCCAGATCTCTAAATGAGGTAATTGTCGTGCAGTGCCGCTAAATATCATCAGACAGATAATAAATGTATTTGCCAAAAGTGATTTTTGTTTTTTCATTGTTAATATCTAGCTGTTCTTTGTGACTAACTGGCCAACAGGCTTAGTAGCTTTTGAGAATATTCTTTTTCATTTTATTTATTTACTTAAATTTATTTTTATTTTTATTTTTCTAGAGTATTCTTGAAAGACAGGGTAACCCCTTCACGTCCCCTCCCGCTGTGGGAGCTTTTCTGTCCTGTCAATAAATCCTGCTTTCTCAAAAAATAAAATAAAATAAAATAAAATAAAATAAAATAAAATAAAATAAATGCTAATACTGTCTTAAAAAAAAAGAAAAAGAAAGACAGTAGACATCTAGCAAGCGAGACACTGATATTGACATACCTATTTTCTGTGATGCAAGAAAATATTAATTGAGTTCATTTATAAGCTCTATCTAAATACCCAACACAATAAATGGAAAAGGAAGTAGTGTTAAACAAATTATGAAGATGAGTTCAGCATGCCATCAGATAGTGAATGGTGTCAGCTGGGAAGCAATATGAGAATATAGATTCTTCTCTTTTGTTAACTACGAATTACTTCCAACCAACAGCCTCAGTAATTTCTTCCTTGACCAGTTCCTGGCATGTAGTAGACACTTAGTAAATGTTTTTTGAAGTAAATGAAGGCTAAACAGATTTTATTTTTTCTTAGACTTCTCATATGTTGAAATTGGAACTCAGTTCAGTGCAGGAACAAGTTGTACAGACCCAGAGTGCTTTGAAACAAAAGGAAAAAGAACAACAACAACTTCAGGGGAGCCTGAATGAGCTAAAGCAATCAACCGAACAGAAGACAAAACAGATCGAAGCACTCCACGGAGAAGTGAAAGCTGCTGTTTCACAGAAGGTAGGGAGAGGAGGTAAAACCGGACAATTAAAATGACACAGATGAGCTGCAACACAGAAAAATTTATATAAGCTAAACATTTTTCTAATAGTTAAATGTATGAAAGCATTTGGTTATAGAATTAAATCTCTTCAGTCTGGATTTTCATTCACTATAACCATTTGTCAGATAATTATTTAGAATTCTAGTATTAATCATTTGCTCAACATGAAAGTATCTTTTTGCAAAATAACATACCTAATGCTTAATGTTAATGGAATAATTTATGCAGCTTTTCTAGTATATTAGATTTTAAAGGAATTTAAAGTAAATCATCCTTATTAAGACAGAATCATCAGAAACAAAAATCACAAGTGGGACATATTAAAAACATTTACTAGTGTCAGGTAGTATATACTTGTTATTTAATATTTTAAATTACATCATAATGGTTTCTACTTCTAGACCTATTGTCATTTATTCTTGAGTATGTTTTTCATTCTTTATTTTATTTATTTATTTTGAGTTGGGGTCTTGCTTTGTTGCCCAGGCTGGATTGCAGTGACATGATCACAGCTTACTATAGCCTCAAACTCCTGGGCTCAATCCATCCTCCTGTCTCAACTTTCTGAGTAGCTGGGACTACATGTGTACACCACCATGCCTGGTTAATTTTTTGACTTTTTGTAGTGAGGAGGTCTTGCTAGGTTGCTTAGGCTAGTCTCAAACTCCTGAACTCAAGTGATCTTCTCCCTCAGCATCCCAGAGTTCTGGGATTACAGGAATGAACCACCGTGCGTGGCCTGGTTTTCATTCTTAAGTATATTTAATACTTGTCCAGATCAAGAGTTGGTAAGCCAGGTAATGGTGAAAGACAACGATGGAACATAGTTCTGCTAAAGGTTAGGTGATCAAAGAAGCCTCTCTGGAGACTTGAGTTGATAGATGAGTTACAAAAGCTATCTGTCCAAAGGTCTGGGACAACTAGTGCCAGGACCTTAGAACAAGCTTGGAATTTTCTAGAAACAGAAGACCAATATGGGTTAAATCAGTGGGAGAGGGAAAAGACCACTTGAGATGAGCTCAGAGAAGTAGACAGGACCATGTTGTTTCTGTGCAAGTTGGTAGATTATTAGATGATGGAGAATGGTGCAGCTTGTTCTAAGGAAAATTGGAATCTATTGTAGAATCTTGAGCAGAAAATGGGGGGGTGGCTAGAAGGAAGTAAAGGAGCAAGCAAGGAAGGCATTAAAAAACGATGGCAAAAATCTAGACGTACATGATGTAGGCACGATCTAAAGTGTTAGAAGTGATTTGTGAAGATGTTTTGGAAGTTGAGTCACCAACACCTTTTGATTGACCAGATGGTGAGAGCAGCAGAAAGAGGAATCTAGGATAACTCTAGGTCTCGGTTTGTGCACGTGGGTGGTAGTTAATGCCATTTATTGGGGGAAGTAGCAGCTTTTAGATGCACAGAGCTGCTGTCAGGAATTGAGGGTTCTCTTGAGATAGGTCCGTTATTCTAGTGGAGGTGTCGGGAAGACACTTGGATAAAAGTGCCCAGAGTTCAGGTGGAGAGGATGGAGCTAGAGGCTACATTTGGGAGTCAGTTCTAAATAACAGGTGTTCAAATCCGTGGGTCTGGTTGAGATCTTCTGTGGAGAGAGGGCATGTAGAGTACAGGAGGGCCAGGGGTCGAACTTGGGGCTGTTACCACACTGAGAAACCTAGTAGGAGAAAAGGGCAGGGGAAGGCTTTGAGCAGTGATGACCAGGAAGACAGGAAGAGAGCCTAAAACAGGTGTTCTGGAGACCACGTGGAAGAAAACATTTCTGCAAGGGAACATGACAATACCAAGTACCACTAAGAGACCAAGTAAGATGTGGCCAAGGATGAGCATCTTGGATTTTGAGACATGGGGATCACTGATGAGCTTGACAGTAGTTTCATTGAGGCCTTGCATTTTAAAAGCCAATACTTGTCATGCTATGCATATGTGTATCTTTAAGGATGTCATAATTTGTGCATATCTCTGGAATCTTCTTTTTTTTTTGAGTCAGAGTCTTAATCTTTCACCCATACTGGAGTGCAGTGGCACGTTCACAGCCACTGCAGCCTCAACCTGCTGGGCTCCGGTGATCCTTCTGCCACAACCTTCCCAAGTAGCTGTAACTACAGGCATGTGCTACTATGCCTGGCTAATTTTTGATTTATTGTAGAGACGAGGTCTCGCCAAACTGCCCAGGCTAGTCTCGAACCCACGGACTCAGGCAATCCTCTCGCCTCGGGCTCCCAAAGTGCTGGGATTACAGAATGAGCCACCAAGCCCCGTCTCTGGAATCTTCTTAAAGACTACAGACAAGTTTAGAGTTTAAAGTAGTTAGGACTTTGGGAGATTTTCTTTTCCTGTCTTGATTTTAATAAAGATGACCTATAGCCATCTCCTAAGTTGTGCTTAAACTTCCAAAAGTAGAAACAATCTATTTCAACATAATAATGACTTCTTATTTCTTTCATGTTTCATGAAGTTTCTTTTAGTCCAACCTTTGATTATGTCCTCTGAGGCACCAGTACCTTGTCCGCCCCATCAGGGTGTGGCTGTTACTCTGTCTCCTGAAACCTGACACTTAGTACTTCCCATTGGAATGCTTTTTTCCCCCTTTGTTTAATTTCTTTTGCATTTTGTGGTTTTCTTAAAAAATTGGGACTTGTTGGATTTTGTAGTTTTTTGACTTTATGAGTCTATGGAAAGTTAGTCTTTACTAAGGTAGAATTTTAGGGCATAAATACAGTTCAACTTGTTCTCAGGAATTCTCTTTGTCTGGACTTCGTTTTATATTTGTAACTGGTGTTTGGAATGCATACTGTTTTAAATAACTACTGTATGTTTCAGACAGAACTTGAGAATAAACTACAGCAGCAGGCAACACAGGCAGCCCAGGAACTTGCATCAGAGAAAGAAAGAACAGCAGTATTGCAAGGCACCTATGAGAAAAGTCAAGAAAGTCTAAAGCAGCTTCAGTCTGATTTCTACGGAAAGGAATCTGAACTTCTAGCCACGAGGCAAGACCTGAAGGTAGAGTAACTACATTGGACAATAAAAACTCTGTCAGTTGTTCATAGACATTTGTTAAATGAGCCATTTGAACCCAAATGGTCAAGGGAATGTTACTATTTGTGGACTAGCATGTTGTTTTCTATTAAATTGTTATTTTTGTATGGGCATACTTTAAAAAATTTTTTACATTATAGCAAAATGATGATGTTTATAAATGTGGACATTTTGAAATGACACATCTATAATGGTAAAATAACTTGGATGTGTGTTAGTTGTTAGTTGCGGTGCTATTATTTTATCTGAGAATCATGCTATCTTTCTGTGAAATCACTGGAAAGAAGGGCCGCCTTTGACAATCTAGGGGTTTAACTGTAAACCACTATGGAAAACATAGGCCATTTCATTGTTACTTGGCAGACACCACTGACATTAGTTTTATATGTTTGTCAGCTTCCCAAGATTACTGGAAAGCCTGATGTTTAAAACTAGGAGGTTATAGCTCAAAATAAACACATCCATAGTTATCTAACAACGGATAGAAATGTTATTCTTGATAAAAGACTGTTTGATTAGATAAAATATTTCATGTTTATTAAAATGAAGGATATGAGAAAAGGATAAAAAATCTTTAGATAATATGAAGGTTATCAACTTTCTAGGAAAAGTATAGTATGTATGATCTAGCAGAAGAGTCATCCAGTTTTCACTTGCTTTCTCTCTCTCTATTTTGTCAAGGTGAAATGTGGTTTCTCTTTCTTTCCTATGTTTGGGATTTTTGTTTCTTTAATTTAGAGGGCAGGTTGAAAAGGACAGAGTATTAAAATGTTGTGTTTATTTCAAATGCATCTGTTTCACCCACGGGCTTATGCAGGGAAGGCTACATGAGGAAGGCAGGATTTTTCTCCCAAGGGCCCATCTGGGAGAAAGCACTGTAGTGGAAGGCAGGGAACATACCTGTCCTGCTGGAGCTCTCACAGATGTTTGGAATGGAGGTTAGGAAGGTCAGGTTCAAACTGAGAAGAAGCTCAGATGCCCGACAAAGACCGTCGAGTTTTATATTTGGGGGAAGTGAAGAGTCTAAACAGAGGAGTGAAACAAAGCAAATAGTCCTTTAGAAGCAGCCTGTTAGAGGTTTCCAGGCAGCATAGGCTAAACTGGGACAGACGCATAGGGGGAGGTGAGTGGGGTGGTCATTTCCCTTACTTCCTTCATAAATTCTAGCAGTCAGGATATGAGTTGATGAGAAGTGGAATGAAAGTTCAAGAGGATGGAGTCAGGAGAGTAATGGAAGAGAGAGAAGAAGAAACAAGACCTGAGAGTCTGCCAGGCTGCAAGGAAGGGACGGAGGCAGTACTGATCAATGATTTACAAAGAAACAGGGAAGTGGGTAAAGGAATTTTTATGTTGCCAGTAGAATACACCTCTCTGTCTATCTATCTACCTATCCATCCATCCTTCCATTTATCCATCCATCCATCCGTCCATCCATATGTCTATCTACCTACCAAGATAAAAATAAGCAAAGGTTGTTATTAAGGAAAAACACCATGAAATATTTAGGTAGTGTTAAATTATTGTTATCATTTTTCTCTATGTTCCTGTTGAGAGGCCAGGAAGGTTCATGCTGTAGTTTGAACTTGACCCCAGGGCAGTGAGGAACCACTGAAAGGAGTTACTTAGATTGTACTTTAGGCAGGTGACTGGTTGCCAGACAAGGAATGGCTGTGGGGGGCAGGGCCGAATGTGAAGACCAGGAAGAGATTTGGCAGTCATTCAAGTGCGAGATGCTGCTGGTTGGCTTGGTAATAGGAGGGATGGAGGAAGTAGATGAATGGACAGGACGGTGAGTGACAGGAGAGATGGGCCTAGGGAAGGGACTGTGAAAGACCCTTAGAAGTCATGCTCTTTTCCCTTGGTGTGTCATCTGGTTACAGGACTTTCACGTCTCCAATCAGTATTCCTTCCTTAAGCCAGCAGGGTTTGAGCATCCCTGAAAGCCATCTTGTGTACTAGTAATTTCACACACGAAAGAACAACTCAAATGTAACTATAGGCACGAAGAGACTGCCAAAGGACAAGGCTACTATGGAGTTTTGCAACTGCTAAGAGGTCTTGGAGAGACCCTCCTTCCAAAACTTCCACAGAATTGGGCGGGCCCCCTGCTGCACAGTGAGAGCAGCTGGAACTACAGGTGTGCTCTACCATGCCTGGCTAATTTTTAAAAATTTATTGTAAAGATGAGGTCTCACTAAATTACCCAGGCTGGTCTCAAACCCCTGGGCTCAGGCAATCCTCTCACCTCTGCCTCCTAAAGTGCTGGGATGACAGGCAGGAGCCACTGCACCTGGGCCACTAGAATTTTTTTTAACCAAATGATAGATGAATCTTTTCTATATAAATCCTCTTAGAATGAGAAGTGTATGAGCTAGTGAGGGAGCTAATTTTTTTTAAATAGTAAATTCCTAGGGAAGTTCAAATGATTTTTTAGACTATTATTTTTCTTTTGTTTCACTGATGCTGTGTGGCGTATGATCTTGTGTGTAATAGAGAGAAGGAGAGAGATTCAGAATTGACGTACGTTGAGACTGTCTGCTGCTGGCTGACACTGGCCACCACAGCCTGATGGTGGCCACCACAGGCTGACAGTGGCCACCATGGCCCAACGGTGGCCATCACGGCCTGATTAAGGCCACCATGGGCTGCTGCCGTATGCTTGCACACCAGCAGAATAGCAGAGAGCCTGGCCAGGTCTATGCCTTCAGCCCCATCTGCTGGATTATTTATGAAATACTTAAATTTGTTGACTGGATATTACTTATGTACTATTTGTTGTTCATAAAAGATGGAAGTAGAATTTAACTATAAGGTTGACATCTTGCATGAAGTAAAAATTCTTAGATAATAAGTTTAGAATTACGTATCAGTCTTCTGAGGTGAGTATTATCCCTTATGTCATTTTGCAGACATCAAGAAAAAGAATTTTAGGTTTTTTTTTGTAAAGAAGAATGAAAAAACATGCTGAATAGACCACAAAAGAGCCACCACAGAACACTGTAGACATAGTCTTTACTGGGTACTGTAGTGTGATTGGTGTAATCAGGGTCAAGCTTGGTAGTTGGTTCATTCAGCACTTTGCCCATGGAGGGATTTCCACTGGGAGTAGATGGGTTAGAGACAGTCCTAACAAAACTGTGGGATGGAAGGGGGCCTCCCTCAGCGGAGCAATGCTGGGCAGATAAAATATCAGGAAAGGCAATGGGAGCATTGCATGCCTGGCCATGCACCACTGGATGGCAGGTGGGTGTCGGGGCAGAGTGGAGCAGGGACCTCAGAAGAGACTTTGTGGAGCAGTCCAGATTTCGAACTCGACTTTACAAAATTAGTCAATGGGCTTTGTGAATTTAAAATGTTATAAGCTGCCACTCACACCACTGGTGTCTTGGTGATCCTGTGGTCAAGGGTGGGGCTCAGTGAACCTGGGAATTCCTGAGCATTAGATCAGGACCTCTGTGACTTAATTACAGTGACTGTGGACTGCTTGGACTGGACTCGGTCAGATTTTCTTCTTTTTACTGAAGTCTCTTTTGTCCTTTGTGATACATAGGTCAGTGTCCGTGTGTACTGTGGAGCCTCATGCAAAGCACACACCACGGCCTTACACTCCCTGCTCTGTGTGTTTGGCACACAGCATGTTTCCCATGGCTGCTCTGTCTCAGGCTCTCGCTCGCCTTCTTAAGTGAAGGACCACCTTCTGCCCCCTGTTCTACCATAGCACTATGCTCAGTTAAGGGTTAGCTTCCGGGTAGTAAAGAACTGATGATGGAAGGGCCTGAAAAAATTCTTGGGTTAGCGTTCTACTGGCAGTCATTGAAAGCTGAAGTTTAATTTGCATCAGGAAGACTTCTGAACTGGGTTACTGGGAAGGAGACCACTTTCTTTCCCAGAAAGCTTCAGAATCCCCACAAATAAGGTCTTCATTTATGCATTTTATTCATTCATTCATGTTATTTTTTGATTGAATACTGTGTATTCAGCCTAGCCAGCAAGAATCCTTTCCTGAATTATATTTTCTGCCTTCTTTTTAAAGGAGCGCTGTCTCCCAAATCAGGTAGATCCTCTTCTTCCAGCCTGATGGGGAACATCCAGAGCTCTGTGCTGCTGATCTGTGGCAGTGGCAGCCGAGAGCGACAGGTTCCTGTCGTCCCCTCACTGCCTGAGGCCATACCCACCCCAGATGAAGCCCCGTCCCCTGTTTCAGCTTCTCAAAATATTGGGGCCTTCACAGTCACTAACCAGGGGCTTTGTTATTAATAACTGGCAACTGCTGCTTCTGCCCCCGCAGATGGGAGGGGGACAGGTGATGGCCTTCTCAGGGTAGAGTTGCAGGTGTTTAAACAGCTGAATTTTCTCTGATAGTTCACCCGATCAGATTGGCAGCTTGAAATACAGGTTTTTTTGGCAAGACAAAAGAAGTTATTCCTATTTATTAAAGTTTTTAGTATGTCAGAGGACATCATAATTCCTAAAAACAGTCTATGTTTACATAGTGTAGCATTTAATTCTGTCTTTTTAGAAATGGTTTTCTTTCCCGTCTCCCTGTGACTTTTCTTTAAGCATGTGTATGTGCTCTGAGTGTATCTGATATGGTCCCTACTTACTTGATATTCCTTTATATCCTCCAGCCAGTATTGGAGGTATGATCAATATTCAGTGAATACGTTATATCTTTTTTAGTCATTAGATTATTTCTGAAGATTTTGGAATTGCTTCAGCTTTGCTAAATGTTCTATACTATAAATGTTTCATAAGCAAGGGAGTTGGTATTCTAGAATTCCTTCTCTTTTAAGTGATCTTACTGAAGAGCATAACATGCTATCTTTATTTTATACCATGTTGCTTTTCACAGTGCTTATATTAACTTATGTTTCTTTTGAAATTTGCTAAAAAGTACATACAGTAATTTGGGGAAATCATTTTAAGTCCGTAGAAGAGAAGCTTTCTCTAGCCCAGGAAGACTTGATTTCAAACAGAAATCAAATTGGAAACCAAAATAAATTGATTCAAGAACTGAAGACTGCCAAGGCTGCCCTGGAACAAGATTCCGCAAAGACAACGCAGCAGCTGAGAGAGCAGTGTAAAGCCCTGCAGGACGTGCAGAAAGAAAAGGTATTCCGTGCTTCTGATTTGAGTCTCCATCCTAGAGTTGCAGTGGCACTCAAGGTCGTCCCGGCAGACCTCTTATTCAGTACAAGGGTCACCTTCATTTCAACAGCTCAGATGGACCTTAAGCCTCTCCTACAACACTCTGGATAGCTGGAATTTTAACCTTTGGAAGTATTTCTTAATAGCCTCCTTGCCTTTTCTACCCATTTTCCTTACTGTTCTTTTTCAGTTTTGCAAACAGATCTGTTTGTAAAACTGAAACATAGAGCCTTGGTCATCTGAGAGCAAATATTATAGCCCTTTGACTATTTTGCATATAACATTTTATCTTTTGGATGTGTGAATGAGATAATAAAATGTCTAGAAGTAATTCTTAACAAGCTCAGAAGTCTTAAAATTAATAACCAGCTTTTTCTAAGGGAAGTAGGGCGTATTTTATATAAATTATGCTAAGTTATAAAGTCGAAGCAAGAGAGGATAAGTAATTTGCTCAGGGAACTTAGGTAGAAAGTGGCAGAACCAGGGTCATAAATAGTAGCAGTCATTTTTATTACACCAACTTTCAGCTGTGTATTTGCTTTAAATTTATTATTAATAAATCATTATTCTTCTATAGTCACTGAAAGAAAAAGAACTGGTAAATGAAAAGTCTAAACTGGCAGAAATAGAGGAAATTAAGAGTAGACAAGAAAAAGAAATCAATAAATTAAGTGAAGAACTCAAATCCCACAAACAAGAAAGCATAAAGGTATGTAAAGATGATTATTTTTCCTGCCTTCTGTGTTGTATTATTGTTCTTCAAACAAAATGTGTGTGTGTGTGTGTGTGTGTGTGTGTGTGTGTGTGTGTGTGTGTGTGTAGAAAGAGAGATACAGACAGAAATTGTTTTGTCATTTTTGACAAATACTCTTGCCAGAGTGCTCTTGTATTGTATAATATCTGTACACAAATGGAACCTATATCACTATTGTTTTTCAGATTATTGAATAAAGCAAAGCGACCCTAAGAGTTTAGAATGTATTGAAATGATTATCAGAAGAGCTATTGATTTAGATAGTTATGCTTATAGATAGTAAATTTCAAAATATGTAATGAGACCATGTGTGGTGGTATATGCCTAGTGCTAGCTACTTGGGAGGTGGGAGGATTGCCTCAGTCCAGGAGACTGAGGATGCAGGGAGTCGTGATCATGCCACTGTACTCCAGCCCAGGAGACAGAGTAAGACCCTAACTCCAGGAAAAAAAAGATACATACATAAATACATATACTGGGGGTGCCAAAATAATGTGTACACACTTTAAGAGATAATAAGAGTTGGTCACTGTAGTCAGAAGTGTTTGGATGCTGATGGTCACCACTTTGAGCACCTCTTATAGTTGCAGAAGTCAAACGTGACTTGTATTCATCTAATTGAGTATTACAATTTTTGTCCAGTTTTTTCCTTTCTTAACATGTTTTGGCACCCTCTGTGCATGTGCGTGCGCACACACACATGTAATGGTTTAGAAATAAGATTTTAATGGATCCTGTTTAATTGTTTTTCTTCCTCAAATTCTTTAATTATCTCATTGTTAACATTGTGCCTGTTGCAAGAATAGAAATGGTGACAATTAAGGAAACAAATTGTTTACTATTTGCTTTGTAAAATGTCACTTGTTTCCTTGGAGGAAGGTCAGCATCTTTCTCAAGTGCTCATCATGCTCATTATGTTCACTGGCATACTCACCATTTGGGCTATTATCTTCGTGTCCTTCTGTGAATCAGGGAATGTGTGCAGTTAACCTTTCTATTGTATCCCCAGAATCTAACTCGGTGTGTGATAAATAAATGCTAAGTAAGAAAAGGGCAAGGGGGTGAGGATGTCTCCCCCCCCTTCTTCTTCACAATATAATCAGAACATATGCAACCCATTTTCAACTGAATGTAAATAATTGTTGAGCAGGAAGTAAAGAATCTTGCATCCTTTTAACAAATTGTGTGAAATACTGAACTTTAAGAATCTCACAAGAGAAGTAGACAAAACTAATGTTGGATTTATTGGGATACATTGCATCAATTTTAGCTGCACTTTAAAATATTTACGGTTAAGGATGATTTATTTTTGATGCTGCTTCTTCTCCAGGAAATGACAAATCTTAAGGATGCCAAACAGCTTTTGATTCAGCAGAAATTAGAACTTCAAGGAAAAATGGACTCCCTGAAGGCAGCTCTTGAACAGGAGAAGAAGAACCAGCAGGTGCTAAAAGAGCAGGTGAAACAGGAGGCAGATGAGCTGAAGAAGGAATTTACTGAGAAAGAAGCACAACTGGTCAGTGAGTTCTCGGTGGGGACTAGGTTTGGGGTTGAGTTGAGTCAATCCAGCGGGCGGGTTTTTCTACTTAGAAGTTAGATTGAAATGCTTATCTAACATTTTTGTTAGTTTTCAATTAAGAAAGATGTGACTTTTTAAATCGCTGGCATGTGATTAGAAATAGTTTACTTAATGTAATCACATTTTGGTCTCTATTCATGACAATCCAGTTGAAATATAACTTTTTTAAAAGACATTTTTTTAGTGCCAGAAGCAAATACACAAACCCACAACTGTGTCAGTTGAGGTGAGTCATGGGACCATGAATCACGTGAGCTTATTTGTTTGATCAAGGTGATGTGGGTGATGGAGACCAGAAACGGCACTTGGAGCGTGGGGACCAAAGCCAACTTCTCCCTTCCCGAGTTGTGCATGCACAGTGGAAGCATCTGGCTCTTTGCTGAGTGAAGTTCAAATATCCCAGAAAACTTGACCACTAAATGTTTCAGTCGAAGAGTTGCAGTCTTAAGTTCTAGCAGTGCCTAGAAGGTTTTGTGTTATTTTTACAGCCACAGAGGAAAGGACGCATGTGGAGCTGGGAGACACAGGATGTGGCAGCTGTGTCAGGGCACCTTGCTGTCCCTAACCATGTGTGTCTTCTTTGCTCTGGGGGAAAAAGAAAGATCTCAAATGGAGTCCATTAAGCTAGCCGTATGGCGGTCACTAGCCAGCATTTCAACCTCATGGCCTCTGAGCCAGGTCAAATTACACAGATGCTCATGGGATCAGTTATGTTAGCATGCAGTGAAATATAGTCTCCTGCCTCCTTTCCTGAGGAAGGAATATTGTTTATACTGCCAATATTTTAAATTCTGTAAATTGCTTAAATTTATTCTGTAGCGCTTTTGTATTAGGGTTTCCCCATTTTTTCTTTTTTCAGCATTTCGAAATAAAAGAAAAAGAAGCTGGAATGAAGAAGCATGAAGAAAACGAGACAAAGCTCACGATGCAGGTCACAGCACTGAATGAGAATCTGGGTACCGTCAAGAGGGAGTGGCAATCTAGCCAGCGGAGGGTGAGCGAACTGGAGAAGCAGACAGATGACCTGCGTGGGGAGATTGCTGTGCTGGAGGCCACGATCCAGAACAACCAGGACGAGCGCAGGGCGCTGCTGGAGAGGTGACTGTGTCTGGGGCTGCTAGTTTCTTTCCATTGCAAGTGATAGAAAGAATGTCAGAGTCCATGTTTCTTAAAACAGAAGAAGAATCTTGAGAAAAGTTCATGAACCCCTGCAGGTATCTAAGTAGCCATTTAAAAATTAATCCGAGAAGCAATCAGTTCCTTGCAATTATCAGGTCATTGCAATTAAAGTATTACCTTTAATGTCATTAAAGTAGTTCATTAGCTATACTCTGGAGGGGTCTCTCGTGATTTTTAAAAACATTAAGTATCTCTTTACAATCTATTCCAGATGTCTTAAAGGAGAAGGTGAGATAGAAAAGCTTCAAACCAAAGTTCTAGAACTGCAGAGGAAGCTGGACAACACAACTGCGGCCGTGCAGGAGCTGGGCCGGGAGAACCAGTCCTTGCAGGTGAGATCGGTGGGTAATGGCTTCTGGTCCAGGATTGGCCTTTTTGGGAAAAGCATATTTTTAACTAAAAAAAAAAAAAACTTATATGTTTTATATGTACTTCAAATAGCTATCGACTGTGTAGCAGTATTGTAGTTTGGTATGTAATTAAACATTGAATATAAAGAACTTGTTTCAAAGACCCCAAGGATTAGAGAGCCATGTCAGCCATGAGCTGTAGTGCAGGGAGAGAGCGTCAAAAGTCCTAGATTACCGAAGGATACGTGAGTCAGTGTAAGCCGAGGAGGTGACCAAGTGTGTGTTCTCAGAGTCCCAGGAAGAATTGCATCATGGTCAGAAGGGGTTGCAAATCTCCAAAGACTAGAAATCCTTTTGCAGAACAAAAGTTGATTTGTTTTAATTTTATTTTATCATCTAGATTTATAAATGTAGCTAATTTTGACAACAGAAGCGGACCAAAGTATTTCTGATGTTAAAAATTTTATTCCATGTGGCACATAGTCAAAATGTAATAGAATTCTGATTCCATTTAGAACCAATCGATCATTCTTTAAAGTGTTCAATATAATAATGCACTGACACTTATTTTCAAATAGATCAAGCACACACAAGCTCTGAACAGGAAGTGGGCCGAAGACAACGAGGTGCAGAACTGCATGGCCTGTGGGAAGGGCTTCTCGGTGACTGTGAGGCGGGTAAGCAGTCTCCTTCCTGCCCTGGGCTTCTGAATTTCATGTCTTGGTGGTGATTACTATTCTAAACACCAAAATAATTCCACATTTGAAAGAGCTAAACGATTTTCTATGTAAAAAAGTTTCAGTAAACTGTAATTAATAACTACTTAGAATAATTCAACTTCTTACAATCTAGCTTCTGGTTAGCAAATGTGTTGGAGTTTTAGTTTGAAAGACAGTCTTTGTCTTTCTGAACCAGTATGAGAATAGGAAATGCTCATATTTTAGTTATCATTGAGTTCTCTTAAAGGAAGAAACAAAGAGATTTTGAAAATTTATTCTAAATACTGCCATCATGGTATGATTCAACTTCACATTCCTATTGAAGACATTATGTCTGAAACATTTGGCAAGTAGGTCTTGTTTTTCACTGGATAGGGGTGCTTTATTAACACTTTCACAATACCTCCAAGGGCTCTTTTGAGAATTCCTTGCTAAATTTCACATAAAATGTTTAGAATAGTGTTTAATAAATAGGAAGCACTCAACCTAATCTAACAGGAATTAAATGAACATATTGAAATATTGTATCATTAAATAAGACACTAACTACTCAAAGCTAATATTTCTTCACAATGTAGTGTGTGATATTCATACAGTTTCAGGATGCTTTTGGTATAGTTTTTGTGACTAAAATTGTTTAATTTGCCATTCACAGCATCACTGCCGACAGTGTGGAAATATCTTCTGTGCTGAGTGTTCAGCTAAAAATGCCTTAACTCCTTCCTCCAAGAAGCCTGTCCGTGTCTGTGACGCGTGTTTCAATGACCTACAAGGGTAGTGAGTTTTCACAGCTACAGAGTGACACTGCACTATTAGCTTTGTAGTCAGCGTGCTGCAGAGAACTCTTGGACTCCTGTGTGACTTGGATCCTGGTGCAGTACTAAACCAAATTAGAGCTCGTCTATTTTGGAGTGTTGTCAATGTCAAGGCAACTCTTCTATTTTTGTGAGACTTGGGCTCATTGTTCATCACTTTTTTTCCATTTCGCCCCGGAACAGCTTTCACACCAAGCGTAGATTTAGCCAATGAAATGTAAATAAACTTTGGACAAAAAAAAAAGCAATGTATTTTTTTAAATATAATTTTGTTGTTCACAAAGGAAGAATGCAATTCCATAGCTTGCTTCTTTCTCCCAAATTGAATGTGCAGAAATGTACCTGGATGATGCTATCATTTGTGGCTGTTCTGTTGCACAGTTGCACATTAATTACATTGAATGTTCTCTTTGTAAAGTCATGCTCAGAACTGTCACACCTTCTGAGGATCTTTTTCTTTCACCTGTAGGTTCATAGCTCAGTTGCATTGTTATGTTATGAATTTGCAACTTGAGTGTTCTAAAATACAATTTGTCTTAAAATATGTATTAGCCATACATTCAAAAATGGTTTTTGGTTTAATAATGTTGATTAAATTATCTTTGGTGGATTTTATGAGAACCTCTGTAAAATCAGTTTGCTTATTTTATGGTCATCCTAGGATTGTATTTTAAAAATTAGGATTAATTTTATCTTTTTGTCTCTTTCTCTCTCCTTTTGAAACTCCCCCATGTTGTCTATTAAGAGTCCTACAAAGCTTCCCACCCTCGCCCTCAGTAAGAGGATGAAACATAGAAATTGTTTAATGTCCCTGTCCTCAGCTTCCTTTAAGCGGGAAGCCTTCCAAGATTAGCCTTCATGTCACATCCTTGATTTGTCTCTGGCATCCTCAGAACCCGAGTTTACTTTTTAAATGGATTTGCTTTTTTCCTTACTTGGTTTAACCTTCCCAAGCATAGCTCAGCTTCACTGTAATTGTTTTATAATTCTGCATCTTAAAGTTAGTAACTAATATTGCTATAGTCTTTTCTATGAAAACAAAGTACAGAATGGCAAGAAGACACTAAATATTTTACTTTATATTTTGTTCTTAACTAATAGGGAAGACTTTCTTAAAGTTTTAAAATTGACTTAAATTTAAAATGGTTCTGAGTTTGAGGTTCCATTCAACTGGGAAATCTTTTTAACTTTGCAAAAATAATGCTGCAAAGTTTACTTGCAAGTAACAACTGAAAAATAGAGTATTACCAAAAGCAAATATATTTAGGAATCTCAAAGTCACAATAAAAGCTAAAACAGAATGTCTGAGCACCTAAGGATAATTAAGAATTGGCCTGTTTGTAGACTGAACAACAAGTTGAACTTTAACTTAGTATAATCTTCTTAACTCGGAAAATTGGAACACATCTGAAGAGAGAGAAGTCATTAACACTGGCTTATTAATCTTTCTGGAGAAGAAAAGTAAAGTTATACATTCGTTCAATGTGATCATTTAATAACAATAGAGAAGAATGGGAGTTAATATGCCATTTATAGTAAATAGTTCATAATACATACTTGCTTTCAGATATCACACTGAAATAAAGTTACCATGTTTATGCTATACCGCGATGTATATAAACTGAAAGAGATTGCCATTTATTTTTTAAAAACTATTAAGTAAACCCTGTTGTCAATAGCTACTAAAGCACTTAAGTCCCTGGACTTGGATAAACATGCATCCTTGACCATATGTCATGGGGAAATGCAGTGGCTCTTTATTAAAAGTAATAGTTGGATAATATCTACTGAGCTGTTTATGCATTTTCATGTACTTATAAATCCTTCCAAATTGTCTTAATAATATACTTTTACATATGAATAACTTAATAAGTGTGCTGGAAAATTACGGTTATTCACAGCACTGCTGTTTATTTTTTTAAGGTAACAAAGCTTCATGAGAATTCTGGATTAGCCATTGGTTCACTTGGTCTCCCGAGGACACACTGTTGACCTCCCTGCCTCCCCTGGCCCCTCAATCTCAGAAATCCTGTGGGACAGCAAATACAGCCATATGTGCTTGGATGATTTTCTCATTTTTACATAACCAATTTTACAAGTTCTGAATAACTTACCCACCATAGGCTACTATACTGATAACCTAAATGAAACCTAACATTTTTGCGATGAACACTCACCAATTTAATGTGTTTTGGAAGCTCAAAGTTTTTTTTCCTTTTAATGACATGGGCCGGTCTTGTCACATGGCGGTAAGTTAGAGCTGGCTGAATGGAGCCCAGCTCTCGGCTTAATGCAGGCATACTGGCATCCAGGTTAGTAAACACCTAACCCAGCCCAGAAGCAAGAGTGGACATCTGCCTTGCTGGGTTAGTGTACAGTACACAGACCTACAGATTTCTTTCTAGACGAAGCTGCTGGCCAGGATTTGTTCGTTGTGAAGAAAAACAGAGGGAAACAAACACAAAACCTCAATGCAGTGTACAAATAGCATTTTGTTGAACTACCTCTTAATGTGGAATTCGCTAGTTAATAGTTTCCTCACAGTAATGTTAAATAGCAACTGCCAAATTGGTTCTTTTCCCGCCTCTCTTAAGAAGTCTGTGGTTATTTTATATAGTTTTGAGAACTTTAAGCCACTTTTTTTTAACCTTGCATTTGCATAAAAACGTTTAGCTTTTAAGTGGAGAGCAGATTATGATCATATATTTTGATATTCATGACCTGTTTGACTATAGCAGTTTTTTTAAAAAAATGCACTTTGGCTATAAAATCATGGATGACTCGATTCAGCAGATTTAATGTGCCGTTACTTCAGTGTTCCTGGATGTGAGCTTGAGGAATGGTATCTGTAATTATAACGTGCCACACATTATCGTGTCTTAATTGCCCTTTGCCTGAACTTTAATGATCAATTTGTTATTGTTGCAGATGTGAATATTGTGCATAAACTTACTAAATTTATGTAAAATTGTATAAAGTAGAATTGGAAGTTGCTAAGGTCTTTCTGTGTAGAAGTAATAAATTTATTGTGACATTATGCTGTTATGTACAAGACATTCTGAACTTCCTGGAATTGTATCATATGATCACAGCCTCTGTAGATAACTTTTGCATGGATATTTCTCATTTAGTTTTGGGGTTCATTATTTGTATTGTGTTTACTACTTGTGATCATGTAGTTGTGCCTTATTTTGTGAGAGAGTTTAGCTCAGTAAATACTGTAATTTCTAAACTCAGTGATTGAAAGATTATTGATTATAAATGTAGCTGATAAAATCACATGACAGCATTTAAATCTGTATAAAGAACATTGGAAGGATCCTTACTGAATTGTTGCTTTTGTTTTTTTAATATGTTAAAGATGATATTAAAAAATTTCTTTCTAGTAGATGTATTCTGTGACTATAAGTTATTTTGTCTAACAAAAGAAAAACGATATTAACCATTTTGCATTAAGTTATTTACAAAACATTAGGACTTTGGACTCGGATATAGATAGTGGTTACGTTTGACTTGTTCAGCTTAGAAAGGTAATTAAGTTCCTGATCTCAAGAAAAATTATTAATATTAGACATTCTCTTTCACTCCAATCAGTGTTGTGGAGAATTAACAAAACTAAAATATAAAAATATATAACTAATTCCTTCTTTGATTGTGTATCTGAGTTAAGTACCCAGGTGACAGTTTCAAGATACGTTTTTAGCGACCAGTATACCCTTGGTTTGTGGTGATTTTTGTTTTTGTTTTCCTGGGACCAAATTTCAGGATGTTTTAACCCTTTTTTCCTGCTGTGCTTCCCTCCGTAGCGTTTTAGCGTGCAATGTGTGTCTCCTCAAGCACCTAGTGGGTGTGTGCTGTCTCTGTTATTTTTGAGCTTTATAGAACTCCAGTTTATGTGTTGCATATTCTTGAGGGAGTTTATGTACTTTTATTAATCTAGTAAAGTCTGTCTCCCTCTAATGAGCTCCAGAGGGAAACACGAGTCCTTCATGCATATAAATTCGTGGTTTCTGGGCGCGGGGAACTGAAGGCATCTTGGGAGACCGCCTCGGCTTGGTTCATCACTCACCTCCCAGGCTGGTTTGTATCTAAAGTCTCTGCAAGGTGATTGTTAGTTAATTTTTTTTTCTTAGGCAGAAATGTCTTCATAAATATCCTGCATAAATCCATCTTACCTTCTCCTGAAAGTGGTCGCTGTCAGCCCATCCGGATGCCATCTCTGGGAGCACCCTGGGTACCTTTTCCCCAACCTGCCTCCTCTTGGATTCTTAACTACTGATAGTTCCCGTTGCATTCCACATGTTCCTCTTGTCTCCTGCCTTCGCCATATCAAGACCTTGACAGAAGCCTGCGCTGCTCTGGCTTGTCCTTCCAGGCTTGCCTGGTGACATGTGCATCTTCCTCAAAGAGTTGCTGTGTACATGACCACCCCCCGCTCCACCCCCAGCATCCGCCCCATCCCTTCCTCTGCAGAAGGGGATTCATGCAGGCTTCAGTTGCTCAAATCTGACAGATTCACTACTTTCACTTTGGAAACGACCATGGGACCAGCCCTGAAATAGAAGTTTGTGGGCTTCATGTGATACTGAAATCTGACCCTAAGTAAACCAGTTCCTTAAATGCAAGTTACAGTATATATCCTGCCATGATAACATCGTAATTTAAACTGCCTTTCTTTATAAAAATTCTAGTGGAGTTTCAAGTCCTACCAAATAAAATTAAGTGACCGTACTGTACTAAAACACAGACGTACAAACACACTAATCAAACCCAGAAAGTATTTTTATGACAAACACCCCCATTCTTCAAAAAACTGAAGTCAAGAGAAAAATACCTTACTAGTTCTATGAGAATCTTCCATATAAATGTTCACTGGTGAAAGGAGAACACATATTTGTTTTTTCTATTTTAAAATAAAATAATGAAATTTAGTCTTTGGGATTTTTCTGCTTCCAAGTTAGTGTATTCTCAAGTATACCTGAGATAAGTAAACTGTTGGAGAATAGGAGTTTTAAAACTGCTATTTAAAGTGTGAACCTTATTTATTGCTTAATATATTAAAAGAGCAATCAAACTTTGTATCAACAGAATTAGATGGCTAGGCATCTGTAATCCGAGCACCTTGGGCTAAGGTGAGAGGATTGAGCCAAGGAGTTTGAGACCAGCAAGACTTAATCTCAGAATGTTAAAAATCGCCGGACTCGGTGGCTCAGCCTGTAATCCCGCGCCTTTGGGAGGCTGAGGTGAGTGGATTGCCTGAGCCCGCGGGTTCGAGACCCGCCTGGGCAGCGAGACCTCATCTCTACAATAAATCGAAAAGTCAACCGGGCGTGGTAGCGCGCACCTATAATTCCGGCTACTCGGAAGGCTGAGGCGGAAGGATCGCCAGAGCCCAGCAGGTCGAGGCTGCAGTGGCCGGGAGTGGCCACTGCATTCCAGTCTGGGCGACCGAGTGAGCCTCCAACTCAAACAAAAAAAGAATGTTAAAAATGAACCGGTCATGGTGGTATGCATTTGTAGGCCCAGCTACTTGGTAGGCTGCAGTGGAAGGTTTGCCTGAGCTCTGAAGGCTGAGGCTGTAGGGAGCCATGATTGCTCCATTGCGCTTCAGCCTGAGCAACAGAGTGAGACCCTGGCTTAAAAAGAAAAAAGAATGAACATTGTGTTTGAGGTAGGCCTGTAAAGCAGTAAGACTGATTTACAAGCCATGTGGGAAAATTGGTTTCATGATCTTATAGCTACACACAAGGAAGGTGCTGGATCTCATACTGGACACAAGCAGCCATCATTGTCTTCCTCCTTCTACTCCATTTATCTGATCGTTGATTGACCTCTACAAAGTCTAACAGCACCATTCTCCACTCACACCTCTTACACATCTGATGGAGGTGCTCAAAGGTAGGCTGGACATGGAGTATGGAGTATTTGTCAAGTAATTTCCCAGCGCTGGTGCCATCATGATTCCCCGAGACTGGGGATTCTGGAACTCCTTTAAAATACACATTTCCTTCTAGCTTGTCACTAGGTAAGTGTCATAAAAGGGTGGAATGACCACCTGAAGTCCTGCTGTCTGGAAGACAGGCCCCTTGATGTAGAGTGCTACATTCCAGGGCTTCTGCAGACAAGGTGAATAAAGATGTGGTCTTGGTTTCCTGGTTCCTGGAGAAACAAGAGAGCTGTTGCTATTATATTTGCACCATCCATAGTGTCTGTTGAAAAAAGAAAAAACAGATAAACAGGAGGCGCTTATGATGTGAGGCTGCTGGCTCCATATCTGGATGACTTTTCCATTGTGCTTAGTGACTTGCTCTTCAAGACTGAAGGCTAGCACCCGTCAGCGAGGCCTTCGCATCTGCTCTCTTCCATCTGATGTCAGTACCTCCCATCGATAGGAAAATGCAGTGGCGGAATGGCATGGTGCATGAGCCGGAGGGATCGTGATAGTCAAGGGACCGGAGCAGTGGAGAATGACTGCTCAGAAGAGTGAGTGCTGAGAATGGACATCACTGGGATGCTGGATTTCTTGAGTTTCCATTTTGTTTGGAAACAGAAGGTCTTCCCTATGATATAACTTGAAAAACAGACCCTGAGGGAGATGACCCAGGAAAATGACTATTTCATCTAGGGTCTGGCCATCTTGTTGCTGTGATGAAAGCCCTACCAGGGAAATGCAAAAACAGAAGCTTCCAGATGGAGAGAGCAGAGACATAGCTATGAGAACACTGGCACTCTCTCTGGGGACGAGCTGGCCAGACGGCTGCACGTCACAGCAGGGCTGATATCACATCATCTGCATCTGGATGTCGACAGGGCATCTTCAGACTCACTCTTGTAGCTCTTGCCCATCTCATTTCCTGCAAAAGCTGCAAGACTCGGAGCCGCTCTGAGCTCCTGTGCAAGAGAAAGCAAGAGGCTGCGTCACCTCTGCAGGTGTCTGGACAGCGACAGCCAGGCCTCTGAGCCTGATCTGGGTGACATGTCCCCCCTCCGCCCCCAGATCCACCCTTCCCAAAGCTGGGAGGGCAAGACACAACCCTTTCATTCATTCCTCAAGTGGTTGGGGTGAGACTTGTGCAGACGCGGAGGATCAGAGACCATGCCATGGCAGTCCTCTGACGGTTCCATGGGGGCTTGTAGTAATTACGCTGCTCTACGCTGGCGGTGTCTGTTTTCATGTTGTAGAAGAAAATCATTGTTCAGTCAAGAGACTACGGAGAGAGATGACAAAGACAGAAAGCCAAGTCACTTCATGGGAAGTCCAAGCACCTTCCTCGTGCAAGAACCTGGGTTTTGGTTTTTGTTTTAATGAGGATGGGAGATTTATGTGGCTTAAAAATTTTGTTTTTATTCCAAAGCCAAGGCCCCACTACTATCCATGTACAGCCCACTTGAATACAAAACCCTTTTCCTTGTTAGTTCACGGAGTCTGGGACTCCACAGAAGCAGTTTTGGCCTCTGGGATGGAATGGGCCCTAGGCTGCTTCTCAGAACTAGCCGGACCAGGAGTGGACTTCGTGTGTGAGAAAATAGAGGTGACAAACATACAAAGAACAGGCAATGTTTTTTTATTTTGATCTCCATTACTCTCTTTTAAAATATATATTTTATATTTAAAGGAAAGTCACATTGAAATAAGGTTGATACACAGATCAAGATGTGGCAGAAATACAAAGCCACCTGAATGCTTCACATCAGGCCAAGAAAAGTCAAAGAATGGGCTCAGCTAAAACGCAGTGTCCACCAAACTGTGAAATATGAAAGAAAACAAAGAGACGTTGGCTGGGTTTCTGTGTTTGCAGAAATAAGCCTGTTCTGTTGTGTTCTAGCTAGTGTCAGAATGATAGGAGATGGGAGAGCAGGTTCCTTTTTTAATTCAGAGGCGATCTCACAGTAAGGCTCTTGGAATAATTAACACAGCAAGGGGCATACAGTCCTGCTGCTTATACATTCTTCCCACCAATGAATGTTTAGGAACAAGCCAAGAAAAAAACCAAACCAGGGCTTTGTTTCAGAATCCAAGTGAGCACATGACTTTTTTTTTTTTTTTGAGAAGTGTGATGGTTTATTGTTTCTGTCATCTTCGGGGAGTTCCATGCATCTTTCTTTCTTTTTTTTTATATTAAACATATTTTTTATTTTAAAATTGTGGGGTGCTGTTAAGGTTTACATATACAAATATGCATCATTCAGGCACCCTTGTTGATAAGGGGTGTCCCCCCCGTCCCCAGACAGATATTGACTACCGTTAATCTCACCTCTCTTTCCTTCCCTGCTCCCCCATAGTTTCCTGCCACTGTCAATCCATTTCGAGAGATGTTCAAGGTTCACTTATGAGTGAGAACATGTGATACTCAGATCTTTGTTTCTGTGA